TATTGTGTTACTATTTATCGTATGTATATATATATATATTATTTTGTCGTCTAAGATAAATCATTAGCTTTTCTCGTATATTAATCACAAATGTTTAACGATAAAATATATCACAACAAGGATTATATGCACTTTGCGATAAACTAAAATGTGGAAAAAAATGTGAAAGAACGTCGGGGAAGAGAAGAAAGAGAGAAAAATGAAAAAAAAATATAAAAAAAATAAAGAAATAAAGAAAAAAAAAAAGGAAAAAAAGGAAACGAGTATTCATATAGGCAAGCGCATGCGGAGATAGCTCGATGACTGATCTCGGGAACGTTGCCAAATAGGTCGGAGCTCGTATCGAGCTGTCACATACACACAAAACGAAAAGTGTGTGTGTGTATGTATCTGTGTGTGTATGTGAGAGAGAGAGAGAGAGAGAGAGAGAGAGACAGACAGAGAGAGAGAGAGAGAGATATATAGAAGTGAGTAGAGCGCAGTACTGCTGACCTCACCACACCACCCACCGTCGGAATAAAAATTTAGAACGATTCTGGAACGCCGACTTGTCCGCCTGAATAAATTGCCACGATGCACCATACCGTCTTCTCTACAAAGTACATAAACCTTCAACTCAAATCATCCCTCCCTCCTCTCTGATTACATATGTTCAATATATATTTCCGTCTGGGATGATTAAAGAACGAGAACGATCTCTCACATATAATGTCATCTCATGTATTGGGCTCGTTATATTTTATTTTATATGTTTATTGAAAAAAAAATATCATTATTAATAATTTATTCGTAATAATTTTCTAAAGATCTTGTTTAATAATATATTTTCTTATTTCAATTCGATATACGTAATTATATAAACGACATGTACATAAGTATCAACGTAATGATGAACTTTCAAAATTTCTTGTTTCGAAAACGATTAAAAAAAAAAAAAAAAAAAAAGAAAAAAAATCTTTCTCCTCTCTTATTTCGAATAGAATGGAACATTGAGAATAATTCGCGCATCTTGATTTTTAATTTTTCATGGCAATATAATGACTCGTTTCTATCTCGACGATCAATTAAATCGAGATGTGTGTATATATGTACATATATAGACGAACCAACCGATCTCAGGAACATTGCCAAATAGGTCGGAGCTCGGTATTGAGCCAGTCCACGAACAGCATCCCAAGCTAACCTCGGCCCTTTCTCTCTCTCTCTCTCTCTCTCTCTTTCTCTCTGGTTCTTTCTCTTTCTATCTTGCTATGGGCATCAGTCATAACACACGTCTCGGAGTTTGCGTCTTTTGATCGATGATCTACGCACCGCCCCTTTTCATTAAACGTTGCTTGAGGTTTCTGATGTAAGAGGATATTACATTTTGCGATGAACGGAATCCAAAAATCGAATTCTGATTTATAAATCGATGATCTGTGAGTGTGTATGTGTGTGTGTATGCGTCTGTGAATAGTAATGAATAATAATTTTACAGTAAATATAGATGTGAGTTAATACTATGATTTTTGCAAAACAAAATTTATTCTTAAAATCTATATTTACATAAATGGATTTCTGTAATATTTATGTTCTTCCTCTAGCCATAGATCAGATACATACATACATATATGTATGCATATATATATAGATAGATAGATATGTATATAGTACATAAGATTAAATGATTATTTACTGTTATGTATATCCACCTCCGCAATTACTCACGAATGATCTAACAGCTCGTTTGTTCTCTTTAATAAATTCCTTTGAAAGGAGAGTAGTCGTAGTGAGCGAGTTTACTCGATCGAGCGATTCAAGCGTCGCGATTAAGTGGGCGATTAATCGAATAATCAATTTTAATGCTAGGTCAATGTATTATATATATAATACCTTATTAGAACGTATTCCTCTTCGCGTCTCCCTCTCTCTCTCTCTCTCTCTCTCTCTATCTATCCGTATATCTCTTTGAGTTAGACGAATCACGAAACGGTACATGCTGAGGTCAGCAACGTAAACGATATTGCACACATACACACATCTGTTATATATATATATATATATATATATATATACTCACATATAGGTATACCTGCATGCATATAGATGAACGTTTCTCTTTTACATTCATGCTCAAAGAGATGTCAAAAGGAAATAATGAAGAAACTAAGTAGGTACATTAATTACGTGCGATAGAACCTAAGTAAGCTCGTGATGGAAACTCGTAAACACACGACAGCTTTGTTTGATCAATATTTCGGTGCCATCTCATAGTACGTACATACATACATATATATATATATATATATATACATACATACATACATATATATAGATACGTACGTAAGAGTACATATAGCCGAAGTCTCCTCTCTCCTTCTTACAAAAGTTCTTCACGCTAGAAGAACACGATAACGTATGAGAACATCGTAGTAAAAGATTCACACGGAGGATGGACTAAGCAAAAAATATCTTTGTTTAATTTTCGTTAATGTAAATTTTTCTATTGATGTTAAAAACATAAATATATTCTCTAAAGGGAAGATCGAACGAAAGTCAATAAGAGACACGAAGGACAATGACAATACACAAAGGACGGCCTTTATTTATTTCTTTGCCAAGATCGAGTCACATTCCCAATAGCTAAGCTTACGTCACCACTTGAAAATCGATAGACTCTCCGCACTTCTCTCGTCTATCGAGCAAAACCGACCGACCGACCAACAGCTCCCTGTAGACGTTACGAGAAAGACCGATCAATAAAAGCTCGACGTTTTACGCTCGCGCTTTTTCCATGTGTTTTCTATCTCTCTTCTATTCATATATATATATATATATATATATATATATATATATATATATATATATTTACGTAGGTATCACAAATATTTCGTTTACTCTCTTTTTATGGGAATACCTCGCATTTATTCCAAATCGTAATTCACCGAACCGTATCCTCGTCGATAATTCAACCTAACCTAGATATATATATATATATATATATATATATATATATATATTTAGCTATTAATATGTAATTACGTATGAGTAATCTATGTTTTGAAAATGTTTCAATTAAATGTATTTATTTCTTATGTATACAAGCGTGGGGCTAAAAATATGATTTTTTATTGTAATATTATTTTAACATTATTTAAAATACGAATTATCATTACTGATGTTGTTTACTAGCGATTAATGTAAAACATGAAGATGGACAAAAAAAAATAGCTAAATGATTCTCTCTCTCTCTCTCTCTCTCTCATACTGCAACAACGATAGTTGACATTGGCGTTAATGGAGATATTATCGATAAGTGAAATAAAAAGAAAGAGGTAGATAAAGAGAGAGAGAGAGAGAGAGAGAGAGAGAGAGAGAGAGAGAGAGAGAGAAAGAGAGAGAGAGAGAGAGAGAGAAAGATAATAGTAAAAAGAATAGGATAGACACGATGCATAGAACTAGAGAGGTCCGACGAATACAGCACGTGGCATCGGACACGTGCCCGAGGGTCGATGCTCCCTTGTGTTGTACCGGATTTTATTTGATTCTACCCTCCTCCCCCTCTAAGATCTCATCTAAACTTTTCCGTTTCTCAGTTACCAGTACTATTACCAACGAACAAGATTTATCTTTTCTAGAAGCTACTTTGTTCGAAAAATTCAAAGTTACTATAAGAAATTACTAGAAAATTTCCCTATATTATAAAAAACGTGACTTACTGGGTCGAAGTATTGCAAATACTTATATAGATTTAATTATACTTTGTTATTATATTTTTTAATTTTTTATTTAATAATATTTACATAATTATTTAGAAAAATAAGTAACGCACTTTAGTGGAAGAAAAGTTGAGTAACAATATATATATATATATATATATATATATATATATATATATATATATATATATGTATTTCTTATTTAGCATTTCTATTTACATCATTTCAACGTGATCCAACATAATGGATGACCATAGAAAATTCGAAAGAAGATATGACTAATTGTAAGTATACTTTAGAAAGAGGAAGAGTTATAACGTTTGAAACGTAATGCTCTTACAATAAAGCGAAATGTTTTAACTGCAAACAGAAAGTATGTACATATCAAAAGGTTCAAACATAAGCTCGTATATGCATTAGAAAAAACGTATGAATAGTTTCTAACAGGTATAAAGAGTTGAATCAAATAAGGTATTACAAATGAATATTCTGAAAGTAATTCTGAAGTGTTATTTAGTCTAATAGAATTTTTGTTATGATATATATATTTTGTATTTTCATTTCGTGCGTAACCAAAGTTATTCAAAAATATTGTTTCATTGAAACAAAAAGTAGGTGTGTTCTATTCTTATCTTTTATCAGATATTTCTGATATTTGTTTGCCTCCCTTCTCCCCGTTCCCTCTTCAATATCAAATAGATAATCTCTAAGTTAAATTTAATCGATGAAAAAAGAAGGAAGAAAAAAAAGAAAAAGAAAATTATGAATCATGATATACTCGTAATAATTTTTACGGCAAAAAGCCTTGTACCACATTATTTGGGCCACTCCGCCCCCCCCCCCCCCCCTCCCTATATATAACGTAGTATTCGTCGTCGTCGTTGCCGTCTTTCTCTCTCTCTCTCTCTCTCTCTCTCTCTCTCTCTCTCTCTCTCTCTCTCTCTCTCTCTCTCTCTCTCTCCAACGGAGATAAGATAAAAGGTGATATACATTCTTTTTTCTTGTATTTTTTTTTAATTTTCTCTTTTTTTTTTTTTTTTTTTTTTCTTTTTTTTCTTTTTTTATCGAGCTCACTAGAAAGAAGACCTCATTCGTCGCAAAGCAGGAAAGGGATCGAAGGTCGTCCATACATTGCGAACTCGTGAAAAAACGAAGAATAAGAAGAACGTATATATTCTCTCGTATATAAATGGACTTTAATAAAGTTCAACAAAGATTAGCTTGGAGTAAAAAAAGGGAAAGAGAGACAGATAGAGAGAGAGAAAAGTCGATCGATCTCGTAAACGTATATATATATATATATATATATATATATATATATATATATATATATATCTTTCTATATATATATATGAGAGTATGAGTTTCTTGTCTAGTAATCGACGCTCAGTACCTATGGGAAATACCATGAGATCGATCGAAACGCGTTTTCCGTTCTAGACGTGCCGCTCCTTCGTTTGTTCATCTATATGTACTTACGTTCTCATATACTGTTCTCCTCGTAGTGGAATTCTTCGAAAGACTTGTCTATTAATCGGTACGTTTCTATATCTGAGGGGAAAAGGAAAAAAAAGAAAAAAAAAAGAAAAATTGATCTTACTCGAAACAAAAGGAAAAACGAACGTGTTCGTATGTGAAACGTAATTTCGTCATATATCCGGTGACAATTCGATATATCTTTTTTCTTTTTTTTTGTTTCTATTTTTTTTTTTTTTTCATAGAACAAATTAACGTTAAAGTTATATTCTACGAGATAGTAATATGAGCAGGTACATAAAGTTTATGAGTTACGCGTTTTCCTTTAAAATCATTTTAGACACATTGGTGCGTTTCGAGGTAGATAGGTACCATAAAAAAAAAGAGAGAGAGAGAGAGAGAAAAGAAAACAAAGAAAAAAAAAGGGAAAGAAAAAGGAAAGAGTGAAAACAAAAAGGGAAAAGAAAATATACTCGTTTCGACGCCTATGCATCCGGACGGACGTACCGTACCACGTGTCCCACTCTCGCGTGACTGGGTACTGGAAGCACGTGGCCCCCCACTACGCCTTGCCCAGGCCCCGTCGATCGCCCATGAGAAAGACAGAGAGGTATTAGGTATATAGAAGGAAAGAGAAAGAGAGAAAAAAAAGAGAGAGAGAGAGAGGAAAAAGGAAAGAAAGGAGATGAAAACAGGGAGGAAGTTTGAGGGAAGAAGAAGGATAGTTAGAGAAGGGAGAAATAGAAAGAGAGAGATGGAGAAATATACGTTGGCTAGGGAAAGGGGTGCTTTTGTTAGAGGGAGAAAGAAATAGAGCTAGTGTACGAGAAGGGAATCGGATGGAACACGAAGCATACGAGGAGATTTTGGTGGGGTCGATAGTAGTTGCTCGAATTGTCGAGAATGCTGATCGTATATAAGAAAGTGGATAGCTAAGTATTTACTCAAAATATCAAGGTACATTAATTGTCTCTCTCTATCTCTCTCTTTCTCTCTCTTGCCATTTATCTATCTATCTATCTATCTCTATCCATCTTTCATCAAAAGAAAGTTTTCTTTGTAGTAAGTAAGCGAAAAAAGGGACGAACAATTTGCATTGCAATACTCAAATTACATGATGCGATAATCAAATCGAATATCAGAATGAATTAACAAGTTTCTGCTCTATTATATACAGATATACGTATATGTGTGCGTACGCGTGTGTGTGGATATTTTGTTTCAATCCTTAGCTGCTGTCGCATGTTATTGATAATATTTAAAGAATACTGATGTATAATTATTCGGACTTAGTCACACATTTTTCTCTTTTTTAATAAATGCATAAGTAGTACATATATATATATATATATATGATTTATTCCTCTAAATGTAAATCGTGGAATATTCCGTAGTAATTCCGCAAAGGAAAAAAACATTTGATTCGAATTTAATCTAATCCGCATTCTACTCTGCAAATCTAACCGCACAGTTTCAACGAACTACAACGATGACTACGATGACGACTACGACAACCATGAACGTACATCCCGATGAGTCGGCTTATCCGTTTTCGCGCGTCACTTCTATACTTAGATCTTATACGTTTATAAAACAGGGTACGACGATGAGCGAGAGTCTTGTACAGGTGCTATGAATTGAGAATGTCATCAGCGACAGACTTCGGCACGCGTCAGAGTGTCTTTTCGAGTAATGACAGTATGACGATTTACGCAATCAAAAGTTTCTAATGTTAATAGTTAAAACGGGACATGAGACTAAATGTATACACTTAGATACATATCGGTCGATTGCAAAATATTTAGCTAAACGTCATTGGTTAGTCTTTAAAAATGAATTCATATATATATATGTATATATAGTTATACAATAGCAATGAAAATATTTTTTCATGATAATAATAGCATTTCGTTAAATCTCTATTAATTAATTTTTTTGCGTGCATTAAAGAAGAAGTGTATATTAATTTCTGTGCAGTCGTTAATCGCATGAAAAATGAAATTATTTACAATCGTGTTAATTAGTTTTATATAAAAGTATTATTCCAGTACCTAGATAAATATATCTAAGATTTTATCAATGTTGATTATTTGTACGTAAACACGAATAGAGATTGAAATCATATTTACGATAACGTTCTCGTTTAACGAAATAAACATGGCGCAAACGAGAAAAGAATCGAAATAAAAGGGTAAAACCAAGGAAAGGCGTCCACGTATGTAACTTACATTGATGATTTATATGTATGCATACATACATACATACATAGATACTTAGATGCTTACGTAAGCACGTATGTACGTAGATAAGAAAACACGTTTATTCGAGAAACGACGTGTTTGAAGTTAGCTTACTCGGCAAGAGTACGAATCGAATGAGATTCGCATTACGTTTTCTTTTTTATTTTTCTCTTTTTGTTCTACTTCTCTTCTTTTTTTTTAAGAGAGAGAGAGAAAGAGAAAACAACGAGAATCATTTCGAACATTTTCGAAGACGAAACACACGTCGTAATATTTAATCATTGCCGTAGTTACGATACTCGCAATCGTGGGTCAGAATTGCGGAAGTGATTATCGACGGCCGCGAAAAAAAGCATGACGGTGGAACGATCCGCGTTCAAGGTTCTCGCAAGTGCATGTGTATTCCTGTTGAAGAACTTCCCGACACTTTAGCCTATAGCGAGTGTTATTATATAACCTATTGACCTTTATCGCGTTTGCGTTAGAATATTTACTGCGATGATAAGCGAGAGAGGTAAATCGTTTTACACAGTGCGCGAGAAATATAGAAATATTAAAGAAATATTACATATTGATGAATTCCTAAATGATAGGTTACAACTTACCTTTCATATATATATATATATATATATATATATATATATATTTTCTTTTTTTATCGTGATACTTGATTACTTCGCGAAAAGCTAATTCATTGTCGAGTATATTCCACATCATATCGGTGATATAAGAAAATTTTAATGAATCATTAAGCTTCAATAAAAAAAAAAAAGGAGTGTATAAATATTTAATCAAATGCGTTGTCTTTTGAATATACACCTACGTACAAATCTATTAGAGTTTTACATGTACTACTAATTGATGTTTTGATATACGTATCGAAAGAAGTCCTACGATCATTTGGACAATCAATTAAAAGAAAAGCAATGAAGATAACTGGCTTCGATCATAAAGCTATTAATCGATCGTTAACACTAGACGAACTTTCGATTCCTTTTCTTTCAACTCTTTATTCGATTGGTAGATAAGGGATGAAAGGTGTGGTTAAGAGATTAAGGCGGTGGCGGTTTCCTGGCGAATTCGAGAAATAGGCCGTGATGGTAGCGTGCACGAGCGCGCGCGCACACACATTTTGCTGCCAACGGCAGTAACAGTAACAGCAGCAGCAGCAGCAGCAGCAGTAGCAGTAGCAGCAGCAGCAGCAGCAGCTAGCAGGAGGTAGGTCGATCCAATTGGGGTTCGGATAGCAGCTCAGCAGCGCGATACCCTCTCCCCTCTGGAGTTTCCGTGGCGATCAATACCTACGGTGCCAAAGCCGAGCCAGTCTCTACCGATTTCCACGAGGAACAAACAAAGCGAAGAGGAGGAGGAGGAAGAAGAAAAAGAAAAAGAAAAAAAAGAACGAAAGATCCGACGAAGAAATAATTGATCGTTTTGCATGTTTAATCCAAAACATTTATTATCGTAATAATTTACGATGTATTAATCTTAATCGAAAATTAAAATAGTCTTTCTTTTTCTTTTTTCGGCTTTTCGATGTCATAGTTATTATAAATCGATACAATTCGATCAAAATCATGAATTGGTAATTGTGTGCGTGCGTGCGTGCGTGCATCTGTCTGTGTGTTAATGGTGATAATAAAAACAGTGTTAAAAGGCATAAAGAAAATCGAATACACTTGGTTTCCGTCGATACACGTTGGTTTTTCCCCTAAGCAACCGGATCCACGCGTCTCCGTCTTGCGCACGCGTTGCGACAGCGCGTAATTACGTCACGCGATCGAACCTTCGTCGCTACGCGAGTTTACATGTTTGAAATCCCGCTAAGAAAAGAGAAGAAGAAAAGGAAGATGGAATATAAGTACCTACTTATATATCTATGTATGTATGTAACGAAAGAGAGTGGCTTTCACAATAATCTTTCTTTTACTTCTGTATCATAAACGCAACACACCTAAGTCTCTTCTCTCGCCTACGCGTATTTAAAAGCACTTAACATTTCGATTAGGCCATAGGCATGATTTCGAAAATAGTACGTCGCATAAATTAATCTCCGAATACATAAAGTCGAAACATCTGTTTTGTTTTAAGATCCAAAATGGTGGCGTAGGGAAAGATTTCTCTTTCTTCCTTCTCTTTTTTTTTTTTTTATTTATTTTTTCTTTTTTTCTTTTTTTGTTTTTTCTTTTTTTCCTACATAGACAACTCGATCGATTTAGAACCAACAATAAGTCCAACTAGCCAGTTAAAAGATCGAACGTGGATTCTGTTAACGACGTCGCCGAAATAAGAAAATAGGCGTATGGCCTACTCGCGAATAGTTAGAAACAACGCGCTTAGGAATCACGAGAGAGCATAGATATGCTTGAGAGGAGAGAGAAAGAGAGAGACATATATACATAAGCTTGGAGTGTTAGAGCAGACCCGTAGAGGGGAAGGAACAAAGAAAGAGTCCTAGCGACCAGCAATGCGGCACCGGTGAGCGCCTGCGCGCCTCGCTATGTGAGTCAAGGACGACACGTGCAGCTCGGAACGACCTACTTATATTCCCGTAGCTTCGCGCACAATCGGTGCCGGCACGAACTTTCCCGAGCGCGGAAATAGGACGACCGACGGAGGAGTCGGTGGAGTCCTAATATTTCACCGCGATCACCTCCGCCTCCACCTTTCGCCTTTACCTCATTCTCCTCCTCCTCCTCCTCCTTCTCCTCTTCCTCCTCCTGCTCTTCCTCCTCTTCGTCGGGTTCTAAAAAACTAACCCATAGCAGTAAGCGTTGGCATTCAATCTTAGTAATACACTACACTGTACTGATCGTTACCTCGAAGCTTTACGTTCTTGTGAACCAGGAAGTAGTCGAAGAGGAAGTACTTCCGGTCTTTCGTGAATCTCTTTCGGGCAAGTTCGCTATCCTTCGTTATCTATCTTCTCTCTCTCTCTCTCTCTCTCTCTCTTTGTACAATCGAGATCTACGTTACGTAAGTTAGAATGTTAGAAGAAAAAAAAGATAAGAAAAGAAAAGAAAAGAAAAGAAAAACGTCCGCTCGTTAGATTCTCGTAGGAGCTTCGATTCGCGTCATCAGAGACACGATAAGAGGGAGAAACGGTTGTAGAGAGATAGGAGGGAGTAGTGGACGGGGATGAGGGCAGAGGAGGGGGAGAGAGTTAAAACTGAAAGAAAAAGCAGGACAGGCGTGGGGTTGGCTAGAATAGAGAGAATAGAGAAGAGGCATATAGGAATCGTGATGGGGAGGGGGAGGGCGTCGGGCGGGTGGGGGGTGGGGAGGATTCGAAAGAGAGGTTTCGACGGCAGGAGGCATCGCGCGCAGTGTCCTAGATGCAGAAACGGCAGGATCGATAGAAAAATGGGTCAAACATTCGAGTAGCATTCGGTTGACGAGAACCAACGGCAGTCTGGCGATCGCGCTCGAGACGATCGCTCTGCTCCGTTAAAATTCACTCTCTCTGTCTTTTTCTCTCTCTCTCTCTCTCCCCCTCACTCTCTTTCTCTATCGCTCTATCTCTGTCTCTATATGACGGATACAGGTGACGGTCGTAGGACGTTGAAACGAGTTCGTGTCGTTTGGAATTGAATTAAATCTCTCGTTCGAATAAATTCCGTCGGAAGAAGAAAAAGATTAAGGAAAAAAGAAAAGAAGAAAATAAAAAAAGAAAAAAGAAAAAAAGAATCGCAAAATTCGTCGGCGTTTGTTATAAGGAGGGAGGGGGATCTAACTAAACTAGAAAGGTTTTAAGTCTTTGTGGATTGGCGCGCTCGAGGCGACGTTGTTGGATTGTCGCGCGTCGTTTACGCGCTTCCTTCCCCACCATGAGAGCATAAGTAGCGCGTTTCCGCACGCGGTACGGCCAGTTCTCGTTCGACCTTATCGCCGCGAGCTCGGCACGGGCTTCTTGTTTCTCCTCCTTGGCGGGTTGCTGCCCCACCCTACGGTTTTATAGTCCCACCCCCTCTCTTTTCTCTCTCTCTCAGTTCCCCGTTCTTCCCTCTTGCTCGTCTCTACCTCCCCACCCCAATATATTCAGTCTCCCCCTTCTCCCCCGCCTTTCTGCCTTTCATCTCTCCCACCTACGGTGACACTCGAAGGAAGCGCGCGTGCTCGTCGCGCGCGCCCAGCTCGACCAATCGCGAAGCGAGTAGCAACGGTCCTCGACCAACGAAACTCGACCGCGGGTCCGTGCGAGTGCGCGCTTGCGATCTCGTAGTTTCTCTCACCGGATGCCGCGAGCGCGCGCTCATTGTGGTGGGGATAAAGCTGAGAGAGCGGCACGGGCTTCGCGCTCGAGCGCATCCTCGTTCGTCGTCGCTCGCCCTCGGGGTCGGTCGCGTTCCGCGAGACTCTCTCTCTCTCTTCCCCCTTTTCCCTCTTCCCTATTTCCCTCTTATATTCTCTATCTTTTCGTTATTCCTTACTTCATTCCTTTCCTATCTTCCATTTTTTCCTTTTTACTTAACGTAGTTTTACCTTTTACGTTCGATTCTACATTCGATTCTACATTCGTTCATTCGTTCGTTCGTTCGTTCGTTCGTTCGTTCGTTCGTTCGTTCGTTCGTTCGTTCGTTCGTTCGTACGCTCGCTCGTACGCTTGCTTGATCGCTCGATCGCTCGCTCGCTCGTTCGTTCGTTCGTTCGTTCGTTCGTTCGTTCATTCGACGTCCGATAACGTCGACGGCCATCATGGTGTGTCCAATTCAGTTCGCGACAATTCTTCATTGCTTTCACCTTTCGGAAAAGCTCTTTTCTCCTCCTCTTCTTCTTCTTCTTCTTCATCATTATTATCATATCATCGTCGTAGTCATCATCATCATCGTCATTGTTCTCTTTTACATTCCTTTAATTTCAATAATTTTCGATACGTTTCTTTTACTGTGTCGCCCGCAGCTAAAACAACAACGACGATGACGATGACGATGACGACGACGACGACGACGACGTGACCGGAAGCTCGCAACAACTTCGACTCATTCGACCTCTTCTTCTCTCGATCCGTGCGAAAACGGCGATTAATTCTCACTCGTGTTTTATCTTCTTTTTCTTCAAGAAAAAACAAAGAGAGAGAGAGAGAGAAAAAAAAATATAATTAACTTCCGCATTCTGGAGAATCCGTTACTGTTAAACGCGTCCGGGATTTCTCGTCATCTCGAGAGATATCGAAAGTGGGTCACCGGTTCTTCTTCCGCTTTCGCACGCTTTCGTTCTTTCGTCGATCGAGTTGTTGTTCGATTTAATATTTATTTTTTTCTCATTCTTTTTCGTGCTCTTTTTTCCTTAATTTTCTTTCGTTTCTTTTTTCTCTTTTTTTTTCTTTTCTTTTTTTTTTTTTTTTGCCATCCCCTTTTTTTCGTTCTTTTAATTTATACGCGAAAAGAAGAGAAGAGATACGACCGTACGTGTGAAAAAGTGAGTACGAGTTGAAAGTTCCTATCGTGCGAGAAGAAACGACTGTAAATAATAGTAATAAATAAAAAATAATCATAAAAATTATAATTATCATAATAATAATAATAATAATAATAATAATAATCGTAATAATAATAAAAGGGAAGGTATCGAAAGGGGAAGAGACAGTTGCAAGAGGAGAAAAGCGGTTTGCACGCGAGGGGTTCGAGACCCTTTGTGTGAACGAAAAAAAGATTGAAGAAGAAGAAGAAGTAGAAGAGAAAGAAAAAGAAGAAGGAGCAAGTGAAAGGAAGAGAGAAGAAAAATAAAAGGGTGGAAGGAGAAGTAAAGGGGGAAAAATAAAAGCACCAGAAAGAAAGAAAGAAAGAAGGAAGGAAAGAAAGAAAGAAAGAAAGAAAGAAAGAAAGAAAGGGAAACCATCGACAATCCCACGTCGTGGTAACTTCGTGTCCGTGCCTTCTGGTCTCTTAGTGGGTAAAGATGGCGGTCTTGTCGCTCGTTGGTTCGTTCGCCGAGTTGTAAGAGGGGAAAATGTGACGCAACCCATCATCACGTGATCGAACCGTGGCTGGCCTCTCTCGCTGGGCCAGTGTGTGATCTAACGTTTGTTACGACGGTCGGTCGTGGATCGATCATATCGACCATAATACATAATAAGTATATTATATGAAGAATGAGAACAACTCTAGTAAGATAATGGTGGTTGGGAGTGCGAAATAATAGAAAGAAAGAAAGAAAGGAATGAAGACACGGAGACTGGTCAACATTATCTGTCCTTCTCTGTTCCACAAGTCGATGCCGCGAGACATAACGGACGTCTTCTTAATCCGCGTACGGACACACGCACGCACACATACACACAGGGGGTGTTCTTCCAACCGTCGGCTCTCGGTCGCTGGGTCAGTGGGGGTGAGAAACTGGCTTGGCTCTGCGTAACGACAGTCAGTCTTTTTCTCTCTCCTATCGGCCTCGCGAATTAGCTCTCTCTTTCTCTTTCTTTCTTTCTACTCGTTTATCTATCTGTCTATCTTATTTTCATATCCATCTATCTATTTATCCGTCTATCATTCTACCTATCTACCTACCTATCTCTCTCTCTCTTTCTCTCTCTCTCTCTCTCTTTCTCTCTCTCACTCTCTCTCTCTCTCTCTCTCTCTCTCTCTCTCTCTCTCTCTCTCTCTCTCTCTCTCTCTCTCTCTCTCTCTTCGTCCCTCCAAAGAAATAACTCTCTTCGGAGCCAACGTAAGAATCTTAAAAATTGGAAAATTGGTGATCGTTTTTTATTCCCAAAGATACGGACAGAAAGTTGTTGTAGGTGTTCTCGGACTCAGCAGTGAGAGCCGTGTTCCCCCAGCTGTAACGTGCTTTGTTTTAGTGGCTCTGGGATCATGGAAGACACTGCGCGAGTACCGAACGTTCTGCGATATATTGTACAAATATTTTATCCTTCTAAGATCATGGACTGTTGCTAGTTTCCTCGATGATTAACAAAAGATCAAAAAAGAAAAAGAAAGAAAGGAAGATTTTTGAGGATCGTCATAAATACTTCGTCGTTGATGTTACGTGCCTTACGAAGTAGGACGTTTCATCAATTAGATTTCTCCTAATCGTTCTTTATGTCATGCAATCGAAATTTAATATGTGTGATATCAGAAACTGAAAATGTAAATATAACCATACTCATCGTGAGCAAACGTATACGTGATTAAATCAAAGTCCAAAACGTTTGGAAATTTTTGGTGTCGTTGGCAATATTGCACCTGCCACACGAAATATTGCCGATGGCTCGAAACAACGGCACGGCAACAGCATCGAGCAAGAACGGACCGCTTTTGCTGGTATTATAATCGCCGTTGCAAGATTCCCGACTAAACCGCCGTTCACCTCGACCATTTTATACTTTCTAAAGCCGCTTACTTTCGTAACTTGGCAAATACCGTGGTGGCCTCGTTGTATCTCTACCATTGCCGAGTTCTACACAGTTAGCATTTATATGTGTGTCCAAGTTGAAGTTTTCTTTCCTTTACTCTATACTAGCATATAGTAATGCATAATTAACATGCGTAATACATACGTATACGAAGAATTTGTTTTTCTTTATTTCATTTATCGTTTCTTTTTTCTATTTGTTTAAACATTTTTTTCTACTTTTTTCTTCTTCTTCTTTTTTTTTTTAAGGAAAATCTAACGTTGCATCGTTATTAACTTTTTTACTCGAACGATAGATCATCTGCGCTTATTCATATCTCTTGCGCAATGACTATTGCGCTGTTGTAATATCACTTAACAAAGTACATACGTTTCAAGAATTCATTTTATCGAGATAATTGCAATTAAAACGATGATTGTCAGAGAGAAGAGGAGGAGGAGAAAAAAAAGAAGAAGATATATGTATCTACGTAATTTTGTACAATTCCAAGAATAATTGCAGTAGTTTATAATCGATGACATAGCAAACGTTTCTAAGATAATAACGATCATATAAAAGTTACTTTATATAAAAGTATTAAATGATAAAAGAATTGATAACGATTAAAGTGGTGGGTAACTTTATCTTAATAGAAAAGGAGAGAGAGAGAGAAAGATGAGAGGCTAACAGGACTATGGAGGTAAGTTTGGAAAGTTACGGTTCGTCGTGAATAAAAAAAATCAAACGAGGCGGAGAGAAAGATAGAAGTGTGTTATGTATCTACGTGCATATACATGAGAAATAGAGAGAGAGAGAGAGAAAGAGAGAGAGAGAGAGAGAGAGGTGTATACAAGTAGAAAAGGGAAGTGGGACTAGCTTGCCTTGTACTACTTTCTTGCGCAGTTACAGGAACAGCGATAGGCATCGACTCTTAGCACAAGAACTTAGATATAAATTCTAAGATGAATTAGATTAATCTACGACGTATATTTTTATATTATCAAAACTATGAGAGATAATTGAAAATATTAAAAATAATAATAAAAAAGAAAAGAAATAAAGAAATATGTAAATATATAAGTCAACATTGAATGATAGATACGAGTTAAAATTACTCTTAAAATGCATCATTTTTTTCTGTACGTTTAGAAAAAGAATCGTCAAAGAGCCATAAAATTCATTGATCGATTAGATTACTGATATATATATATATATATATATATATATATATATATATATATATATATATATATATTGTTTGAATCCTATTAATTCCGATCATATTTAATATCTTAACAAGCTTAATTGTACTTCGTTTAATAATCCAATAATCCTCGTATTAACGTTTGCGGGTATAATTAACTATAAGAGTATTCTTATACTTAAAACAAAAAATGTGATATGTAAACTTTTCTTACGTACATATATATATATATACACACGCACACAAACGATATGTAAGTAGAATCACATTCGTGATCTTTGCTGAACGAACGAGGGAACGAGCGCGTGCGGGTGGCCTAGCGCCATTTTATAGAAGGCCTCAGTTTGCGGCCATCTTTCGCGTAACAACTCCAAATGTTTCCGCCTTCGTTCGTTTCAGCTTGCGTCTCTACGCTCTCCACGTACATATGTAGTAGATTTCGTTTTATCCGGCATGTCTAATTTTACACGGTGACCTCGAAACCGTACTTCGTCCAAAACCCACGTTCCTCTCCTCGTACTTGAAATCGAAAAGAAAAAAAAAAAAGAAAGAAAAAAGAATATGAAACGAAATGAATGAAGAATCTCTTCGGAAGAAGGAGAGAGAGAAAGAGAGAGAAAATATATAAGTATATCTAAAGTTTGAAAATTGTATATGAGATTGTTGAAATAAATCAATTTTTACTCGTGCTCCATGGCGACTTAAAATTTTTCTCTTCCTTGTCAAGATTTACACAAACGACCTTTCTTCATTCACATTTTACCAAGTTAAACGTTTATTTATCTTCAGCTTCATCCGGTCGCACGTTACAAGGTCATCTATATACTTCCGCCTGTTTGATATAATAATCGAGTGTAAAAGTGAAACATATTTTGTAAAAACATCTAACTAGATTCTGGATGGAATAAAATTCCAATTTTACGACTAATATATTATTAATATCAGAACTCGGCGATTTGTTCTTTTTCTTTGCAACAAAATGACTACTCGGGGTCCTGTTTTCTTTTTTTTTTTTTTCTTTTTCTCCAAGTACGAAAATATTCAAAGCACCCCCCTTACGAGTGTATATCTTCTTTCTTTCTTTCGTTCCTTTACATTTATCAAACGGGAGATAAGTTCGTCGGTTCAAGGTTAAAGGTTTCACCTGCCTAATGGGAGAAGAGTAAAGAGGAAGAAGGGGACGATGGAGTTATGAGTCGAATTGGTTTTTTTGGGGTGAGATTCTAGGCGTCGACGCCAATGCCGTGGATGACATCATTGCGAAACGGTCGTTTCGTTCGTGGGGCCGTGTTGGTGGAGGAGGATGACGATGAAGAGGAAGAAGAGGAGGAGGTGGAGGAGGAGAAGGACGGCGGGTGGAGGGGGAGGAGTGGTAAAGTCTGCGGATGATTCGTGAGAGGTGAAGAGAGCCGGGAGGCCTTGCGAGAACTATGCGAAAAGAGGAAGAGGATGGGTGGAAGGAGGAATGAGATGCGCGCACGATGACTAGAAAGAGAAGGAGTGAGATAGACAGAGGAGGAGGAGGAGAAGGTGGCGGCGAAGAAGAAGAAGGGGGTAAGGGAGGAAGCATGTCTATATATCAGTGTGTCTATATGGGTGCTGTTTGTTGCGCGATTGCGCGTACCTAACCAACGAAGCAAGCTTCACGTGTGTGTAAGGAAAGGTGGTGGAAGCGAGAAAGACGAGATTATAGATGGGAGAGAAGAGTAGGGGAGGCGGAAAGGGTTGGGGGGGAGGGAAGAGAGCATGATATAAGCATGCCGTGGTCAATCCGCGTAGTGGGGCGAAGCGGGCAACCAGGCCTTGAAGAAGGAAAAGAGAACAAAAGCGCACGCTCTGCGACTATGCGCTGCGTAGCGCGCGCTTCTGTAAGAGTGTGTGTGAAAGAGAGAGAGAAAGAGAGAGAGAAAGACAGATCTTCGCGAGAGCTCTGAGGAAGAGTAATATATTTTTTTTCTTGCTCTTTTTTTCTTCTTTCTTCTTTTTTCTTTTCGTTGAACATCGATATGATTTTTCATTCTTTTATAGATTTTTCTTTCGTTTTCTTCTTTTTCTTCTTCTTCTTTTTCTTTTTGATCTTTGAACGTTTTTATTTTTCTTTGATTTTATGAATTTCCATTCGCAGCCAAGAGAACTATGGATGCCTGAACGGAATATTCCGTTCGGAGGGTGGAACGTTTCTCTCGCTTATGTAGTAGAGAATTATATCATAGTGGTAGTGAACGTAGAAGAGAAAGAAGAATGAGAAACATCGCGACGTAAAGGCCAAGCAGGACGTTCATCGTCGTCGTCGTCGTCGTCGTCGTCGTCGTGTCGCCGTCGTAGTTATCGTAGTCGTCGTCATCGTCGTTGTCATGGTTATCGCTGAACGTACGTATGTATGTATCTATATACAATGCGTATGTACAACACGAGAACGTTCGTACTATGCGTAGAACAGACCGCGTTGCGTAATCGCGACGATATCAATTATTAAGCATAGTCTTTGGCTTCGAACTAAGTGAGCCACCAGTGGCGACTTTCTGGCCACGTTTTGTAATGCCTAAATTCGATTACTTATTCCTTTCGATTTCTTCTTAACTAGAGGCCATTTTTTTCTTTCATTTTTCTTCTTCTCTTTTCTTCTCTTTCTCTCTCTCTCTTTTTTTTTAACTCTGCAAACGATCGCTCGCTCGCTCGCTCGTTCATTAGTTCGTCCTCACACGATCTATCCTCTGGGTATTACTTTTTTCCTTTTTTTTTTCTTTTTTGGCTTCTTTTTCCTCCCACTTTTTTTTTCCTTTTTCTTCTTTTAACTTTTTATCAGTAGATTCACGCTTTTCCGCACCGCATCGCACGCTATCGCGCTGCATTAACCCGCAAAGCCGGACGACAACGGCTACTACATCGGCACCGCAAGCTATCGCGGTTTTATTCTTTCTTTCCTCTCTTACGTACGAATTTAGATTCGTACACTTGCCGAGATAAATACTACGTACGAAAAGAGGAAGTTTGGCGGAACGATTTTTTGTAGATGAAAAAAAGAAAAAGAGAGATAGAGAGGATAGGACAATAATCTTGAGCGATAAACGGCAAAAGAATCAGAGTTTACGTGGACATTGGAGCAGGGCTTTAGAAAAATCATACATACATATCCTATATGTGGTTTGAACGTTCCCCGATGATCTCCAAAGTTAATCTTTCATTTTTGATCGTTTCACCTTTTTCTAAATTCCAAAAGGGAAATAATGTTTAGTTTATTTCGAGGAGTATTAAAGGCTTATAAGAGTATAAATCTTGAAAAAGGTAAAAAAGGAGGATGTAAAGCAAAATGTGGTATTCGTAAAGGCGAGGGCGGAACGTTAAAAGGGAAGGAAGCAGAAAAGATGGAAGTGTAAGTGGTAGGGATGGGTTTACGATGCGGATTCATAATCCGCTTCTTTACCGAAAAACCCACCCTAACTTTCACCCTCGCACCATTCCGAGACGTGGCACTTCCAAAGATGGCTGCCATGGCAGGAGGTCAGCGGGTGTGCGCTTAGACCACGCCCTACGACGCGTCGCAGGCAAACCAAACGAAGCTTTCTAAAGGCGATTAGTTCGCGGTGGATCCGAGTGGAGGCCGTGCGAAGCGAAGCCGACGATGTTGACGCGTCAAGGGCGCTTCAAGGACGAAGAGCGCTCCTCTTTTAGGAAGGACGCGCGCGCACACGCCCGCAATCTTTCTCTGTCTCTCTCTCTCTCCCCTCCTCACTCTTTCTGTCTCCCTTCTTCCCGGAAATCTTCTTCCCTTTCTATCGTCCGCCATTCTTCTAGGGTCCCTAGAGGCAACGCCGCACCCTACAGCCTTTCTTCTGTATTCCAAAAATATCGACGTGACTTTCAAACGCCAAAATTCAACTAATTTTGTACTTTTCTCTTCTTCTTTTCTTTCTTTCTTTCTTTCTTTATTTTTTTTTCTTTTACTTTTAAGGAATATCCTTACAACGTTTCATTCGACGATCAATTTGTATCTACATAGAAATGTTGAGAAAACAATTCTATATTTATCTTCTATTAAATACATATAAATAATAGATATAACAGAATCAATGAGATAAGTGATTTAATCGTTCGATGCGCATTTGGCAACTCTCCCTTATTTCTTATAATGCTTGACGTAAGGATTAAAGGTTTAATCTAAACATTTTAGATACGATAACAATATCATAATTATTATTGGGTCTTAATAATTTATTGGAATGCATATGAGAGACATTGAAATTTATACATAAATAATCTAACAAAGTAAGAAAGTTATTCAAACAATATATAATTATATGTGTATATTATAACGCATGCTTCTCTCTTTCTTTCTCGCTTTCTCTCTCTTGACCACCCTTTTGATAAAGCCAAATGTATATGACTTATATGACGCAGAAACGAGCGTGTTTCCAACTAATCTATTAACTCGGTGACGCCTCTGATCGTTATTTCACACGCACGTTTCTCTTCATACACCTCGCCTCGCCCCGATGAAATCATCCTATTCGGATCTTGCAAACGATTAATCCTCGTAGCATAATTTTTCGAAGTCTCTTAACGTGATCATAAATAATTACGATGAATACCATTTCTGTGTATCACTGTATGAAATATTTTACAAATCAGTATAAAAGCGTCATAAAATAGTTTTCTTCGTTGTAGAAAATGAAGAAAGTTTCGTTCAGCAATCATAAATAATTACTCCATAATATATATATATATATACATTGAAATATTTCCAATTTAACGTTTTGATCGTCAAAATAATTTTACATAAATCAATATCAACCTATCATTAATTAAAATGTTATCAATAGATAGTTATACAAATGTCACTATTGAATAGATTAACATTTCCTTTGATGGGAAACAATGGAAATGGATGATATGGTGAAACGATATTAGGATTACTCAATTATATTGATGACATATTCGAACTATTAACGGCAGTTTGTGAAAAATAAGTACTACGAAATCCGATCAGAAAGAGAGAGAGAGAGAAAGAGAAATGAATGTTGCCACGAGCCGTGAGAAGCATGGCGCTTTTAGAAGGGGCCGGGGTGATGCTGCGAAGAAGGAAGAGGCAAAAGATAGGTAGGTGGAGGTGGAGGAGGAGGAGGAGGAGGAAGAAGAAGAAGAAGAAGAAGAAGAAGAGGAGAGGGTAGAAGAAGAGGATAAAGAAGAAGAAATAGAAGGAGGAGAAAGAGGAGGAGGAGAAGCAGAGGATGGTATTTCCGCTGTTGCATTGCCTATCCATTTGGCAGGTTTGGCTGAGGGCATGCGCACAACATGTGCCCACCTACCTACTTACCTATCTGTCCGCTCGTTTCTCGACCGCTTACCTGCTCGCTTGCCTGCCTTCTTTCCTGCCTGCTTACTTGTCTTGCCTGTGCCTGTCTGCCTGCCTGCCTGCCTGCCTGCTTGCTTGCTTGCTTGCTTACTTGCTTGCTTGCTTGCTTGGCCGCTTGCTTGACTGCTCGCCTGCCTACCGGTTTGCCTTGATCCCTTGAATAGCCACACACATCTACATACACATATACAGTAGGTGGGTTGGTAGGTAGGTAGGTAGGTACGTCTTTCTTACGTAAGCGCCCGTGAGAGAGCGAGTTATTACCACAGGGACGTCAATATGAAAGAGAGATAGAGAGAAAGAGAGAGAGAGAGAGAGAGAGGCGGAGAGAGGAAGAGAGGGAGAGAGAGAGACCAACGGATCCGGTACAAGGGACGTTCGAATTTGACCCGTAGATCGACTCGTTTTTAACCCTTCGTCATCATCATGATCTCTTGTCTTTTTTCCCTCCCCCCTCGCCACCCTTTTCTATTTTTCTTTTCTTTTCGTTTCATTTTTTTTCCTTTCCTTATTCTTCACAGAAAGGATCTCCAATTATATTTTTCAAATTGTTTTTTTTTTTCTTTTCCTTTTTCTTTTTTCTTGTAGGTATTACGTCAGAGTTATACTCTATAGTTATGTAAATTTATTAAAAATATGTAGATATGGTGAGTTCGTTCAATTGATCAGGATACGTGCGGTTAACAATACGACGACGGAGTACGGATACATCGAGTATTATTATTTTGCTCGTGCGTTTTTTTTTCTTCTATTTTTTTTGTCATTTTTTTTATTTTCTTTTTTTTCGGATTTTTTTTTTTCTATCTTGACTAAACTTATTACGGAAGCGCAGCTGGCGGCGTCGGGCTGCATTGTAAATTTATCACCGAAACATGCCTCTGGAGAATTTCGTTTGTAACAGGACACAAATCGTTGCGAAGGTAATACACTGATGAAAATGAGATTCTACGGGTGAAATATTTTAATCTAGTAATTTTTATTTATACGGTTAATTTCTTTCGGGATTAGAACATTTGGCTTTAAAGTGTTTAATAAAATTTTAATTTTTGATTTGCTAAATTTGAATCGTTGACTAGTAGGAGAATTCATAAACTAAATTCGTCTGGATCATATCATCGTATTAGATTTTGACTTTACGACGTAACACTTTAACCTACTCCTCAGCGATACTGTTTTACGATCACTGAAACAATAATCGAAGATTCGTTCGTAGTAATCGATGTTAAAACAACAAAAATTACTTTCGAAGAAAGTAGTCGTATAAGTTAAAAACAGACAATTTCCTATAGCACGATCTCTAAGAAGTTTTACATCAAACGCAATTATATTATATCTAACGATATAGTATATGAGTATAAGATCTCTCGTATGCTTTTACGATTTCGTGTTAAATACTGTAGATGTGTTACTCGCTTAACGACAGAACTTGAAGAAAAAAAGAAAGAAAAGAAAAAAGGAAAAAAAAGAAAAAATTTTTTTTATTAAATTCTAAAATAAGTAGAGAATGTATCTCGAATTTGATGACACGTTAGTTATATTTGAACGATCGATTCAAGATGGGAAAAGGAAATAAGAAAATTTAACAAAGAAACATTGAAACTTCGTAATACTTTGGAAGATATCATGCAAATCTTCTTATTCAACATAATTGTCTCTCTTTCTCTTTCTCTTTCTCTTTCTCTTTCTCTCTTTTACACATATACATATACATATATATGTATATATATGTATATATGCATACACACGTATGAAGATGCAAACCGAAAGCAAAACTTACGAAGCAGTGCTTTCATAGATGCAGTGGCCCAGTTTGTAGAGAGCTACTACGAAGGCAGTCTCTGTTGGAGAGTGGGCGGGGAGGATTCGTATCTGTGTCACAGCACACGCGCTCTGTAATCGGAACTTTTCATCGCCGGCGTTCTCTGTGTTCTTGGCCCGTTTGCACTTTGCACGAATGGAGATCGTTCAAATGGAAGATTCAGAGTCGTGCTTAGATCATCGCCAATACACATCATTATGATAGAAGATAGAAAAAAGAGTTAAGAAATCTTTTATACAAATCTCTGTCTATCTATCTCTCTTTCTCTCTCTGTCTCTATCTTTTTTTTACTTGAATTTTATTTTAAATATTATGTCGGAAATGATTATTCCGATGTTTCTATTCTATCATTGAAATAATCATACCGGCACGATGATTTCGATCAACGAAAGGATATTACGAAACAACGAAAGAATAGTTAGAAACAGCAGGAAACGTGAGAAGAGTGTCGAGTCCGAGGTAAAACGAACCGTAACTTCTTACGTGAATGCAAATTCGTTAAATAAGCATACTTCGTAAGGAGTCGGAGCGAAAACTCGTTTTCAAGCTTACTCTTCCCAAACGGAATAACGTTGAACATTTAACGCACTTATATATATATATATATATATATATATGTATGTATATAGGTAGATAGAAGTATTATTATCGCGTGACATCTTGGTTCATTCGAAAAATACAGCTGTCTCTCTGATATAATACCTATAAGAGAGAACGTTTAGATTGGAATATATACTCACAATATATGAATACTTTCACCTCGATACGAGCTGGTTCTTATTGATCGTCACAAAGTGGTAGAACCTGCATTCGTTATGTCGAAATCGAACTTCTTGTCCAATGAGAGAGAGAAAGAGAGAGAGAGAGAGAGAGAGAGAGAGAGAGAGAGAGAGAGAGAGAGAGAGAGAGAGATAGAAAGACCCGTTAGACGACAGAGTATAATATAGAGAGAAAACCGATAGAGAACGCAAGAGCCATACGGTTTCTATCACACCCTTACTCTCTATGCATCTTCTATCTTGTAGATTTATTGGACATTTTACAGAACACCGTGCATGAACACCTAATCGACTTAGATTTTCTATCCTATTTATCGTTAGAATAACGTAAATATATGAAAGGAATAAGTAATAAGTAATACATATTATTATAGCTATCTACTTGCATATATATATATATATATATATATATATATTAGATTCTATCTGTAAGAGTTTCAGTAATAATCAACAACATAGTAGACTTTAATCTTTATCTTTGTATAATTCTTCGTTAAGCGAGTCGATATTTACGACACATTTTTAACATTTCATCAACGTCGATGTAGAAACTAGGAGTATCATCGAGAAGAGACCAAAGATGACGACGATTCGCATGAATTACCGAGATGTCTACCTTTGTCGGCGAACAATACGATCGTGTCAACCCAACGTTATGTTTCGAACAAAAGCTCTGCTTGCAAAGTGCTCTCTCTCTCTCTCTCTCTCTCTCTCTCACTCTCTCTCACTCTTTCAATGTTATGTGTGAATATGTATGCGCCTATGTCTATGTGTGCCATTTTACTTATACCATACGTAGCGCAGGCGCTAGAAATACGCGAATACTTTCATAGTTATGCGTCTGCAACATCGTAATCGGGATGTTTCGTGCTGCACACACGCGCACACATATATACACACACACACACGCACATATATTTGCTGTCCTACATTTAGTGACTATAACCACCAAGCCACGGTATTATGAACTAGGCCGGATGACTCCCTCGCGATTCTATGCACGCGAAATTGCAATTCCACGTCCAAGCATTGTCTGCTTGGCCTCAACACAACTAAGTTTAATAAGAAATTTCGCACGTTGCTTTTTCTTCGCATTAGTTCATTATATCATTTTCGCTTATCAAATTGTCAAAGAGAAAAATGATATAAACAGAGAATTACTAAAAATTTTTTCTTAAAATGATATTCGTCGAAGGACCATTTAATCTTATGTTATTTTTCTTTTTTTCTTTTACACTTCGAATATTATTATATCATCGTATTTGTCATTTATCAAAATGAAAAAAGAAAAAAGAAAAAATGGAAAACAAAGAAAAAAGAAAAAGAAGAAAAAAAATATAAAAATTGGGAACGTCGCCGGCCATTTTGGTTTCCACGAGTATAAGTATCCATATCCTGTCTTAAAACGGTACTCGTGGATGGACATTTAATCGTATACGTTACCGTTACATCATGAGGGTAACGTTACGTTATGAAACAGTGAAAAAAAAAAGAAAGAAGAAAAAAAAAAGAAAAAGATAGACATCGAGGGAAGTCAATGTCAAGGGACATGTTTTGTTAATGAAACTAAAGAGAAAATTTTAAAATTTTTAAATGAACTACTAATTTGAATTTTAAAACGAACGTAAAATATATAAATCTATCAAAGGATCGTTGTAATATTTAATTATATAAGTAAGGAAATAAATTCGGTTCGAGATAATCTTAAAATGGATAGGAAATTATGACTTATTGACTCGACATAGTGTTCCACTTTTATCTAAAGTGGTGTCATACGTCAAAACCTTTCACGCGTGCAATGCGACGATGCTTTATGCTCATTATAAATACATATTTAAATATATATATATATATATATTCATGTGAATATATACATAAATACATATATACTTATATATACAATCTCGTGTTGGCGTAAAAAAAAAGGACATCGTTTCGTAGCACGCATACGTTTACGCGTGGGCGCGATCGCACGGTAACGCGTGCGGTTTTAGCGCGATCATAGTTACGCATGCACGAACAAGCAACTCTTTAATCCCGGTTTCATATAATTTTTTAATGTTACGTATTATTTCTGTTTATTTCTTTTCTTCTTTTTTAATATTAAAATGAACAGAAAACTATGTTTATTTTATAGTTAACAACAATTTTTTTTCTTTTAATTCAAATTTATTTATTAATAATTATATGGTGAAGTTTGAAATATTTCAAACAAGTCAATGAAAAATTAACACTCTTTAGCACCATATAACTTTAAAGTTTTATATATATATATGTTTTAATCCTCATTTCATTATCTTGCTAAAAAATTAAACTTTCGCACTATGAAGACATCGTTAAAATGATAAAACTATTTTTCCATAAAACTGTTGAATCACCTCTGACACTTCACTTTTAATTAACGAAACGAATGAATGATAATAATACATAGCAAAGTATTATTGAAAAATTGCTCTGTAGATATACGTGCATACATAACTAAGCATATTATGTATATATATATATGTATCAAAAGTGAAACGAATCAAAATTTTATTTTTAATAATTGTAGTACAAAGGATTGATTGTTATAAGTCCATTATAATTCTTTTGGATATAAAAGAAAGAAAGAAAGAAAGAAAGAAAAAAACAAAATGACGGAAGTAACTTTGAGTCGGAAAAAAAAAAAGTAAAAGGAAAGAACTCGTTGCAAATACAAATAAAATGTGGTAATTTGTTGCTTGTATGGTAGTTTATATATACATATATATGCATACATGCACATATACATACATACATACACATATTATATATATATACATATACTACTGTCTCTGGCGCAATTCCGATGCGTGCGTAGTCGGTCTTAACTTGCGTACTCCAGCGTTCATCCCCACCCTTTACCACGCGAACCGAAAGCTAGCGTTTCTGTACGGTTTGTTGCGTAACGGTGCAGAGTCATGCGATAGGATAGGATGTGTTGTAGAGGCAGAGAAGTGGGAGAGGCAAGACGGGGAAGATCGAGGCATATAGACGATACTCTTGTCGGAAGGGGACCCAAGAGAAGCGAGAAAGAGAGAAAGAGAGAAGGAGAGAGAGAGATATATATCTATATATATATATATGTATATATGTATATATATATATATATATATAAAGAGGGGGCGGTGTCAGCCTTGAAACGCGTACGCGAGCTGCGTGCGTCGTCACAAAACAGCAAGCTTGCGAATTCACATAGGTTTCTCGTTCCATGTTCGATCGTTTCCACGTCCTCAAAAAATCTCTTTCGTTTTTTCTCAATTCTCGTTGACAATAGTTTTATATTATTTTATAATATCAATTTATTTGATATTACCATGAGTAAAATTATATATCATTCTCAAAATAGCTTGTCGGATATTAATTAAATAGATAAATGGAATTAATGGATTTATAGGAGAGATAAATTTTAAAATAGTTTGGAATCGAATTATACACACACATACACACACACAGAGAATTATATTAGATAGTAGTAGAGATAACAGAATTGTAGAATTATATATATATATATATAAAACACGATACACACAATAGGAACATCCTTCTCTTTGTTAAGAGTAATTAAAAATACAATGCATATCTCATTCGACCTTATCTTGCTAGCGCGTTCTTCTAATCGTCGTTATGGCATGCACCATTCAGACTTATCGAAGAGCTTTTCTTCCTCCATTCTGCCCTTGAATGTTCAACACGTAACTCGTCGACCTTGTAGACTCTAACAATAAGAAACAAAAGAATCCTATTAGCTTATTATATAGATATATATATCTACAAGTTACCGCACATATACTAGCGTTAATCCGCTAGAGTTTATTATTTTTCTTTTTATCTCCATATACATTTGCTTTTTACATTTCATGATTATTATTTAAATATAATGGACATTGTGTAAGAGTTATTTTTCTTTTAGTCATACAATCGACTAATTCACTCTCTTTCTCTCTCTCTCTCTCCGACTCTGCAAAATACAGACTTGAACATTATCGTATTCCATTCGATTACCGTAATACAGGGTAAAAAGTTTACCTGGAATTGATCGAGCAAGAAGGTAAGATATATAAAAGTTGTGTAAAAATTGGGCCAACGTCGAAGAAAATAAAAAAGAGCTGAAGGGTGGAGTCAAGAAAGTGAGAGAGAAAGAAAAAGAAAGGAAGGGTAAAGTGTGTAAAGTGAGTAAAGTAAAGTAAGTAAGTAAGTAAGTAAGTAAGTAAGTAAGTAAGAAAGGACGAAAAAGGAAAGCTCTCGGAAGAAAAGGTATAGCCCAGTTCGACTCGTAGAACGACTCGATCGATATCGTTACCATGGTAACATGGACAGTGCCGTAGTGCTCTACTACTGATTATTTATGTCAAGGATTCCCCCCTTGCACCGAAGCTCAAAACGAGGCTGAACACAAGCACAGAGAGAACCACCCCTAAAGAGGAGTTAGAAGGGGTCGATCCGACTTGGCCAACGTGTAGCCTTTACCATCCTCGTAATAAGGATTGGTGGTAGGTAAAAAGGGGTGGTAGGTGTAGATGTAGTTGTAGGTGTAGATGTAGGTGTAAGGGTAAGAATAAGGGTAGGGATAGAGAGATAGGGATAGGGATAGGGATAGGGATAGGGGAAAAGCAGGTAGAAGGGAATGAGTTAAGATATAGAATAGTGTGGATATCGTGGGATTCGGGAGACGAAAGAGGAACGGAATGGTTCACTGGTATAGGCTGCTTTCGACCTAGTTTCACCCTTATAAGGCGGTGGTAGCATCAAGAGCAATCGATACTGCACAGGAGGGGAGAGCCATCGTGCGTACGACCAAGCAAACTGAATGTTTATTATTCGAGACGACGCCTGACGTATCATTCCTTAGAATCATCTAAATGAAAGTAACGAACACATGTATATCATCGAGAAAATTTGATTAATGAACATACATTAAATGAATATATACCTTGACCGATCTCGAGCTGAAAAACCATTATTCGATAAACTCGATGTATAATTTCACTATTAGATTTCATCGTGATTTATTTTTAAATTCGAGTTCATCGTCAAAATTAACATCGTTCGGGAAAACATCAGCTCAAAGGAATATAAGGATTAGGGTGCATCATTCTGAAACATCGTTTGTATCACCAATTTAATTTCTTCATTATATTCTAATATCATTCTGAGAGATTGAATGATAATTCTGTATAAATTATTTTTTCTAATAGCTTATGATTTTTCTTTTTTTTTTTTTTTTTTTTTTTTTTTCTTTGTGGTATATAGACGTACCACAATAAATAACATTTGTAAAAGAATATATATATGTATGCATATGTAAAGTTTCAATATATTACAATACTACCAAAGTAAATGTGAGAAATAAGTAAACATCACCTTTTTTTAAATATATTTTATAAAACATCCTATTTATACAGCATATAAAACAATACTCTGTATTTATTTTATATTCACATGTTAGCTCTATATGGCTATACCATCATAATCCTTCTTCCTGTGTATATCTGTATAGTCGGCGGATTAACATTTATACTATGACAGCGTACTGTCTTCCGTCTGTTGTAAAGTACCTGTATGCTTGGTGCCAGAGAGCAATGGTGCACTCAGATTGAATTGATTAGCATTCATTAATTCAAGTTTTTGAGCAATATCCAATTCCGTGACATCTCTGCTTATGATCTTATTGAACACTTCGCTTGTAGTAGGTTCTATAATATTAGTTGATTCTACTACCTTTTGCTGCTTACTGTCTTTATTCCTTGCTTTTTCAGAAATACCATTCAATACCTGGACAGATTTAGCCGGATCTTCTAGATTTACAATATGATTTTTCAAAGGATCAGTATTGCTTTGTTTATTTCCTATGTGATTATGAACTATTGCATGATTGGCAAAAATAGTATCTGTTTTCCCTAAAAACTGGTTATTTGATAAATCATTATTGTAACTTCTGTCATTGTCATTACTAGTCCAGAATGAATCATCGAATATTTCAGTGTCCCGTTGCTCACGTGGCAATCGACTAATACGAGCTTTTACTATAGCAAGATGTCTGTGTACATAATCCTGATGGGGAGCCAATCTCGCCGCACGTTCCAAACATTGTGCTGCTAATCCCAATTTACCACGTTCTACCATAACTACACATAAATTATGCAATCCTTGTATATTCGTTGGATCCAATTGTAATATTCTGCGATAACACTAGAAAAATATTTATAAAAAAATGCGTAATTTTAATAGTTATCAATACGATACGAATTATAGATCATATATAAATTGTCTTTACATTCTCTGCAGCGTCCAAGTCCTTGATGTTATTTATATAAATATCTCCTAAAAGAATTAGGCCTTTAACATGATCCGGATGAAATCTAACTAATTGGTTCAAGAAGGGTGCTGCTTCGAGTGGACGTTGCTCGTCTGCTAATAATAAAGCCAAATTGAAAAGAGCTGATCGGAAATCTTCTTTCAAGGCTACAGCATTTCGAAACCAACGCTCGGCGCTGCCGCTGTCATGATCATCCATGGCTAACATTCCAAGATTAAAGTGGACACGTTCATTGTTGGAATCCTATTATAGATACATTCGATACGATACAATAATTATCTTTTATTGTTTTCTATTATTTTTCCAAGTTCCTAAAATAATAAATACAATAATTTATTCAAATACTTACTTTTCTCAGTAGTTTCAAAAGTCTTTCTCGTGCTACTTTACGTAATTCGGCACGTCCTAATTCTTGAAGTAATATAGCTGAATTTAATAATGCTTGCTCGTGTTCTGGATCAAATTCGAGAGCTTTGTCGAGATAAGCTAAGGCTTGAGACGCTTTTCCTTGTTCCAAGAACACAACTCCAAGCTGAAACAAATATGAAAATGTCTTAAGAAAAAAATAAATAAAACAATGATTATATAATTAATAAATCTTCGATAAAGTTAAAGGTGTGTAATAAAATATCTCGTATATTTAAAAAATTGGTATTTACGTTATAATAAATATCTGGATTATTACTGTCGTAAAATAATGCTCGTTCATAAACCTCCTGAGCTTCTTTTGTACGATTAAGTTTAATTAAAACATCGCCACGATTAATATAGGCTTGCGTATAATCAGCACGCATACTTATAGCTTGCCGATACAATAAATCGGCCTCTTCTAATCTCGTAGCATTTTTGGCTATTAAATTAGCCAAATTGACAAAGACATTTAAATGATTAGGTGCTATACGTGCTTGATAAGATTCTCCTGGCTTTGCCTTCGGTAATAAAGATTTTGCCTAAGGAACATTTAAAAATATAATTAAATATATAATTGTATATAATTTCGAAATGCAATATAATGGAAATTTATTGTAATTACCTTCAAGTATGCATCTTCTGCTTCCTTAAACATTTTAAGATGATTATACGTCCGACCGACATTAATATGAGCACCGATATCGTCACCTTGAACTTGTACAGCCATATTAAAGAAATTAAGGGCTTCTTTAAATCGACCTTGACTTTCCAATGCATGACCCACATTATTAAATAGCTTAGCATTCCGATCGTTTACTTTTAAGCCGGACATGAATATAGAATATTCGTCCAACCAATCATAATTCCTCATAAATGTTTTTGTTGAATGGGCGCCCAAAAGTGTTATTAATAGAAACAATGTCAGTTTTTTAAACCTAAAATAAAGTAAAGATTAAAAATTTATATTGATTAATTTTAGTTAATTATCATTAACAAAATATTACTTTCTCATAGATAAAATACTCCATCCGTATCCTACGAGCATACAAAAACCCATAGAAGGAGCATACAAAACTCTTTCAGCAATGACAAATCCAACAGGGAAGAAAAGATTTGATGCAGGTAGAAATGGTAGAATCATCATTGCTAAACTCTGAAAATATATATTATCAAATAAACTAATCTGAACTGAAATTGTTTCTTATTCTTAAAGATTATTATTATTACCATTATAAGAATAACAGACGTTTGTCTATTTCGCGTTAAAGTGGCTGTTGCCAATAATCCTAAGATAGTACCATGTGTGGCTATAGTTGCGAGATTACGAATATCTGTAAAGCTTTCTACCAATGGTATCGTTCCCATTGTCCAATCACAACATAGATCGCTTGGAAGAAAAAGTAATCTTAAATTAACTGCTGCGAGATAATTGTATGTCAGTTGCCTTGTTGGTGTTGTAGCAACTGATGCAGGATTGTCAAATCTAAAATATATATATAAAATATCTGTTATATCGAAATAATTATTAAAATATTTGATATTATCGAATGATTTATAAATATTTGGCCATACCTAGTAAATACAGGTAATTTTGAACCCATTACATGTAATCGTAAAATCAATAAGCTAAATGTAACAGCAGTGAGAGCTGTTAAACGCTTTGTACCTTCGCTGGACCATGTAGGAGATATCTTTTTACCATCAAATGCAGATTTTATTGCTAAACAAATATCTGATGCTTTAACCTGAGAATGAAGTAAGAAATTAATCAACCTATGAAGTTTAAACCCTTATCAACAATATATATACATATTTTATTTTACCTTTTGTACAACAAAAATTTCATATAAGACACACACAGCTGTGGCTGTTATTCCTTGTTCTTTACATAACATAGCGGTAAATACAAAAAACATAGATAATATCAATGATTTCCATCCTGGAAAAGTATAACATTTAAGGATAATATTCTACATAAATAAAAGATTATCATAAGACATATTAAAGAAAATAAAGTTTTACCTGTAGATTTTTTACTTTTGCAACACTTAGTATATGTGATTAAAGCTGCCAGGTAAAATAGTGAGGAAAGAGTTTCAGCTCTTCCAACCACTCCTGTAACCTTATTAAAACGATAAATATATCTTAAATCTTTGCCATCCTAATAGTATAGATATGCGATATTTGACATAACTTACTGCTTCTGTATGTATTGGATGTACAGCAAACAGCAAGGAAGATACAAGACTTGCCAAATCTGATAAAAACATCAAACAGATTCTGAAATTGAAAAATAATATTATGTAAAGACAATATCGTGATGAATCATTTATAAATAGATCCTGAAAGTATAACAAATAGTATTGTGATATTGTAAACAAACCTGAAGTATAATAGACACACTCCAACATGTAGAATGACATTAAGCAAATGATATCCCATAGGATCAAGCTGGTGAATCAGGTAATTCCACCGGAATGTGAGAACACAAAGTGGTCTGTATGACTTGTGTGATTGTTCCTATAAATAGATATTCCAATATACAAACGAAAAATAAAAGGACGATATATATATATATATATATATATATATATATAAACAAAACAATTATCTTGGATAAACTTTGAATAGTAAAAATATAAAAGGAAATATTTTCTTAGATATTCTTGTTGAGAGAGTATTCCCAACGAGAAGAAAATTAAACTAATACATATGCATTGCCTAAGATAAACATAAAAAGAAAAAAATTTATAATTTACATTGTAATTAGAACATAGTTCGCAGTATTTCTGAATGTCATATATGACATTATATTTATTTCTGAAAATAAGATTAAAGAAATAGAATAAAAAGTAAGTCAAAAAAATTGCTTTCCAAATTGCACATTTGGATTGCAATGAAATGAACGGACGCCGCGGATCAATACACGAGACACACGCACGCACACATAGGGAGAAAGAGAGAGAGAGAGAGAGAGAGAGAGAGAGAGAGAGAAAGAGAGAGAGAGAGAGAGAGAGAGAGAGAGAGAGAGAGAGAGAACGCCGAAACGGAGAGATGAAAGGGGTGACCGGTGCGCGTCCATTGAATGATTCTCCTCTTCTATCTCACCTTGTGCATGGGGGTACCCCAGAAGTCGTTGTAAAAGACATTCTTCAGGGGTGTATGCGGCCTTAAATCCCGATTATCCTTAATCGCTGAAATATCGTCAAAGACGAACCCGCAACCGAGGCTATTTAAATAAACGGCAAACGCGGTAAAGGCTATGATTGCCGCAAGTGCTCCCCGCGCAGGCACTCCCATCACAACTAACACATTAATCGGCCATTCGGTTTCATGCGAATTAACGGAATAATACGTTATTACTTTTTTTTTATTTTTTTTTTTCCTTTTTTATTTTCTTTTTTTTCTTTTTTTTTTTTCTTTTTTCTTTTTTTTTTTGTTCAATTATGATCGATCACTTATTATTATGTCTCCCTAAATATATATATATATATATAAAGATGTACGAGTGTGTATCTATGATGTATGTGTGTATGTGTGTATATATATATATTATATATGTATAGAAGATTCAAGCTATTCTTTGTAAACCGGAGAAAAACCGGTTAAATGTCATATCTACAAATGCCATTCGTACAGAATCGTCGTTTTCATATCGCTAATACTCTTCCACTTTATTTGATATATTTAAACACCGCCATATCTCACGTTCATCGAAATCAAGAAATATTGACGCGAACATTATATCCAATTTAAACTTTCCCGTCTTCTGGTTTCGCCTTGTCTTCTTATTTTTTACGCGATTTCCTATCTTTTTTTTTACGAGAAAAAAGCTGTCGAAACGAACGAGCAAAAATCAATCGCAGAAGGGTTCGGTACGATCGAACCGTCGCGTCACGGAACAACAATTGAAGAACCCAGAGGCGACACGCGAGGTCGCTCGAGATATCGCGAAACAAGTTGCGCGCAAGCGTTCATTTCTTATCATATTACAATTTCAATCTAATGTGATCATCTTCAAAATTCAAACTTATATCGATAAATTATATCGATAAATTACAAAATTAATTTGTTATATATTAAGTTCGAATTATTTTTTTATATAATAAAAAAAAAAAAAAAAAAAAATAAATAAATAAAACCGATTTGACACGTAGTCTGGGTTAAATCAAGTTTTCATTATCGGGCCGATTTTCATTCGTAACACGATATTGATTCGTTCGTTGAATTTTTCGACGAATTAAATATAGCTTACAAAAGTTATATCATCTTTTATAAATGAATTAATATGTAGCATTAATTATTGTTACTTCTGTTACTATTAATAAACGCAATATTGAATCGACACCAATGTCCCGCCCATTTCATAGTTGACGCATTCTACATAGGTGACACTACTATCGATTGTTACGAGTGCCCTCTGCTATCGTAACATCGTGTACTCGAAATTAAATACAAGACTTGGCTACGATTCCGACGGAATATTATCTTGAAGATTAAATACTTTTCTTAAAAGGAATTTAATTGATTAACTATGTTATTTATAATTGTTTAATATTTTACGAAGTAAATCATTGTCGTCTGTCAGAAAAATCGTTTGTGATGAAAATATAAATTTAAATAATTTTATACCGTGATATCTTATTATGTATATATGTATATGAAACACAATAACTGTTGCATTTAGTCAGTGAATATACAGTTATGTGACTACTTCGTGGATGATAATATAAGATTTTTCTCTGACAGTTAACAGTGTAACGTAGCATAAGCCAGTGAATTATCGACTGACAAATAAAATCTGATAATAAATTGATTTTCTTAAGGCCCGGTCGATCTAAAGGTAGTTATATTTCTTTTTAATAAAAATTACAAATATAATACTTTAAGTTAGGTTACTAACCGGTATTTGAAACAAAAAAAAGAAAGAAAAAAAAAAGGAAAACAAAAAAGAAAGAGAAAGAAAAAGCGTATATAAAAACATACTTCCTGTTCCTTCCAACCTACAATCATAGAGTAGTGTGGCACCGCCTTTCATTGCTGGCGTTTCACTTTTAGCTCGATCTGTCATTCGTTTAATTAAACGTGAATCATCCATGGTTACATTTAGACTCATTGCTTTACGATTATATGTAATCGATTATATATCATAGTATAATATATTAGAAAAAATTTAGATAAGTGCTGAATGTAAGTAGAATATGTTTGAATTTTTAATACTAACAAGATTTATGATTATTTTTTTAACTGCATATCACTTTCCTTTTTTAGATACGCTTTAGTTTACATATATTAAAAGAAAAACTATTCAATAATGTCAAAAAAGCCTGGAGCTACTCAAGCCATGCATAAAGTTATTATGGTTGGAAGTGGAGGTGTTGGAAAATCTGCTCTAACTTTACAATTTATGTATGATGAGGTATATAAACAAGGTTTTATAATTTTGAAATTGAATTAAATATTATTTAGATTATCGTAAAACGTATATGAAATAAAATAACACGTATATATGTATGGCGTGTATTGCTTTTTCAAATATAAATAAATTGATCTGTAATTAATAGCAATGAACAATGATATTAAATATTGAAATTAGTTTGTTGAAGATTATGAACCAACAAAGGCAGATTCCTATAGGAAAAAAGTTGTATTAGATGGAGAGGAAGTACAAATAGATATCTTAGATACAGCAGGACAAGAAGATTATGCGGCGATTCGAGATAATTATTTTCGCAGTGGAGAAGGATTTCTTTGTGTATTTTCTATAACAGAAGATGACAGTTTTCAAGCAACACAGGAATTTAGGTAGAAAATGTATAATTTTTAATTAAGAATTTTGCTCTCCCTCTCTCTCCCTCTCTCTCAGCACAAATGATAGAACTCCAAAGATATATATACATTTATTATATATGTCCTGTTATTTTTATTATATTTATTATATTTCAATAATTTTTATAAATAAAATTTATAAAAATACTATCAAATTTTATCAATGATGATAAATATGCAGATTAGCTTGTCTAAAATTTGATAGAGGAACTTTTCTTGTTTCATAGAGAACAGATTCTCAGAGTAAAAAATGACGAGAACATTCCATTTTTATTAGTGGGAAATAAAAGTGACCTACAAGAGAAAAGGAAAGTCAGTTTGGCAGAAGCACAAGCCCGGTCACAGCAATGGGGTGTACCTTATGTAGAAACAAGTGCAAAAACAAAGGAAAATGTTGATAAGGTAGGAATTACTGATTCTATTTAAATATATTACACTTCCAGTAAATGATAAAGGATACACGGAAAACAGTTCAAGTAACTGTGATATAATAGTAAAGAAACTATTATTCGTAATGTCTGATTATTTAAAATTGGAAATAAATTACAATGACTATACATTTTATTTTCAATAGGATGATTGCATAAGTTTTAATGCGTAAATATAGTGCTGTTCATTAATTCTGCTCGCTCTACTGCCGTACATTTTGTTTTTATATAAATACATCTCTTGAAGACTTAGAAACATAATTCTTTTGTTTTTGTGCCTTCAATTTCCAGAAGCATTTAACTGACCATAAAATGGGTTTATAACCAAATTAATCATAAGGAAATGGGAAGGGAATATTGCTAAGTTCGCTATCACTTTTGAAACTTTACTTTCACTGGTAATATGGAATACAAAAGAATACTACTTATGAATCTTCATGGTGTATCCTAGAGAAAGTAATATGAAGGTACAGTAGAAAAGGGTTGAGGGCGTGCATTGATGGACAGCACTGTAAAGTGTACATGGAATGTTTTGTTTGCTATACAGTGTGAATCATACACATTAACTCTTTTTTGCTAGTAGCTTAATTAAATAATTCATAGTAAACATCTCATTCGCAGAAATTAAATTAACTTACACAAAATGTAATATAATTATGATATTATAGTTTATGTCATTTCATATATCATTATATACTATCAATATCCATAACATTTCTTACTATACAATGCCACAGTCGTAAAATCATATATTGTGGATGACTAATATTTTTTGTAGTAGCATATACTTACTATTCATGTATGATGTGTTTTTGTAGTATGCAACAAATGCTGACAAAAAATGCAGAATTATAATAGAATCTTAATCTTCCTAAAGATCTGGAGTAAATTCCTGAGCTAATCACTGGAAAAACTGTATTAATAACTAAAGATATTGGTTAAGTGAGATAATAAGTAAAATGCATTGCATTGTTAATTTACCTTATTAACCTTTTATGCTTCTACAATTATGTTTTCATTTTGACAAGAAATATGCAAAGAACGAATTTCTTTTAACTAGCACTTTTACTAAACTCCCAATTAATAACCAAAATGTTATATAGGTTAATTCATGTAATGTGCTATAACATACAAATTCCACCTTTAATATTTATCATCACTATCTTTATATCATCAGAGGAATGGCATGTAGCTCATGATTCATCATTTCTTAGATTAGATGACATGGAAATTCCACTTTTCACAGAAAAATTGTCGAGATATGATAAGCCTGACACTTGAATCATTTATGATTAATACAATTAAAAAATATGTATTATAATGTCTTTAATTTAATATACATTATTTGATTATATATTATTAAGAGCATGTAAACACACCGTAATAAGCTCTGCCTGATTTTATATTTATATTACGTATATTTTTGTGAATGTATTGTGAATGTATTTATTATCATTGTTGTGTACGTGCTTTGTGATAAAAACAAAACAAAAAAAAACATAGTAGTGTGTGACTATATTTATATTATATGCACAAAAGTAATTTCTATCATATATCTCCTATGGTTGAAACATAATAATTGAAATAACATTAAAGCTTTGAGACAGCATCATTGCATATTTGCAGGTGTTTTTCGACTTGATGCGTGAAATAAGGTCACGCAAGATTGAAGACAAGTCAGCAAGTAATGGCCGTGAAAAGGATCGTGCCAAGCGGAAGAAAAAGAAGTGCATTATTCTATAGGTTTGCTATTTTTTTCACAGCGCTTTTTTTAAGTTTGAGAAAAAATCAAAATGAACAATATTATAGATAACTTATAAAAGAAATTTATAAATATGCCTTTGTGCAGTTATATTCGAAAAATAAGATATGTTGAAGATAATTAAAAATGATATTTAATGTTATCATCTTCTGTATATTAATGTTAATACTCTCAACTTTGTTTTCTTATACATTACGTTTGTAAATTAAATCAAAAAAAAAAAAAAAGAAAGAAAGAAAGAAAGAAAAGAAAAAATATTAAAAATTTGATTACACATATATAAGTGATAATAAAATGATAAGTTAGATAATTTTATGTGTCTGTGAAAATAATGTAAGAGAAACATAAAAAATAATTTTTTGTTAGACATGTCTAATTTTTCAACAACATATGCCGCCATTTCTTTAAAAATGATATATGAAACATATGATATAACAAAATATAATTACATTGATGTCGTGCAAGGCCTTAATTAGATTTATAGTAGAATGTGTGCACTTTGCTTTTCTAAGTATTATGATAATATGTATATTGGCATAAAATGACATGCTATTGCACTAATCCTGTAGTTCTATGTTTTGTTTCACAAGGCCTAGATTTGATGTGCTTGAAAAAAAATATCTATTTATATAGCATACTTGCAATATAATATGTAGAACATATATTAGGTTTCTGCTCTCACTATAATATATATAAATTTATTCTTTTTCCTTTTAAAACATAGTAATTTCAAATTTATATTTATATTCCATAATTATTCTTCTGTTAATTGATAATGTTTGACTAGCTGTTCAATATTTTAATACCCTCTGTTGTATTTACTCTATGGCTTTTATGCTTTCCAATTCCTGTCACATTTTTCATTGCATGAAACAAATCCGTGTACCATATCTTTATTTATCGCAATAAACAATTTTTTGTTGACAATTCAAGGAACCATTCAGTATTTCCTAATGGATTTTGTTAATAAAATCTCAATTATAAATTATTTTTTTTTAGCAATCAACGAGATCCCAATTTTTAGACAGAACAATAGCAGAATTGAAAATAATTCTATCAAATAAATTACAAGAGATTAAAAATATAAAATTACTGAAGTGTATAATAATATAATATTCTAATGTTTTCTGACAAAATTCTAATAATTTCGATTTCAGTATTAATATATGTATAATGTATGAAAAATAATATAATAAGATATGAATATTATTTTCATTTATTACAGGTATTTTTTGATTTAATGCGGGCAATAGCTGCTCGTAAAGCGCAAGAAAATCAAGTGGATGGGGATGAACGTAAGAAAAAGACAAAGTGCTGCATCTTGCTCTAACAAAGTAAAAAAAAAAAAAAAAAAAGAAAAAGAAAAAGAAAAGAAAGAAAGAAAGAAAAGAAAAGTATATAGCTTATATCTAACGCCCAATTTCTGAAACATGCATAAAAGAACAGTATTTATATACATTTTGTGACACTTTACACAGTAATATGACAATTTATAATTTTTATTATAATCTTTATCACCTATTAAAATGTTAAGAAACTACTGAATGTGTATCAAGCTTTAGCAAAACGTAGATAGGCTTATAATTATACTCTAATACTGAAGAGTGTTACGACAACTTGACCTTATTAAGAGACATAGTTCCTATCTTGAAAGGTTTGCAATATAATTAATAGATCGTAGAATTTGTTTGGCTAGAAGACTCTTATAAGTAGTTTTCTATCGAGTGGAAAAGATAAATGAGGAAGTAATAGTAATACTTGACAGTATGTACACATTTGCAAATAAGCATTTTTCATAATTGCAAGCATATCTTGAAACATTAACCCATTAATGCTTAGCAAAATTTGACGTCTTCTTGTTCTAAGAATATTATGAATTAAATTGCATATTTTTTTTCCTGTATTATTATTGCCATTATATAAAAAAAATCAGGCAGCTAGTGAAATACTTAAGGTCAAAATTAAAATGAAGATTTTGTTTTTATAGCATATTCATTTCCTGTAATGTATAGTTATGTATTAAGTTATGATGCTATTATCATTATTTTATCACAATACATTTTTCATTATAATACAAAAGCTTTATCATAATTTTATCACATTTATCCATTATGTCATTATGCGATAATGAAGATATCGCTCATTTTGAGATAAAGGTCCAATATAAGTAAAAACAAAGGAAAAACACATGCACACGTATTATGAGTGGTGCCTGTATTAAAAGGATTGCTATGTAACTTTACTCGTACAACGAATAATCGCAAAATTTTGCCACAATTTTAATTACAGTACTTGTAAGTTAAGAAAATTGTTTTCACTGGTATTACGATCAAGTGTTTTATCTCATAAGTGTTAAAATTGAAGTTAACTTTATGCTTATTATTTATGACCAATAAAATTTTAGTTAATAATATTTATGGACTGATCGTTTGATGTAATTGCTTATTACATATATATATATATATATATATATATATTTTATGTAAAAGAACTGAATTCATCTAACAATTAAATAATAATTTGTAGACTTATAATATAATAGGTAATGTGCTCTCTTTCTATATATATATATGGTAAACACAGTATAGAAGATTAATGCGCATTACTTAAGATATCATATTGGAAATCAAAAGCCAGATGAGCATTCAATTAATATGACTTACTTTATTGCACCAAATGACCTTTGCTATACAATAACTTAAGAAAGTACATGAATGAGTTATGAATTCATGAGAAAATGTTTTTTAATATTTAACTTTAGTAGATTAAATATATACTTCCTATGTTTAAATGTTTACTTCCTATCTTTTCTTATAAACCTGTGTTCATACATAATTGTAAAAAAATATTATAAATTTCAAATGTACTTTTTAAATCTATTTAAAACTATGGTAATTTTTGTTTTTTTTATATTGCATTCCTGACTAGTGTGCTAGTTCAAAATAATGGTTAACATATATAAAGAATATATTGAGGAATACGACGTATAGCTAAATTATAATTATAGACACACGAAGAGGACATATATATATATATATATGTATGTATATATATATATTAAGTATTTCGTTGATGACTAATATATTACATCGTTCTCATGATGTAAATACAATATACGCAAATTATCACGCGCGCTCTTTCATGCGCATGTTTTGGGTAATAATTTATCAAAGAGGGCGCTCTTAAACGTTCAATTTATAAAAATATTTCAATGTGGTCACTTTCTCTAGTAAAAAAAAAAAAACATTATACTTACCTAAGATGGCTAATATAACTGAGCGATAAATGTACGATTATAAAAAATGATATATTTTTCAATTTCTTAAATAAACATTGCGTTTAATCTTTTGCTTGTAATTAATCCTCGTTGTTTAATTAAATTCAAACTAATTCTCGATATATATTTGTTATTTCTTAAGGAACGATACGCAGTGGAATCTTGGCAATTACCAAAGTAAGCAGCAGGTGTTGGGAATATCTGAAGTAGCCATATGTGGTACCAATCCGCAAGTTTAAAATCGCATCTTGGTGTAGTGGCGATGAGTGAAGGAGCGTATGTACAATAGCCTTGAGAAAGAATATTTTATTCAGGGACACGCGGTATATACTTAATTTATAAAATAATACGGGTACTTAAATGAGAAGTGATTTTGTAGATATATAAACGTATCGGATATATCACTTGTGATGAAGTTAGTTTAATAACGTATAATCGATTGCACTTGTGGCAACGTACTCAACAAATCATCATCATCATCATCATCATCATCTCCGAACGATGCCAACATCCCGGTTGTGATAATTGTAATTTTGAGCACATTCACGACCGCGCGTCGGAATTAGACGGGACACAGGGGATTAATAAAGTTTTGATATTTATATACAAAAGCTAGATAAAGCTTGGTGTGAGATACATATTTAATAATAAGACGAAGTTAACCTAAAATGCGAGGGGTCGTGGACGCTGATGTTATTGTACTGATTAGTGTTCAATTATTGTATTGGTGTTGTGATATTGTATCGGCAAGTGGCGGAGCTTTAGATCCAAATACGCACATTCAAACCGGGGCTTCCAGTAGCTCCCACTCAAAAACGCCAACTTTTACAGCATCTCTTGCCGATGGTTTGGCACAAGTCGTTCTTCACGAGCCGAGTAAGTTTCTTGTTTTGATCTGGACGTTCTGCTTCATTTTTATTATTCTTTTTCATCTAATGCCAACGCTAAAACATTCATTGTTACAGCATAACAAATTTCGATTATTAATCTCACCTCTAATATCCTTAAAATAATTAAAATAACTGTCATGTATAATATAAAATTTTACATACGTAATGAAAGAATATAGGTGTATACGTTCGTTGTATTTTAGATTAGGCATTCTCCCAATTATTCACGTTTAAATATATGTACTTAATGATTCAGTATAACAGCGAAATCGTCTGCAGATTCGAGAAATTCTAAAGAAATAACTCTAAGAATAATAACTGTTAGTGCATGCATATATATTAACTATACAATTTTATTATACTTGAAATTTTTTTTTTTTTTATATTTTATTTTATTTTATTTTATTTTTCTTTTATTTCTGATTTATCCTCTACTATCTCTATTGTCAATATTTTAATGTGAATTTGGAAATGTAGAAAAATATTCATACACAATACTCGACACCATTCATAACAATACATGAATATTTATTATTTCTTGTAATTGCTTTTAGCTTGGGTAGTACTATTTAAGTCATTGATGTACATCATTATTACGAAGAATCATAATATCTTGATGACCTTGTCACACTGTAATTGACTTAGTGGCGACATAATACTTGCTAGCATTTTTTTAACATAGGTATATTCATTTTTTTATCCAACACTAATATTACATTGTTTGTTTTGATCATGTTTACTAAATTTCTCCCTTATTTTTTTTTTCTTTTTTTCTTCTTTTTATTTTCAAATTGATAAATGGATGATAGAATATAAAAAATTTTTACAGCTACTGAAACTTGCAACGATGATATAACTTGTTTAAGAATGGCTACTCAAGATCGACTGGGTTTAGAAGCAATTAAATTATTGCACAGTCAGTTAGACGACGATGCTAATGGAAATATAGATCTTTCAGAATCAGACGATGTAAGATGATGTATTAGTTATATATATTTTTATTCATAAGTTAATGTATAGTTAAAGTATATATTTAAACATGCTTATCTGTGACAGTTTTTAAGAGAAGAATTACAATATGAAGCTGGTTATGAGAGAAGACAAAGAGCTTTTCATCATAATGATGATATGCATATTAGTGTACGTGAACTTTGGGAGGCTTGGCTAAGATCGGAGGTATGAATATGCAATATTATTTACTTTATATTCTATAATCGAATATGCATATTATATTTGTAGGAATACCATTTATAATAACAACTTTCTAATTAGGTTCATAATTGGACTATAGAACAAACATCAGAATGGTTGACTACAAATGTTGAGCTTCCTCAGTATGTACCTACATTTATACAACATCGTGTGACTGGTGCTACATTGCCAAGGTAGTATAATTACTTATAAGCATTAAACGCGTAGGAATTCAAAATTCCATAACAAATTTTTCTGCTTTCATCATTTTCTTAATAAAAAATGTATCATTATCATTTATTAAAATATTCTCTTCATCAAACAGAGTTATTAAAACTTATGTATGAAGTGAGTGTAAAAATATCATTATGATTTGTTCATATTCTTATATCAATTAGTATTGATAATTTTACTCATTATTTTAACTTATGTTTTTCTTTCATAATTAGCATTATTTTTTTGGTTAATTAATATAATAAAAAATTGTAATTATATTAAGAAATAATGCGTTGAATAATTCCCATTGCAAAATTAAATTTAAAGACTTTGAAATCAAATTAAAAATATAAATTGAAAAAATGTTTTATATTATTGAAAGAATATTCATTGTTTGATTATATATGTGTAAGATATTACATTATAGTTTCATGTTATATTTTGACTTTTTTTTAGGAGTAAAACAAATTTTTAACCAGAAATGTTCAACTGCCGTATCTTTTCTTCCACCTACTTAGCAATACAATAGTAGGAGATAAATAATCTGCCCTTCCTTGGAATACATGGCTATGATAGAAAAATTTTTTAGTTTCAATCTCTCCTTTGAAGCTTATATATGTGATACTGTTACATAATATGTACAATGTATTCGGTTGAACTTCTAATAATCTGAGATTTTTTAAGGACATTGTTCATGCATAAAATATAAATCATGGAGAGTGACTAGTAGTTGAATTTTGATAAAAGCGCTATTATTTAATAATATATATATATATATATAATAACAGAAAGAGAAAATTAAAAAGCAGCATTTTTTTTTTTTTTTTTTTTTTTTTTTTTTTTATCTTTCATTAATTTTGTTAGTAATACTATCACGTGCTTTATAGCATTGGATTCATTATTAGTACTATTAGTTATGAAACAAAACTTTGCCATATAATAGATAGCAGGAGAGGTGAGTAAAGGATAAAAAGCAACAAACGATTTATTTTCACTCACACTCCTTTGTATTTCAATTATGTTCTTTATAAAAATGGTACATATTCGATAAAAGAATCCTTTCTTGATTATTATAGTAAAGAAAGCAAGTCTCTCAAATCCGTCGATACTTTAGCCAATATTATTTGACGACATATTTCCTAGACATAGTCTTTTGATGTTTTTAGACGCATTCCTGAGACACACTCTCAGTCTTGCTTATAATATCTAAAGGATACATGGCTGTACCACGGAATACTAATGGATCTGGCTAAGAGGCAAATTTATATGATCGGGTTCTCTACATCAATATGAAGAAAATTGAGAAATGGAAAAATACAGTGACTTCCTCTATGGGTTGTGCCATTTGTAATCGGGGTATGTAACGAAGTTAATTATAGCGATGAATCTATAATTCAATGAAATCCTGAAAGATATGCAAATGATGTTTAAAAAATTAAGGAATCAAATTAGGATTTAAAACAAATTATTTCTTAAGTGTACTATGCACAATATTCGTATAAAGAACAATTTTTAATAAACTTACGTTTCTACATAAAATATAAAATCATATATAGCACGTATATTTTTTTTATCATCAATAAGATGAAGTTGTACTCTCTCGGCACTACGTCAGAAACAATTAGGCAAATAAAAGAAGTTCTTTGTATAAGAGTTGTAAAATTAAAAATACTTCTTTAAAGATCACCAAATTTTATGTACCAAATGATGAATATATATAACCGAATTATAAATATATGTAACAGTATCATCATTTAATTGAAATTATAAGATAGTGATTAGCCACTACTGTTCCATCGAGAGAGGGACGACAAAAGGTATTGGAAGAAAAGATGCGAACTTCTTCAATTTATGTAATAACAAGTTTATATAGTATAATACAACAACAAATATTTGTAATCATAAATTGACAAATATTTGTTGTGTAAGTCAAATAAATTTTAAAACTATGTAAAATAAAGGATAATGGTAAGAATAATATATATATTTAGGAAGTAGAAATATATTTTAATATTCTTCATTTTGCTTTCTGTTTTGAATTACAAGGTAGAATCATTGATTTATAAAGGACAATCTATTGGTGTATAATTAGTTTTTATTTTAATTATATAGTACATGCATGGTTCAATTTATCACAAATTTCAAAGCCATACAATTCTACAATTATTCTTAAGTTTTGTATACCTGTATATTTTTATCAGGGAATTACTTCATATTATTATCAATTTTCCTATACTAATTCCTAATTTGTAGGAATATATGTTATTGTTAGATTTAGACCTTTTATATCTGTAGAAGTTCATGGAATTTATAATATAATGTTTATATTTTCTTAAAAAGATAGAGATATTAGTATATGCTTTATTATTTATTACACATATATATATATATATCATTACTAACAATTCATTTTAATATGCCATTGATTTTACTTACATATTTTGTAAAAATATATAAGCACTCAATAACAAAGAAATTGACATAATTGCATGTGTATTATTAATATTTTAGACATTATATATATATTTCCTTTTTTGATGTCATTAGATTGGCTGTCAACAATATGCACTACCTTAGTAATATTTTGGGAGTTAAAGATCCCATACACAAGCAAAAAATTGCTTTGAAAGCAATGGATGTTGTACTTTTTGGTCCTCCAAAAGGTAATATTCCTATTACATTGCTGGATAGATATAGATGTATATATATATAAACATGAAATATATTTTATTTCTTCTTAACAATGATATCAACAGATACTGGACATGGCATTAAAGATTTAATATTGATCACGTTATTATTTGGAGCACTTATTGGATGCTGGTATGTATATCAACAAAAAAAAAGTTCACAGAAACACTTGCATAGAATGATGAAAGATATGGAAAGTTTACATAAAGCGGAACTTGCATTGGAAGATTTGCAGGTACACCTTTATAATAATAATAATAATGATAATAATAATAATAATAATAATAATAATAATAATAATAATAATAATAATAATAATAATAATAATATTTATATATTCAATATAATATATTTATGCCCAAATAATTATTTCTAATAGTATTATATCGCTTGTAGAAAGAATTAGAAAGAGCAAGAATGGAACAGGAGTCTGCGACCACTGAAAAAAAGAATTTAGAAAAACGTTTACAAGATGGTAGTTTGGGATTACATACTTCATATTCTGATGTTGAAGTTTCACAGTTAAAAGCAGAAATTGAAGTTAATACAATAACAATGTATATTTATGAAAATTTAATATTTAATTTCAAGTTTTATATTGCAATATAAATTTGCAGATGTTGAAAGTAGAATTACAAAGAGCAGAAGGTGAACTAGAAGATAGATGTTGGTCGCCACCTGCTGGCCTTCAACATTGGTTGCAATTGACTCATGAAATTGAAAATAAAGCATATACAAAGAAAAAGATTTCAGCCGAAAAACAATTGCAACAAGCACGAGAAGCGGTAAGTGAATTATTAAATATCATCTTTATGTCAACTATTTGTCAATAATATGCATTATCTATTAGTGCGAGAAATTACGAAAAAAACGATCGAGTTTAGTTGGAGCATTTGTTTCTACTCATGGAAAGTCTATTGACGAGGTCGATAAAAGTATAGTCGAAGCAAGAACAGCATTAAATGAAGTTACAGTTGAATTGCAAGAACGTGTGCATCGTTGGAAACAAATTGAACTTTTATGTGGTTTCAACATAATTAATAACAATGGTTTGAACTATTTAGAAACTGTATTATACAGAGGAGCATCTAATGGTAGAGGTTTTGGATTAAGAGGTATTAAATGTATAATATATTACATATGTATTATATTTTCATTAAAAAATTTTTATTCTTATATTTTATTTATTATTTATTATTTCTAGGTCGACTCAGTAGTCAAGATGATTTAGATGACGAGACAAGTTCAATATATACATCATCGTCTCCTGGTGCTGCAGGTAAGATAGACATGGAGATGCATGAAAACTTAGACTGATTAATTTTGTTTCAACATGCAAGTACTACGTACTTTTAGTGCGTTTCGTAGAAATCATATTTTAATTATTTTGAACTATATAAATACCTGTAGTATTGAAAGTTCAAGTTATTCAAATGTTTGTTCTTTTAGTATTACTCATAATTCTATTTTGTTCTTGTTCAATATACATTTGATTTATAAATGTACAAAAAAAAATATATATATATATATATACACACATACGTCATTTTTATAAAATGCAATTACTGTATGGATAAATTAAGTGGATTGTAGATACATAATATTTCTTTATTAGAATAGAATACTAAAATTGATAACTAAAGAACCTGTGTTATATTTACAACTAAAGAACCTGTGTTATTTACAGTTATCCCTTTGTTTTGATATTGTTATTTTGTGAATTGATTGTAAAAAGTTATGCCATACGGCATTATTATTCACAGGTATATTGGAGAATATGAATTGGAAGGAATCATCTATACCACCTGACTCGTCGAGTGGTGAAACAGGTAAGGACACTCCACCCGAAGTCGTTCATTTTACGTTGGGCGACGGCAACGAAGAAAGTACTATGGTACCATCGATTAAAGAGAAGACCGGTATGATTCGATCATATAGCCAAGAAACCAACATGGCCATAGTTGACGATAAAACAAATTCATCATTCCTATCAAAGACTTCATATTCGGAAAACTCATTAGATACGTCTGAGAAATCGGGCTATCGTGGTGTCATAGCGAAAAGGCCATTTAAAGAACTACCCACTGTGATGTCGATGGATGATGAAACATTATCGACAGATTCCAATTCGACTGCTGACAATGAAGAATTAAAACGTCGACGCAGAAAACTTCATTTTCCGGCATTCAGGAAGAATAAAACTAAAATTACGTGATGTTCAATAGTCCCAGAATCAAATATGTTACAAATTAATTCAAGACATATCCCAGACATGCACTTAAAAATTATAATTAGGTAATATATTGTGTATGTGCCTATCTTCTTAGGTATAGTTTCGCGTGCGGTGTATGTAGTGGCCTTATCGGCAGGATATCCATGTCCGAACTCCAGTGAGAAACCTTTTTAAATAAGCGTACGTGCATGGTCTGTATATCGTGATTGAAAAATATGAAAAATATATTTATGCAGAGTCGGACATACTGTCAACTTACGATGTTTTCAATGCATCGACAATTCATTTTTCTCATCAGACCAAAGAGTGAAGCAGCCCATTGGCAGCGCTTTATCTGCTTGATAATTCCAGTTGCAAGTGTGCATAGTTGTGATTAGCAGAGATGGAGTGCAGCCAAGACGTGTAAGGTGCGATTATCCTTTGGCCTATATTGTGTATTAGACGTTCTGTTAATTTCATTGTCATATAATTAAGTCATTCAGATAATTCACAAATTTCGATTTATTCCTTTCCATAACAAGATCAATGTTAAAGTGATTAGAATTTCATATTTTTCTGCAATATACTATTATTAGTATATATATATATATATATATATATATATATATATATATATATCTTATATATATATATATTTATCTTATATATATATATATCTATATATATATATATATATTTATCTTATATATATATATATCTATATATATATATATATATATATATCTTATATATATATATATATATCTATATATATATATATATATATATATATATATATATATATTTATATATATATATAAGAATGTCACATTATTAGAAAATAATATATATCGCGCTGTTATTTAAATGTCCAACATTGTTACTTAAAACGTTTGGTATTCCTTCTGTCCTATTCACCAAGCGTTTTCTGTAGCCATAGAATAATTTTTCAAATACCACTGTGAAAAGTATTCAATGTCTGATCAAAATAGATTTTTACATAAAGAAAATCAATTCAGAATGACAATATATGTACAAACAGTTTTTAAAATATTGGAAATATTTTTCCAATAAATTTTAATTAATTAAAATATTTCTGAAATGATAATAATAATGCAAGCAATTTAAATAATTATAAATAGTATATTTCTTTTCACAATGACATTATTGTTCCTAATGTGATCTGTTATTCTCTGTCATGTACAAGTACTTTTTATACAATGATTTTAGAAATGATTATTAATGTATCAGTATAATACAAATGTTTAAAATTAAGGGGAAAAAAAAACGAGTATTTTTGCTCAGATATGAATATCAAACAAAATTCTCTTCTATGAGATTTGACTTTAACTTTAAATGTTACTTACATGAAAATATTTGAGGTGTAACATCCTAATTCTGTTTAACAGCTGCTATGTATTTAATATGTTATGTGTTACCCTGTTTACTCTTAACTTCGTGTTATTTCCCGTTTTAAAATAAATTATTAGTGATAGAAATAAAAAAAAACCATACAGATTACTTATTAGGTCAAACCCACTTTTATTAAATGTAACAAATTGAAATATAGTAGAATACCGATAATATTTAGAGTAAACAGAATTAAAAGTAATTACTAAAATTAAATAACATTCTGCAAAGGACGATTTCATTATATAATTCATAATTTTTATGCTTAATAATATAATTGCAATGATCAATACTTAAAATATTAATTTATACTTGATCTTTGTCATTTGATTTTCGCGGGTATGTAAATGTCGATGCAGATGGCAGCATCATCGATTACAGCTGTCGCTCTTTATGATATTTTTTAAATTCTCATATCCTAATTAGATTTGTCATGTTAGAAGTAAAGTTATCGAATAAGTTTATTGTTAAAAATTATAATCTCTTAATATGATTAGATGCAATTAATTCACGTTTTAATAAAAAGTAAATAAAAAAATAATTTTGGGAAAAATTATAAATTACACAGTGTAGAGGTTAACGAATATATAATACAGTCATGGTTGATATGTGTTCCACAGAAGAAGATTCAAACAAATTTTCTCATAATATATATAAAAATAATCCTTTACTCTTCAAAAGTTATATAGGAAGAGAAGCCAAAATTACTACAGACAATGGAAGTATACATACTGGTATTGTGTATACAGTAGATCCAGTTTCAGAAAGGTAAAACAATTTATATATATTTCTTATTTAATTGTCTTCATATTTATTTTCTTTACAATTTTATGTAGTAGTAGTAGTTATTCATATAATACATTTCGAATCATAATAAATATTAGCTAATAAAATTTTTTCATTGTAAAATTTTTTTATAGCATAGTACTTTTACAAATTAAAGAAGATGATCATCAAAATTTACAAATAGTATTTGGACATGCAATAAAAAATATTGAATTAACTACACAAACAGAAACACCTTTACCAGAGTTATTCCAAGTGTCAATCAATCAAATTTCTTTATCAGACATCATAAAAAGAAAAAATATTGTGAAACAATATTTATTAGAAAATAGATTTCCAGTTACAGATACCAATGATATTTTATATATTGAAGACAGTGTTTCTATAAAACCACCATATGATGCAGAACATTGTATATCTACTAATACAATTATATTAAATAGAATACAAAATATTCTTCGTAGTATTAAAGAATAAATATTATTTATATATATATAATAATCATAACTTTTTTATCCTAAATATAATAACATTGTTATTATTTATCTTTCAAAAATACATAAATAAATTTTGATATATATTAATAATAATCAATAATAAGAAATGAATTTTATTTATAATTTTAATTTTTCATTTATTAAAAAAATAAATTTACAATTATCAAATATTTGTGTAATATTAAAATGATATCAACTTATTTATATATTTGTATAATAAATTAGAGGAACCAAAATAAGCTGTTTATATGGCAACATTAAAAGGTACATAATAAAATCACAACATTTGAAATAGTTGTACAATAAATCATGTGATCTAACAAATATCAGTAGGTCTTATATGCAATTAATGATTATATTCTTTATAAAAACAGTAGATTGATATGGTTCATTTAATTTGCCTTTTATCTGAATAAGAAATAGATCTCCAATCTCATTCCCTTATCAATTTTACTTGTCAAAATTGATGTATTATATATAATATTTATATTTGAGATAAAAAAAGGTCAAATCTAATATAACAAGTTCTATATTAAGCCAAAAAAAAAAAAAAAAGAAAAATTGTATATCTTATATATGTGCAATACATGTTTAAAGAAATAACAATAATATAATAAAAAAGTTATTAGAAGTACAAATCGTAAAATATAATCTCTTACTTTGTAAATAACTCTTTTCAATCTACTTTATATATTAAATGTCATGCACTTTTAAAATCATTAAATACATATGGAATATCTATTTAATATAATATAAAACACATATATCTGTTTTTTGCAACTTATAAACAATTATCTTATTGTAAAAATTTGAATGCATTTATAGAACTAGATAAATATTAAGTATGTAAGGCAGATTGTAAAATTGCAGTTTGTAAGTACCGTATTTGTTATAAATTACAATATTAATGAATCATCAATATCTTTAAATGTGTACAATTTGCTTAAGTAGCTCTTTAAGAATATATTATTATTTTTGGTTTGTTATTCGCAATAATACAATGATTTTGAAAGTAAAATGATAAGGATAATTTTATCACAATAATTTGATAATGTATAAATGTATGACAAGTAACATTTTCCTTTTGTTACAATAGAGAGATATTCTCATTCCATATACAACATTTGATAACAAAATAATATTAATATTCTATTATTTTTATCATATAATATTGTGTTGATATAGATATATACTGCGATCATAAATATTAAATTTTACGAGATATTCTCTTGAATATTTTTTACATTTTTTACTGCTTCACTAAGGACTTACATTACTGATATATATATATATATATGTATATATATATATATATATATATATATATATATATATGTAGCTTGTAAAATTTGTATTTTTGTGTAAATAACATTATTATTTATAAAAATTAATAATAATATATGTGCTAATGCTGATAAATGCTGAAAGTATGATAGTGCTTAAAAAAAATCTAATTTCTTATTAACAAAACTGATTTTTAATGCTAACATTATAAAATTCTTTTGTAAAATAAGTAGTTTCATAAGCTTTTTATAGCGATTAAAAATTCTTATTTATTTAAATTGATTTTGTGGATTTGGACTAAAAGAATGCTTGTCAATTGATATCTTAAGTTTCGTAATCTAAGTGACCTAATACTTATATTTTTCATTTTTGGTATATCATACAAGCCTTATATAAAGATATATTGTTGTTGCTTTAAAGCTTTTAGAGATATCCTAATATCTTGGAAAGAAAGAAAACTAAACTAATTAAAGATTTACTAAGCTACGAGGTAGGTCATTCCGTTTCACTATCGGAATAATATTCTATAGGATTTGGATCACGGGGTTTGCGCGAATACCTGAGTCCTAATTTATCAGCTAGTTTTTCAACGTGTAATAATACCTGCAATATATGAAAAGTAAAAAAAAAGTAAAGGTAAAAGTAAAATACATTAATATAATTATTATACATATCAATGATGATTACTTACATGATCTAATTGTTCCTTCGTGTGCGAAGCAGAAAGGCAAAAACGTATTCTTCCTGCCATTAGAGGTGTTGCAGGAAATCCAACACCGACTGTTGCTATATTATATTTTGTAAAACTACGTACTACCGTCCTAGTACATCAAAAGTATTTTTTATTTGAATTTGAATTTTTGGAATTTTTTTTTTATTTTTTCTTTTTTCTTTTTTTTTTTCTTTTTTTTTTCTTTTTTTTGTTATATGCAACATAAAAATATTAAAACCATACCAAATTTTTGAAAATAAATATACTAGCATCGGCGCTACCGGCGAATCTTCATTTCCATAAATGATAACTCCAATTTGATTTAGTCTACGTCTAAAGTATCTGACATTTCTTGCCAATTGTTTGATACGTTTCTTTCCAGCATCAGTTCCATCCTCGCCCGAGATGATTCTCATAGATGCGATAATTTGTTGGGCGACGGGAGGTGACATTGCAATTGCGTAAGTGTGAGCATGACCATGTACCCGTAAATAATTTATTAAAGTCTGCAAACAAAATTATTAATTATAAGTAGAACATAGTAAAAAAAAAAAAAAAAAAAAAAAAAAAAAAAAAAAAAAAAAAAAAAAAAAAAAAAAAAAAAAAAATCATTTATTAAATTATACCTTTGTTCCAGCTATATATCCGCCAGCAGATCCAAAACTTTTCGTAAATGTTCCCATAAGTATGTCGACTTCCCGTGGATCTATATCATAATAATCACAAACTCCTCGTCCATGATTTCCTATTGCCCCTATACTATGAGCCTCGTCCACGTAAAGATAGGCCTAAATTTAATGACAATAATGAGTATTATTAACTCTTTGCGATCGTAACACTTTTCGATCGCAAAGAGTTAAAAACATATAATGATAATGATATATTTCAGTTGAATAATTCAGAAAAATCTCTCTTTGCATATTTCCAACGAACATTACCTAACGAATGTGAAATAATCAAATGTAATGTCTTAATATTTATATTAAAATTAATGATAATGACTTATCATCAATACTATTGTACCTTATCCTCTATTTAAAAAAAAAATCCTGCTATCAACAATTATACCAACTTTGTACTTTTTTTTCAGTTCCAATATTTCAGGAAGGTGGACTATTGATCCTTCCATCGAATAAATACCCTCAACTACTATAATTATTTTCTTCCATGGTTCACCATTTCCTGGTTGACCATAAACTATTGCTTTTTTTAAATGATCCTCTAAATGCTTTACATCTGCAATAAGATACGTAAATACATATGTAGCTTATCGTTCACCTTTTTATATTATCTTTGTAAAATAATATCCAATTACTGTTATGGTGAAAAACACGTATTGTTGCTCCTGACAATCGTAATCCAAGAATAAGTGACGCATGATTTTTCTCATCACTAAGTACTAAACAGCCTTTGCTGACAAGAGATGGCAAATTTAATGAATTCGTTGCAAATCCCATACCAAATACTATAGCATCTTCAACTCCCAAAAATGAAGCTGTTAATTTTTCTAATTCTTCATGGATAGGTGCATTTCCTAACAAAGAAAATATCTTTTAATTGAAACTTAATTTGTATCTATCAATTGATCTTGTTTTTACCTCGTGATATTAAATATATATTTTTACCTAATTCAAGTCGAGTACTACAACTGCTACAACCTAACTTTTGGAGAACCATAATAGATTGTTCCGCACATGCTCCGTTTGATTCTGCAAAGCCTAGATAATTGTAAGATCCTAAATTTATACAAGATCTTTCAGATCCAGTAAACCTGTTGATTATATCAGATATAAATATAGTATATATTATTGTTACATTAATATTAATGATTCACATATAATCATAATATTTTCTCGTAGTCTCTTACTGGAATGTCCATCCATAATCATGAGTGACACGATCTTTTAATGTAACCATTGCACCTGGAACAGAACATATTGGTCTATTCCAACAATCTCTTACTCTTCTGTAGACATATAAGAGATAAAACTTTTCAAAATTTTCATAAAGTGGCGCATAACCCTGAAATCGATAATGTATTAAAATTTAATTTCTGATTAATCTTTCATACTGTCGCTTACCTGTCGATTTTGTTCTTGAGCCACTTTTGGTATAAAGAATAATTGATTTATGAAACCTAAAATCATAAGAATGTAAAAACCAAGGTGTGTGAGTGCTGCGGTTATAAATGGAACTTTCTCAAACGATTCTTTCAATCTTGATTGTTCCTTTATATCAGTTCTTCTTTGATTCTTGGAAAACTAGAACATTTATAAACATTTATTTTTACTTTTCCTTTTTTTTTCTCTACTTTCTTATCAGAGCACATGAACTAATTTATATTGTATCTATAATTGTAAGAAGAATGTCCGTAAAACCTTTGTAAATATAAAAATATGAAGAAACAAATTATTAGAAATTCATAAAGTAAATTATGAATAAATAGTCACCGCGATACATGCACGATATCGTATAGAAAATACGAATACATAATTATATTTTGGAAAAGAAATATATTTGATAGATTAATTTTTTAATTAAGAAAGCAATATCGATGTTGAGTTTGATGATTAATTTTATCTGTATGTAATGAATAAGCGCTATAAAATACGGAAGAAAATAACTACGATAAAACGTGATAACACGGTTGTTGAAAGGCTAGGAATTATGAAATTTTTTTTCTAAAATGAAACATATAAAATGATAAAAATATATATATCTGTTCGCATTAAAAATATGATATAATCATTCACAATATGATTATAATTTAAACGATTAGAATTAATTTTACAGAGCAAGTCAGTCCTTTTTTCTTTTTATTTGTATTATCTTAATAATACAAATAAAAAGATTTAATAATCAAAATTATCAGATTTTATTCTACAATCTGATTGGTCGAATTTTTCAAATAAAATAAAATTTCAACGCAATAAAATAAGATAGCGAAGGTAAAGAAATTATTTGAGACGAGGAGAGAAGAGAGAAAGGAGAGGAGAGAGGATGAACATTTTAAACAAATAAACTCGACGTTGGCAATAAAAGAATAAGAAAGTAAAGTAGAAAGAGATTAAAAGAAAAAAAAGAAAGAAAGAAAGAGGGAAAAAAACGAACGAAGAAATCTTTGTACAAAGAAAGAAAAAAAGAAATAAGTATATTCTTTTAAATCGTGTCATGATAACAGTGTCGCATAGACGGCCATGTGACATATAGGGGAGACTATAGAGAGATGCACCACACCACTACTCACTCGTGCGTGTCCGTTGCTCCGCATTACGGTATAACCGTTGCTTTTGCCGTTTATCAACGTGTCATCGTACGAGGTTAAACTGTTCTTCATCTGATCGCTATCCTTATTCTCATCCCACGTCATTCTTACAATTGAATCAATGTCCGTGGGTATATAAGATCTGGTCTTTCTTGATGTTGCCATGCTCGTCGTCAATTTCTAGTAGAATATATGTAAGTAGAATAAAGTAAGAGAAATTGACAAAATTGCGAGAGAGAGAGAGAGAGAGAGAGAGAGAGAAAGAACAAGAAAAGGAGGGGAGAGAAAGAGGAGGGGGGAGAGAGAGAAAACTAGAGATGAAAAGGATTATAGAAGGAAAAGACGACTACATAAAAACATTTGTCCAAAAATTAAAAGTACAATTTACCTTTCGTAAATATTATTTCTTAGAAAGGAAAAGAAGAGTCACGTACTTCGTACAGCGAAGAATAGTAGCAGCAAAACCGACCGACCGGTTAACGTCGTGCGTATCAAAGCCCGCTATGCGCTTCTCAGCAACCAAGGCAACAAACGTGCTTTCCTCATCGCACGCATGCGCTTTACGCCCGGCGTTTTTGCTCTCTCTCTCTCTCTCTCTTTCTCTCTCTACCTATCTATCTCTATCTATCTTTCTCTCTGACTCTCTCTTTTTCTGTCTTACTCTTTCTCTCCCTACTTTATTTCATGCGATTGCGCGCGATTGAGCACCCTTTTAGTAAATCCCAAAATTTATTTTGCGCTTTCTTCTTTACAATCATTTAGAAACAAAAAAAGTCTCAATTTATTTCAATTTTATTTAATATATCCGAAAAACGTTATTATAACCTATATTGATATTAAGGAAAAATTTCATGAATTATGAAAAACATTTATGTAATAACTAATAAGAGAAAAGAGTGACGATATCTAATACGTATTACGCTATGATAATAGAATTTTATTCAAGTATCTTGGTTTAGTCCTGTCGACACCCATTTTCTTCAATGTCAGGAACGAATCATATTACTTCAGTACCACCTTCCTTCCTCTTTCTCTTCGTTTAGATATAAGTTAGTGGTTCTCAATTTTTTCCAATAATCAACATTTTCAACGCAGAATTTTTTCGTTCTAATTTATACATATATATTGTTTATTAGTCTTTTTCTCTTACAATTATTTCAATGCATTTTGCATTACTTTAACTATGTATATATATATATATATATATATAAATAATTAATTAAATATAGATTAAATATACATAATATAAAAAATATAATTTTAATATAAAATATAATTAATTATAATATATATATATTATAATATATAAGACAAGATCAATTTCTACTTTGTAGAAAGTTGAAAGTATTTAATATGTAGGTTGTCTTCTATTATTGAAATTTTACGTGAGAAAATAAGATGAAGATATTGAAATATAGAATATTATTGTGTAAGACTTGTTATCGGTGTTAGTTTTTGGGAAACCAGATTCTAAGAATTGTGTGGAATAATCCACCGTTAAGTACACGTGCACTTGCTTGATGTATATCTCGACCGAAGTTATAAAACTTTGGTCGATTTCTATTTCTGAACTCACAAAAGATTTCTTTATTAGTATAATGCAAAAATAATAAAGTTTTTCTTTTTAGGAAGTATTTTCCTTTTTATATTATCGATATTATCGAATATTTTAACTAGAAAATTATAAGTAAAAATATTATTTTATATTATAACAACATTCGTTAATTGAAAAATAATTATATATGTATGTGTATATTAACTTGAACGATCTTTTAAATTAATTATTTTAAATACAATGACTCATATAATAAAATTATATTCTATATTTTTTATTTGTTTATCTGTACATAAATAATCGCCTTCGCAGTTGTAATATTAATTAAAGAACATTTTATATATATATATATATAAGTATATATATATCTACCTTTGTTCGGTATGTATAAGTATAAAAATGCGTGTATATATGCATACTAAAATTTGTTCATAATGATAGGAAGCATAAAAACATTCGTATTACGCGCGCATTAACGTCACGTACCGGGCGATTTGTAAGGACTTTTATGATTGGTTGAATGAGCCGGCACATCAGCGACGTAGCTAGGAAGGGTAAAAAGCAGGGGGCGTGCTGGACCGATTGCGAAATAAAAGCAAACGAATAATAAATTGAGAAATAGAGAACAAGAAACGGAGATACATTATTTAGAATAATAATACGATAAATATAGAAGATGAATAAGAATTTTAGAATGTTTACAATTCGTTGATGTGAAAATGTCAACTTTGGTCGTTCTTATTATAGATTTATCTCTCTCTCTCTCTCTTGCTCTCTCGTTCGCTTACGCACAGTTTTCTCCCACTCATCTTTCCAGTTTTATCCCTACCATTGGGTACTTGACGTATTCTCATTCTCCGGCTGTCACTTTGACGTTTTCTAGTGCAAGGAAAGAGCGCGTGTAAAGGCTATATAATATATATAAATCCGGTGTATGCCATTTCATTCTACCAAAACTGTTTCTCGTTCCGAGTCGGTGAGCTTTGAGATACACGCACGTTCGAATACGTGTTTGTAATAAAAGGTTAGGAATTCGGATAGTTAACCGGAAAAGAACGGTTATTGAAGAAAGAGAGATAGAGAGAAACAGGCAGATATAGACAGACAAATAAAGAGAGAGAGAGAAAATAGATATACAAGAGAAAGCTGTCGAAGAAGAAACCTCGTACATAACATTCTAATAAAAGAAAAAGAAAGATAGATAGACATATACACACGCACACACACACACACATATATATATATATATATAGATATAGATATATCAGATTGAAGGAAAGTCGTTCGCCGCCGCACGTGCGTCTTCTTTGGAAGAAAAGATAGAAAAGGACAACGGTCGTCGAGCAGCGCTGTCGGCGTGTATCGTCGGCGCGACGTCGGTGAGAAGGAGTGCGAAGGAATCGAGGATACGCATTCGTGACTTTCTTCTCGTTCCGAAAACATCGCGTGGATAAATTTTTCAAAAAAGGAGGATAAATATACGACGTAAAGTGACGCAATAAATATATCGGATAAAAGGAGTGTGAGCCCATTAAAATCGACTCATCGTAGGCGCGACGCAGGACGAGCCTGCTTATATCCTTGCAAAGGTAAAAGGTACTGGAATATTAAAGAAGAGAAAGAAAGAAGAGAAGAGGAGAAAGAAGAAGAAGAAGAAGAAGAAGAAGAAGAAGAAGAAGAAGAAGAAGAAGAAGAAGTAGAGGAAGATGTCGACGACGTTCCAGGAGAGTAAAATAACAACGGGTCCTCTTATGGAGGAGCCTAAGAAGAATGATTCCGATTCTTCTAAAAGCGAAGAAATGATTTCGACGATTAAACGGGAACACGATTCGACCGATGATTTCGAACGGGTCGAACCAGAGAATTTGTTGTTCGTTGGAGGAGGAGGAGGAGAAGGAGGAGGAGGAGACCTCCTTGGTAAAAAGGAAGAAGGAGGCTCATTTGAAAAAGAGCAGAAGGGAGAGGTTAAGGCGGAAGTGGAGGTGGAGATAGAGGTGGAGAAGAAGAAGGAAGAGAAGGAGGTGCTGTCGAAGAAGGAGGAGAAGGAGGAGGAAAAAGGTGAGAAAAAGGAAGGGGAGAAATCGGTAGAAAAAGAAAAATCAGAATCGTCGTCGTTGCCGGCGACAGTATCATCTACGACGGAACCGCCACGTGACCAGGATCATCATCCAGGAGAATCGACGGATTTAAAGGTTCATACGGATCATCAGTTACCAAATATTACCAAACGTAGTTCCTTCCTAAACGAGAATCAGGAAGGTGAGGAGGAAGAGGAGGAAAAGGCCTTACCCGCCACCCCGCCACCTTCCGCTGATATCGAGAAATACAACTCCATGGCGGATCCGTTTCAACGGCCGGCAGGTAGGACAACTTCCGCGGAAGGGTTCAACCCCAGGGCGGCGACAGTCGCTTTCGTGGAAACCGAACGAGCCGCTGCATCATCGGCACCATCACCTCAGACCTTATCAACGAACAGTGCTGAGAACACCGTACTCCTTGATTTCTCCGAGAATACGAACGACTTAATAACAACCTCTACAATCTCAGATCAAACAAAAATGAATTTTGATCAGAGTTTAAATCCTACATTGAAAGATACGAATGAAAAAGAAGCCGTATCATCTTCCAACCTACTCGATCTTGATTCCTTCCAATCGACGACGACGACGACGACGACGACGACCATTACTCCACCTGTCCCTCCTACAAAAGTCAATACGGATAATACCGATCTTCTTTCTACCAGTAATCACGAAATTTTCGAGCACGTCGACGACGACAATATTACGAAGAACGATAAAAAAACTCTTGATGATCGTTGTAACGTTAACGAATCGGTCGACGTTTTACCGACGATCACGAAGAAAGATCAAAACGACGTTAACGTTAACGACATTATCAAAGAAACGATCGCGACCGAATCAACGATTAAGAGGAAGGATCAGAACGACGATAAAATAATTAATTCCGATAAAAATGCCGAATCTAAATCTACTTCGATTGCTACTAAAACATCAACGAACGTGGTGCAAGACATTGGGCATAAGGATGGAAGGTATTTTGATAAATCCAGAGATAAGATCCAAGAAATTGAAATCGCCCCAAAGGAAATCTTCAGGGATATGGGACTCGGTAAGTTATATACGCATATACGCATATACGCGTATCTTATCGTTTAATCGTTTTAATACTCTAACTATTGATTGCATCATCATTGAAAATGATTTCGTGACACAGGTGCTGTACATATGTACATACATATTTACTATCTATAAACATTTGTCATGAACGAAGAATCTTTTTCAAGGATATTTTAACATTCACGTAAAATAAAATTAAAAAAAAAAAAAAAAAAAAAAAAAAAAAAGTAAGATGATAACATTGTTAATTTAAGTAATGCGAATATTTATCATTCTTTTTATTTTTCTTTCTCTCCTCTCTCTCTCTCTCTCTCTCTGTTTAATTTTTATAAATATAACTGTACTTTATTGATAACATGATGCTTATACTGATAAGCTTAGATAAATGATATTATTCTATAAACTAAAATTCTCTTGGATTAAATTCGAGATCGAATTGCGAAATATTTTGTCATGGATGATGAGTCACTTTTCTAGAGGTTAAAATAAACTTAAAGGTTGATTCATAAGCGAATGAAGTGCGCCGAAGCGTGTACACACATTCGTGTATGTAAGTAGTTACTGACCGGCTCGGCTGACAACGAGAAGTGTCAGATAAAGGAAGAGGAGAAGGAGGAGGAAGGAGAAAAAGGCAACGTGCATTTTTTCTTTAACGTTCCTTCTAACGAAAGGATTGATATGGGGGAGGGTAAAGTAAGGTAGAATTGCGTGACAAATATCTAAAAATAAAAATGATTGGTTGTCGTTGTGTAAAGGGAAGAAACAAAAAAAAATTTAAATGATACATTTACAAAATTCATTAAAACATTTTTATTGTAAGCAATAGCATCGATTTCAAAAGTTCATCTTTTTGGGAAATCGTTTATTAAAAGTTTTACTTATAATAATGAGGTGAATGCCAAATTTTTTTTGTTATTTTCCATGGCGCATATATATATATGGTTAATGTGCGCAGTTCTTCCCTCGATAGTCTGATGATATGAATAATTATTACCGTTACGTATATACATGCTAATCGCTCCATATGCTCATTGACCGCTATTCGTATAAGCTTGCTCTCTTCATAATTTAATTATATTCTTGCGATTAGACTTTGAGGATGAAAAGATTGGAAAAAGAATTAACAACAAGTAAATAATATCTCTATATTTTTTCTTTCTCTGATTTTTTTTTAATAGGGAAAGTACAGAGTGTGTAAAAAGTTTTTTTTTTTAATGATTTTAAAAATCAATTACTTTCTGTCGAGACTTTTACGTCTTTTATTATTATTATTATTATTTTTTTTTTTTTTTCAACTTATAAAAACGTCCCTAAGTGCGTAAAAATTTACCTAAAATGATACTTCGAAAAAGAGCAATTGATTTTTAAAATATATGTACGATCACTTTTGACCGATCCTCTAAAAAGAATATATTTATATTCGATTAAAATAAAATGATTTGCAAGAGATATAGAAACGAGATCGTTTTCCATGTGTGGTCAAAACACTTTAGATAATTATCTATTTACATTTTTCCCATCTCTTATCTATTCTTTGGTGTAATAATAATTATCGAAGAAATAAGATGAGAGAGTACGTAATGATAGCCTTTGGTGTAACTTAAAACCGTCTTAGTAAGTATTGATTACTACAGTTTATTGATCCGAACTCTCTGCAGTACTCAATAGGAGTATGTGACACACCTTTGTGCCAATGTTTCGTATTATACTCGGACATAATGACGTAATACTATCAATAAAAAGTAATCCACGGGAGGTATAAAATTAAATCTGTCAAGTCTATAATCATTATCAATATGACATCGTCGTATCACAGACAAAAAGAACATAATAGAAAAGTTCAAACGATGATAATTGTGCAAGCTATTGAAAGATCAGAAATTCTTTTTCGCCTTGGAATTTTTTTTACACCTTTTTTTTTTTTTTTTTTTTTTTTTTTTTTTTTTTTTTTTTTTTTTATCAACATAGGTATCTCTCTTTCTATATCTTTTTGTCAAGTACGATTTTCATAACTAACATATTTCTATTGTCCAATTATTTATATATATATATATATATATATATATATATATATGAGTGGAAAACAGATCGCTGGTATTAAGTTTCTCCGAGAGGAATAGATCTCCAAGTATTTTTATTATAATGTAATATTTATAATATATGCCTATATATCGTATTGTTTACAATATAAATTTAATAACAAAGTCGGTTTCATATTACGGTAGTTGATATCGACATTGTAAGTTCCGGTCGATATCATCGATATTCTTTTGTATCAACCGTGTAGAGAGTTCGCAATCGATATAGTAGGTTTCTATATACCGGGGGGGGTAACAAGTGAGAGAGAGAGAGAGGAAGGGAGGGAAGAAATCTTTTTCATTGTAACTTGAAGCAAATGCGTAATTTAAACAGAATTGCGTGTTAGATTCTTGCCAAAGAATTTCAAGGATTATTCTTGGCTCTCTAGTCGATTAATGTCAGACATTTAATGTCGGTCAACGTTGGCAGAGGTCTCGGCCAACATTGATCCTCCTAATTTTCATTATTTTTCGGGCTTAGTCATCATTTGGTCTGGAAGCTGGACAAATGATGACCTCGAGAGGGAATTTCTTGATTATTTCAGATTTCCAATTTGCATTATACGATCGGATTTCAAATATTGGCAGCGTTTGAAATAATCGTGGCAGTGAAAATTCTTGAAGACCTTCGCGATATCGATTTCCTTTCGTGATATAATAATATCCAAGGAATTATAATTTTTTTTCTTTTTATCAAAAGTTTAACCTAGAAATTTTTTGTATACTCGCAGTTTCTCTTTTACTCGTTGTTGGATAAAAAAGGTCAATTGTTTTTTAGAAAATAACAAGTAAGCTCACATTATATTAATCTAGCGCACTTGTTTCGTATTGCATATATTCCTTGCAAATTCACACACAAAAGGTTAGGCTACAATAGGAGGGTTTGTCTTCGGTCGCGTGGGCGCCTACGTGTCTGCAAATTGTCATTCTAGTCCCTCCGCCAGCAAAGTACTTTCCGACCCTTCCTTCTTCCCTGCTCACTCATTTATTCATAAAGCTCCCTCCGCTTTTAAAATTAACGCATGCGTTCTAGACAACATTTTTCCAATCGATGTGTACGATCGAATAAATAGTACATGTTCGAATTAATACATTTATTATAGTTCTGCATGTTATAACCTATAATAATGTTCTTTTACAAAGAGACATCCATAAAATCATTTTGTTAAAGATTATACCGATATAAAAGATATAGGTCGATAAAGAAATCGATTCAAAAACACCCGCTAAGAAAGTAGATCCTAAATAGTTTGGAATATCGCCACGGGAGGCAATCGAAGCGCTGTCGGGGAAGGTAATATATCGATGCGCAGTGAGTGAGACAAGTAAAGGTGGAAAGGAACGAAGCAAAAGTATAATAAGAGAAGGGTGACGAGGAGATGGCGGTGGTAACATGGAACGGGAGAGGAGAAGGAGGCGGGGGGGGAGGAGCGGGGTAGAGCAGGGAGGAGGATAGGATAGGATAGGATAGGATAGGATAGGATAGGATAGGATAGGATAGGATAGGATAGGATAGGATAGGATAGGATAGGATAGGATAGGATAGGATAGGATAGGATAGGATAGGATAGGATAGGATAGGATAGGATAGGATAGGATAGGGTAGGATAGGATAGGATAGGATAGGATAGGATAGGATAGGATAGGATAGGAAGGATAGGATAGGATAGGATAGGATAGGATAGGATAGGATAGGATAGGATAGGATAGGATAGGATAGGATAGGATAGAGAAATAGGATAGGATAGGATAGGATAGGATAGGATAGGATAGGATAGGATAGGATGAAGAGAAACAGAGCAAGTGAGTGAAAAGAGGAGAGAAGAGAAGAGAAGAGTAGAGAAGAGAAGAGTAGGGAGTTCCGCAGGAAGAGAAGGGGGATGGATGTAGGGAGGGGTCGGAGCTAAGCGCGGGTCGATAACAGCCTTCAGTTCTCGAACGACGCGCGCGACTCGGAAGTTTCCTTTTCGACGTATCAAATCCGTGAACGAAATAAATTCGAAGCATTTAAAAAGGCTTGTGAAAGGGATAACGCGGAGAGGAGAGAAAAAGAGAGGAGAAAGAAAGAAAAAAAAAGAAAAGAAGGAAGCAAGGAAGAAAGAGAGAAAGAGAGAAATTCGGTGTGTCACAGGGTCGTATCTTTCGTAAGAAAGATACAATAAAAAAAAGCAAAAAGAAACAGAAAAAGAGTCGACGAGAGCGACGGCGCAAGTACTACGGACTACTGGTGCGTCTCTCGTTTTTTTTTTCTGCGCCTCAACGTTGAGAAATTGCGTATCAGGTACGCCCAGTCTGTCGACTGTGCCGACCGATTCGGCAAGGGCGCTTCTTGAGGAAAAGAGAGAGAAAGATATCAGCGCCGCGAGAGAGAGCTGACGAACGAACAAACGAACCGAATTGTTTCGCAGTGCGGAGCGACACTTGCGTCCTCTCTCACTCTTTTCAATATATATACAAATCTATATGTATATATAATATTTGACTATCTCTTTCTTTCTCTCCTTCTCAAAAGATTGTTCCATTTCGTTTATTCTCTTGTCGTCGTCGTCGTGTCGTGTCGTGTCGTGTCGTCGTTTATCTTCGACGTTCTTCTTAACAAATTTAAAGGTTAAGGGACACACAGAAAAGTAACATTGTCATTTTTTTTTGTAGTCGTACGGTGTTTTGAACAACGACAATTACATTACTATTACTACTACTACCACCACCACCACCATTACCACCACCACCACCTCCTCCACCACTGCCACCATCAGCAGGACTCTTCGACGCGCAAGTAGTCGTCGAGTATACTTCGAGGAGTGTTAATAGTCGTCTTTTTTTACTTTTTGTGTGTGCGCGAGCGCTCTCTCTTTCTCTCTCTCGCTTTCTCTCTTTGTTTCTCTTTGTCTCTCTCTCTCTCTCTTTTCCTCTCTCCGCAACAAAAGTAAGAGACGTAAAATGGATTCGGAGACTGTAGCACCGGCGTGCCCAATGCCGGAGAAAGAAAATTCCGCGCGGAAGAGCAACAACGATAGCAACGCAGTTATGACCAACGTCAATGCTGCTGGCGATCCTTGTTTCTGGAATATTCTTAATCCTAGTAAGATTTTCCTGTAGTATCACTTGCATTTTAACTATATACACATACACATAAACACATATATACACATTTTTTTTTCTTTTTTCTTTTCATTCATTATTATAGACTTTATGGTATATACTTTTTAGTTATTCATCGTTATCGGTCATTGTTGTTCTCATTGTCATCTTTTTTGTTTCTTCCTTTACGATTATTCGGGACAAAGTGCAGCGTGACGTCTAACGGAAAATTTATCGGGCTATATAAGATAATTTTCTAATACAATCCTTTATCTTTGTCTTAAAATTTTCTCTCTCTCTCTCTCTCTCTCTTTTCTTTTTTCTTTTTTTTTTTTTAACCTCTTTATCTATCAGCCGTCCTCGTGGATATAAAAAAAAGACCCATCTACGCCATTTTTAAAGAACCTTCGCGCTTTACCACGATGGAGACGAGAGAAAAGGGTCGGTCGATTCAGCTGCTGCGATTCCGGTCGTTCCTGTTCCGCCGCGCGTACTTTGACTCGTCCGTTACACGTACACATAACATATACGAAGATCTAGAAAAAGAAACACACAACGAGGGTCATGGTGTTACTAAAGAGAAAATATCTTCTTAATGTGTTATTTACAATCTTTTTTTTTTCCCTTTCTCTTTCTCCTTTTCTCTCTCTCTCTCTCTCTCTCTCTCCTTTTCTTGCTCTTTTTCTTTTTCTTTTTCTTCTTATGCTTAGTTTTACTTACCATCAATATCTTATCGACCTGACATCTATTCGACTTCGACTCTTTCATATCATGGAAATCAATAATACTTTCTTTTAGAATTTTTTTTTTCTTTTTTTTTTTTTATGTCACCCAACGGAGATACCGTACGCACACGCACACGAACACACGCACATACTCATTTTATTATTTATATCAATATTTGTGAGATTATTTTCTTTCTTTTTCTTTTCTCTTCTTTTATCTTTTTTTTTTTCTTCTGTTTTTTTTGATTCTCGCGTCATATCTTTTTATTTCAATAAAATTTTCTTAAATAAAAAGCTTACCACGTAGTTCTGTCCTGCGCAGTATAACGCTCTTGACTCTCGTAGTTGAAGTGTCCGGAATCTAAACTGGGTTATCGATCATTATATTAATTCTCGGGTAAAAATTATTCTAGCCGTCTTTATCGATATTCTTTCGATATTTCTCTCTCTTTTTTTCTTTTCTTTCTCTCTCTCCCTCTCCCTCCCGCCCCTTCCCTCCCCCTCCCTCTCTCCCTCCCATCCTCTTTTTTTTAAATCAATAGTCCAACGTTTTCTTCCACAAGGATTGATAATTTTTTTTTGAATATGTACATATTATGTTTTACATAATACAATCTAGAAATATATATAGAAAGTAAATATAGTAAGTGTTTTGAGGAATTAATTCTCAATTTAGAGATTTCCTAGCCGTTTTCAAAATGGCGTCAGGTAGCGAAGTTCAAGGATCGTGATTCTATATTCTATATTTATTGTAGGTAATCGTCGTACGAATATATCCTTAGCAATTATCATCTTTATCTCTCTCTCTCTCTCTCTCTCTCTCTCTCTCTCTCTCTCTCTCTCTCTCTCTCTCTCTCTCTCTCTCTCTCTCTCTCTCTCTCTCTCTCTCTCTCTCTCTCTCTCTCTCTCTGTTTCTTTCTGATCATTTTTTTTTACAGTTTTGACCGATATTTATAGTTAAAAAGATAAAATATTTATTTCAATCTTTTTGTTATCGCAGATAAGAAAAATAAATATTTTAATATCGTTTCGAATTTTTACGCGAGATGATCATCAATGTTGCAACGATGCGGAAGATATTATTCTCCATCAATTTATTTTTTCTTTCTATTCTTCGTTATTCACATAATATGTTAGAGAAGAAGAACGTTACAATAGAACGTTAGATCGTGGAAAAATCGAAAAACAATACTAAATGTTTTACTCTCGAATTAATCTTGTCGTGAATTGAAATTGATTATGTAATACTGTGCGCGATATCTCGGTGACAAAGGCAGAAAATGCACTTGTACTTTGTACGAAGTAGCTCGAATCTTTCTACAATAACCTGGATATATAAACATGTGTGTATGCGCCTGCGTGCATGCGTGAGTGCTGCGCGTTTTCAGTGTGCGTGTGTGTGTTGTTATGTCACGATATCGTTAAGCTGTATTAAGTAGTTTTATCGATATCTTCTTTAAAAATGACTCATTGAAAATATTCCTGTTTCTTTCTTACCTGTTTTCTTTTTCTTTTCCTTCTTCATTTTTTTCTTTTTTTTCAAAAAAATTTTTTTTATGGAAATCCTAATTTAAACAACAGGAACAGATAAAGTATCTTATACTATTTTTACGCTCAAGATAAAGTAAGCTTCATTATTTAATTTCTTTATAAACTTTTGCAAGAGAAACATTTTAAACGGTTTCCAATTTTCTGAACCACTATCTAAATTTAACTTGTCAGTCAACGTGCAATTTCGAGGAATGTAATATTATATGGGAAGGAAAATCGCATTGTCTGTCCTTTTGTCTGAACAATGCAGAAATTGAGAATTTAGAAACGACGATTGAAAGAAAATGTTAAAATTTCAATGCATTTCGAAATTCAGTTCATAATGCATTTTGTTTTATTACAATTTATGTTTTCAACGAAAATCGAGAAACATACGAATACATTTATGTAATATATACGATAATCTTTAAGCAATAATTATTATATCTAATAATTATGATAGAATTAAAGTTTCTAAGTGATATTAAAAAATCAATTACTCTTTGTCGAGGCTTTTTATAGGCCAATTTCTTTTTTTTTTTTCCCTCGATTGTAAAACTACAAGCCTATGAACTTTTGATCAACTCTGTATATATGATATATATGTAAATGTATTGGGTGTTATGTGTATATATATAATATGATATCTATGCCGTAATTATTATATTTTTTAAATTATCGCCATTTGATACAATTCGAAATTTAATAGGAGAACAGAAAGAGAACAAAAAAAAAAGAGAGAGAGTAATAAAAAAGAAAGAAAAAAATAAAGAATACATGTTTACGTTTGGTGACTTGACAAAAGTGTATATATATATATATTTTTTTTTTATTTGCTACTACACAAGTCTTACGTCAACGTCTCGTAGTTGAAAGATAAGGTTATGTAGTCTATTTCTCCTTTTTTTTTTTTTTTTCTGAAAGAACGACCTTCGAAATATAGAACCCTATTTACACGTAACGATAAATTCGTTTTTTAAGCATTACAAGTATCGCTTTTAAGATGTACATATGTATCATTATCATTCAAGAGAGAAAAGTGCACTGTAACGAACATCTGTCTTCTTTATGTATCTATGATCTACGTGATTATAAACTTTCACGCACAGTTTAGTTCACGTACAAGATAAGTTTGAAACTTGTCAAATATCCTCGATTATGTATTAGTTTCGAAAAAGAACATATAATATATGGGGTTTTTTTTTTTTTTTTTTTTTCAGGAAAGCATTTTTTTTGACAGGACAGCGCATATGAAGCGTTTTTGGTACTACGTACAAGCTGACATTTTAATACATAAAATTAATCAATTATATCAGTAGAATAATGTTAATAATATTATTCGGAAAAAAACAAAATACAGACGCAACATCATTTGGATATCTTTATTTTATTGTTATTATTACTATTTTTAATCGAACCGATATATTTTTGTTTCATTAGATGGTTAATTCTCATCGACTGGGGACACATTCCGCAATGTAGAAATTTTATTCTACATGATATTAATATAAAACCCGTGTGTAAAAAGGATCGATAATAGCATGATATGTATATATAAATATTTTTTCTTTTTTTTTTTCAATAATGGAACGAGATGCGCTAATGCTTTTTTTCCCTTAAAAGAATGCACAAGCTTTTATTAAACAAATATATCTCGCGAAGGGATACTATTGCGGACACTGCACTTTGGTCTCCGATTATTCGTGGATGTAATCGAAAATTGAAAGTTTAAAATAAAAACATTAATTAATCAATCAATTTAATTAATAAAAAAAAATAAAGAAAGATACACATATTCACATATGTGTATTCTATTTTAAATAATTGAAATTTGTTGTAGTTCGTGTAACAAATGAAATATTATTCATGTGCATTTTCATTGATTCGATTATATCAGTGAACGAATACATCGGAATAACATCATAAAATAAATTATATCTAATTTCCTTTTCGCATAATCTTTTATCGAATTACCGAGTAAATCGAGATTTAAATAATAATCATTATTCGAACGATACCCGTAATAAATTGAAGAAGCGTGCACGCACAATGAACAATGCACTGAATTCTAAGTAATTAACAGTTCTCTAATGAATGACTATTATTATGATTAATAGCATTATGCGTATATAAAAGAATGAATCAAAAGTCTCTAGATAGGACAAAAGTTATTGGATGATTTTAAAAATCAATGATACTTTTTTGAGACTATTTGGGCTAATTGTTTTTTCCTTTTTTCTTTTTCTTTTTATAAATTGTAAAATTATAAACTTAGCTTGTAAAATTAAAATCCTAAAGGCAAGCCTTAATAATCTCGAAAAAAAAAATTAATTGATTTTCGAAATCAAGACGCAACTTTTGACCGGTCTAAGAACTTTTGGACCACTCTTATATAAACTTGCATATTTTATCACTAAATAATATTTCATCGCATTTTCATGGATCTTCTCATACTGATCAGTCACACAACAACAACATCATCAACAACTATAACAACAAAATAAAAAGAAAAAAGAAAAAAGAAAAAAAATGACCCACATCACATCGAATAACATTTGAATTCTAAATGGTGTTGGAAAATATGATGTTAACATATTTCTAATTGTCTTTTTTACAGACGCATGGTTTAACCCCGAAAGACTGAATCCGAAAGGTAAGAAAGCAAGAATGCGCGAAGGTATTTGAACCTGCATATATATATGTATGTATGTATGTATGTATGTATGTATGTATGTATGTATGTATGTATGTATGTATATATTTATGTATTTATTGAAAAGTAGATTAGAGATATATGTAAATGTATATATGTTCCTATTTATATATATGTATATATATATGTTTTTATATTCTATCAAAGTGTCCTCTGCGATATTTTATTTATAATTTTTACGACATTTGGATGGACCATGGCATTCGATCTGGTTTTTTTATTTTTTTTTTAAATAGGAAGAAAAAACCATGATAAGGGAGAATAAGAGAGAAAGATACAAAAGTTGACGTTAGATAGTAACAAACTATTTTTAGATCTGTCAAGTTAACAGATAATCGACGGAAAAAAAGAAAAAAAGAAAAAAAAACAAAATTCTCGATTATTTTTAGTTGATTTAATTTGACCTCTATACAGCTTTCCTAAATACTTTCCAATAATTATGATATTGATAATTTTACGAGAGAAAAAAAATAATCTATCGTGTTTCGATTATTTGTAATAATTATACAGGTGGTGAGACAAGTGTTTTAAAAAATGTGATCTACAAAATTTTCGAGTACTCCTTTATCGAGACCTCCTTAGGTTAAATTTTGTTTTTATCGAATTGTTAAACTACAAAATTCCTAGGGACTTTTACCCTATTCTATAATATTAATATTTTATAATTCAATATTTTCATTATATATGAAAAGAAAATTATATAATTTATCAATATAACAAATATGCTTTAAAAAAATCGTTAACTTTCCGGTACGAAAAAAACAAAAAATTAATAAGCAAAAAAAACTGACAAATAAAAATAAAACTGAAAAAAATACATATGACATATATATATGATATATATATATATATATATATATATATATATATATGTATATGTATGTATGCATGCATACATCTATACGTGTATCTATAAAGACGCATATATGCGCCCTCTTACGTCGTTCGCTCGATCTCTCGGATAAAACTAAATATAACGTGTGGCCAGGTTCGTTGGCTCTAAGCCAGATTTTCGAAGGCTTGTCTCTCTCTCTTTCGGGGAGATTTTCGAGTCGGCTGGTTTCCTTGGCCCGGTGTCGTCAAGCCGAGTGCGTCTTCGCGTAATACCGTTCGCCCACCTAATCCAAGGATCGATACGATTTTATCGCGACCTCGTGCGTGTCTCGATTGTCGTCTCTTTCTCTCTCTCTCTCTCTCTCTCTCTCTGTCTCTATCTCTGTGTATGTGTATATATATATGTCTTTCTCTCTCTTTTTTTCTTTCTCTCCCTTTCTGTCTGTCCGACTGTCTGACTGAGTTGCGCCTTTTAGAACCCTTATTTCTCGTCCTTGCTTCTCCTCTTCCTCTTCCTTCTCTTTCTTATTCCTCGTTCAATTTAACAACGTCTCGATCTATTTCCAAATTGTGACCGTAGTTATCTACCTCAACGTTCTTTCGTAATTGGTCAATTTGGTTGAAACAACAAAAAGGAAAAAGAAAAAAGAAAAAAGATTAAAAAAAATAAAAAAATAAAAAAAAAAAGAGAGAGACAAAGTAACAATCATTGAACATTCTTCAAATTTTTCTCTTTAACGGACTTGGATTATTATTTACGCGTGGATTATTTACTTTCTACGAAAATATGGCCATCACGAAGAAAACACGTGAGTAATTCTTATTCAATGAGAGAGAATGTTTAACATGTTTAATTCATTATACTCTTAACATGAATTTTCATTCATATCGTATTTAATATTAAAGCAATGACCGGTACGTCAGAAAAAGATAATTTATAGATTGTAATTATTACGACGGTGTTTATTTTTATATTTTTATATTCGTCGATTGAGAGAGATTGGAATTTGAAATGAATTATTAGCGAAAAATATTGAAGAAACGAAAAGCCTTTTAACTTTTTTGAATTTATTAAAATACACAAAGGTTTTAAGGAGTTGGTTCGTTAAAAAAAAAAAAGTGTTTTCGATTTAAAAAGTATCGAACATAATTATATTTAATTAAGAAGAAGACAAAAAAAAATACTAATTAAATGATGTTCATATTGTGTGAAATATAAAATTCGATAATGTTTGATAAATAATATTTCTTTAAAGAACTATTTTTGAAATAATCCTCAAGAATTTTAGAACCTCTTACATAAATATTTTTTTTTCTTGGAACGTCCCATAAAATAGATTTGTTCACGTGTTAACACACATACGTTTTAATCTTATGTTAGAATCTGGAGGATTTTATATATATATGCATCTATATGTACACGTTCTATATATACGTGTATATGTATGTAGGTCTCTCTCTCTCTCTCTCTCTCTCTCTCTCTCTATTTCTATATATATATAGAAGAAAGAGAAAGAGAGTATACATACTCTCTACATTATTCATGACGTACCGTAACATAGGTTGGTTGCACTCAAGACGATAAAACGTCCACCTTGAATGAATTCATCCCTTAGCCAAATAACAAAAACAACCTAATATTACACACATATATATATATATGTGTGTAATATACACGTGTATATATAAGATATATATAAAATATCTTTTACGTTTATATTTTTATATCCATGTCCTTTTTTAAATATTTATTATACTTAAAACATTCACTTTTATGTACAAACGTAAAATAATAAATTTGTTGAATAGAATTCTCTCAAACGAAAAAGATAATCGTTTCAATAACGTATAAAGGAAATCTAAAAAAAGATATCATTAATATTCTACGTTGAGTACAAACCGAATAACGTTCTTTTAATAAGAACTCGATGGTAGTTAATTGTTATGCATCAGGAAGCATTTGAAAATATCGGTACAGTAGCCAATAAAGGAGTAGGAAGATTTTTTTTTTGCAAGTATAGAGAGAGCCAAAAGTTACTAAGTGGTTTCGAAAATCAATTTTTCTCTTTTGTTGAGACTTTTTTTTAGGCTACTTTTTTTTTCTTTTTTTCTTTTTTTTTTTTTTTTCTTTTTGTAGATAGTAAAATTCCGCAAGTTTCGTTTGTAAAATTAGAACCTTAATATTGTGTCTAAAAAGCCTTGAGAAAGAGTAATTGGTTTTCAAAATCAGTTAGATAGATACTTTTGACTGGGATTGCATTTTTAACTACAAATTTCAAGCCATTACGGGGTTTTAAAATGTTTTAAGCCTGAAGAAAGGAGTAAAGATAAGAATAATATTTCGTCTACGTGATAATGACATCGTTTCCGATCATTCACCGCACCTCGTTCATCGGTCGATCGTTGACTGCTAAAAATATTTCTTAAGTAGTCTCTACTAACATTTACAAAGACGAGTTCAACAGCTCTCTCTCTCTTTCTCTTTCTCTCTCTCTTTCTCTCTCTCTCTCTTTCTCTCTCTCTCTCTCTCTCTCCTCCCTCTCTCATTATATTATGGATTACGTCTGGTTAAAGCAAAACATGTTAGAAGAATGGTTGAAAATGTTTGATATAATTCTGAATAGTCTAGGGATGCATGTAAATCATTTGTATATATGTATCAAAGATTTGGCAAACGTTGAAAGAAAATCTCTGGCTTTTCGCTGGTCCGAGAGCTACAGATTTATTAGGAGTGTGGTAAAACTGAATCATCGCCAAATGAAATTGCGAAATTCTTTATGCCTGCTTCAGGACGAGAGAGAGAGAGAGAGAGTGTATGTGTGTGTCTAGATTACTCGCCAGCTTATTCCTACGTTCTAATTGTATTTATTATTAGAATTCTACGTATTTGGTGATATTTCTTATAAGAATAATATGAAAAATGTTAGAGAAAAGTTGAAGGATTTGTAGAAATCGATTAGGATTTCGCTTTATGTAAACTTTAAGAGAAGAACATGATAATATATATATACAGAATGACAAAAATATATATTCAATCTCTATAAACATGTTATTAAAAATAACTAGAAAACTTTCCCTCGGTAATATATTATAAAATTGGAAAGTTCTTATTTTTGAAATATACAATGTGTCGCGCTTCATAGTTAACACGGTTACCGTGGAAATCGGTGATGGCGTTGTTATCGTTCGGACCACGCGGCGGCCCGGTGTGATATATTCTCTTCCGTAATCGCGCGTGCGCTCGCATACACAACGCACGTAGCATTTTACGACGTCTTAAAAATTTCTTGTGAGAAAGTATACGGCGCTTCGATAATGACAAGAAAAAACGTATATAAAACTTCGGTGAAAGTTTTGCCGGATGAGAATGAGAATGCCGGTGAGTTTTATTTTGTTTTTTTTTAAATAAATAAATATATATATATATGTATATATATATAAAATGTTTACTCTGTTATATTTATCGCAACAGATGCATCAAATTAACATATGGTCGAAAGAACACGCGACTTAAATTTCAATCATTTTATAAACTATAATATTAAATTATTGATATATACGTATTTAATATAAATCGTTCTGATTTAATATAAAAAAATGTAATAAATTCTATATTAACTTAAAGAAAATTTGAAAATAAAATACGAATCGTTCCTCGTAGCAATTCATCGTTAGGAAACAGTGTTTCATTTAAATAAGTAAAACGACGAAACTGAAAGTTCTATGAAAAATCTCTTAACATTTTTTTTTTTTTTTTTTTTATTCATTCATTTTATATAGGTTTAAATAATAATTTAATAAATTTTAACTTGGAAATTTATTCTAATCACCAGATTATTTTATTATAATGATCATCTAATTACTGTGAGTAGGAATTAAGAATAGAAAAGGATTGGATAATAGAAGAGAAAAACAAAAGAGAGGAAGAAAAAATGAGGTATAGTAGAAAAAAGAGAATAAAGGGGAAGACTGCTAAGGGTTATTAGACTGTAACAGAATAACAGTTACGACTCATCCTCTTCAACGGGGAAACTGACTGTTCAATGCAACTACTCGTTGAACGTTTTTATGTCGAGGAAAGCATTTCACCGAGATAACGTTTCCGTTTTTTATGTGGTTTATTTTTAGTTTGTAGAAGTATTTCTAGTAGAAGAGGATTCACCAAGTCCATTTATTACTTCATGGTAATAACGATAATAATAATAATAATAATAATAATAATAATAATAATGATATTTGATAACAAAATAAAAAAGCAAATATTTACTTTACACAGGGTCAAGTTTTTATTTGCACCAATTTCAATGAACATTTTATAATTTCTATATTTAATTATATTTAATGTTAATTGTATTGACATGAATGAAGAATTGAAAATATTTGATATTATATAAATAAATATTATCGATGTTATTGTTATATGTGAAATGTGTAATAGTACAAAAGTAGCAATGTGATTTGTAAAAATAAATAAAATTGATGTGTATTCTAATTTTATGAGCCTATAGTAATCGTAATGAAATAATAAATGTAATTTCCTTTACTTACAGTGGCCACTCTTATCTACTGGCGCGATCCAAAGAAATCGGGAGCTGTCTTCGGTGCGACCTTAGGGTTGCTTTTGTCGCTGGCCTACTTCAGTCTGATCAGCGTACTTGCTTATTTATCATTACTCATTCTTATCGCCACGGTAGCCTTTCGTATTTACAAAAGTGTACTTCAGGCTATCCAAAAAACTTCAGATGGACATCCATTTAAGTAAGTTTATACTTCGTTCAAAATTTTTAGTTTACGTTTAAAAAAATTTTGTAATAATATTTTTGTCTAATTCTTTTTTTTTCTATTTTCTTTTTTTTTTTTTTTTTGTTATCTTTTTTCTTTTTAGATATGTTCTTGACTTAGATCTTACATTACCCACCGAAAAGGTGCACGAACTCGCGGATATTGCGGTAGCTCATGTAAATGCAACTATCAGCGAATTACGCAGACTCTTCCTAGTAGAGGACATCGTCGATTCGCTCAAATTTGGGGTTTTACTTTGGTGCTTCACTTACATTGGCTCATGGTTCAATGGAATGACTTTAATAATCATTGGTCAGTAGATAAAAATTATAAGTAGTTTGTTGGAGCTATGAAATTGTTACACTTTTACGATATTGTGTTTCAGGTGTCGTCGCACTTTTCACGCTACCAAAAGTGTATGAAACGAATAAAACACAAATCGATGAGAATCTGGCTCTGGTTAAGGGAAAAGTCGATGAGTTTACTGCCAAGTACGTGATTGAAAAAAAATGATCTTTTTTTCTTTCTTTCTTTTTCTTTTTTTTTTTTTTTTTTTTTTTTTTTTTTTTTAAGAAATATGTAATATAAGAAAGATATATGTATATTTAATTATTTTCATATCATTTTGTGATAGGATAAAAGCAGCCATCCCTCTAGTTAAAAAACCTGAGCCAACGAAAGAGGATTAAAAGAATCGCATACACGATGAGATATTTCAGCAAGAATGTTTGATAAGAACAGTAAGGATCATAATGTAAAGGCATAAGAAATGCAGAAAGTGAAATGAAAGAGAGTAACAGCGCGTGTGGATAGAACAATATGAACGCAAAATGAAGAGAAATTGCAGAAGCTTGATTGGTTGAATGTATGCGCTGCGATTGCTTGAAAAAAAAAAAATGTAGGAAAGCGAAATTGTGAACAAGAATGTCACATATGTTGAATCTTTGTCGGAATGCGTTAAAAAAAGAGAGAGAAACTGCTCTTTTTAAGAAAAGCTAAGAGAAAAAGAAAATCGACCAAAGATTCAACGTTCATGCATTCATTGACATTTTGTTCACAAGTATCTTTATTATGAAAGACAGAAAGGTATATAATGCTTAGCAATTAATCAATCATTCATTAACTATGATACAATGGTGGCATATTTTAACTAGCTGTAATAATGCAATCTCTATGCGAGGATACTTTTTAGAAATCTGTTTCGTCGTAATCTTTAACTAACGTGTTTCATAATTATCGCAAATTTTCGATATCCTTCTTCACTTTACGTCCACTTGTTTTTGGTACTACTTCACATCATTGATGTAAAGCTATTGTAAGCGTTAATATACATGCTTAATGTATATATACATTATATTATGTGATTTAATATCAAGAACAAGGGGTACTGTTGTACAACATATGATAGTTTTAAGTTTTCTTTTAATAAATGAGTTTTTCCTTTTCTTTTATCAAATGATTTTGAAAACAACTATAATGTGTAACAGTTCCCCTTCCGCAGTGTCTTATGTTGTTTGTTAGCGCGTTTAAAAATCGAGAGAAATTATAATGCAAATTATACAGTGTATATTATGTCTAACGACGTTGACAGTTACATAATATTATCATAATTACCATTATTAATTATAATTAAATTTTTAATATATGTATATATAACAGGGTAAACCTATCCAATTCAGTGATATTAAAATTTTCTTAAAGAGATGAAAGTGTATGATTTATAAATATGTGATAACAAAAATTTAATATTTAATTATATAGAAAAATCATGTAATTATTATTTTTAATGGAACGCATTAATTATCAAGAGAGAGAGAAAAAAAAAGAAACGTTTATTAAAAATAAAACTTGTCAATTTTTGTTGTTTGATCGATACAGACATTCTAACTATGATGGCTGTTGCGGAACTAGGTAGGTTTCCCTGATATCTGTCCGCATGTATATGTATAATGTGAAAAATACATTATATATTATATGTGTATAATGAAAAATGACGAACATTTAATTGTAAAATTGTTGCACGATAACAGGAGGCGGAACACGTTAGACAACAAAAAAATAAAAATGTCACTTTATATTATATCATGGTACCTATCTAGGCCAAGACCACATGTTTGTATTAAAAATTGACAGCAAAATGTTGACAATGTGAAATGTAATACGCGTATCGCTTCTTGAAGTTCCCATTATTGCATCTGCATCCATACGATTAATTTATAAATAAAATTACATTGAATAAGATATATAAATTGGATTGTTTCTATTATTTGCCGTGTTTTCGAACATATCCATATCCAATATTTCTTTAAGGAATATAAACAAAAAAAAATCACATTAATTTTGAGTATTCAATGTTTATTTAATTAATATTCGATATAATCGTATAATATTTGATAAAAATAAATTTAGTTTCTTCGATTGTCGAGTCAAGGCGATGAACTTTTGAACGTGGAAGTTCTACGCGTCGTCGTTTGCGCAGACGCAAAAATTTAAGGTAAAGCGCATGCGCGACCTTGTAGAAGGTGAATATGTATCTCCATTTGTTTGGCAATATGTTCTATTCGCCCTCGGCGAGCTGCACGGTGTTCTTGTGCGTTTCGTCAAGAGTGTTTCATTCTATCTCTTTCTCTCTCTTTCCCTCTCTTTCTCTCTCCCTCTCTTTCTCTCTCTCTCTCTTGCTCTCTTTCCTCTAGCTGTCTCTTTCTCTCTTACACGCACATATCAAGTGTAGTGTACAATTCTTCAAACATTCTTTCGGTCATTATACGAACGAATTGAATAAATTTATTGATTGAGAACAATTAAAAATCATGTCGCACGTTGATGTGGATCACGAGAAAAGAAAACAAATCTCAGTACGCGGTATCGTCGATGTTGAAAATGTCGCGAATTTTAAGAAAACGTTCAACCGGCATCTTCATTATACTTTAGTCAAAGATCGTAATGTAGCGACTAGCCGAGATTATTACTTCGCTTTAGCACATAGTGTCAAAGACAATTTAGTATCCAGATGGATTCGAACTCAACAATATTATTACGAGAAAGATCCAAAGGTAAGTCTATAATTATTAATGGTTTGCTTTCTTCTTGTCTTTTTCTTTTTCCTTGTGTTTTCTTCTGTTCTCTTCTCTTTTTTCTCTTCTCTTTTATTTTCTTTTATTCCTTTTCTTTCCCTATTATATAGGATTGACGGGATTAATTTTATTATTAAAAAATTTTTTGTCATCGTACAATCTATTGGTATATCAAATAAAGAAAATTTATTGTATTTAAATAATAAATTCTCTTTATGATATGATTTAGAATTTTAGCTTAAAAATGATTTGTTGTAGAAAAGTATATTATAACTCAATACATTAAGTATAAGATATGTATTTTTAACTGTATAAGTTTCAGCTGTATTTCCTATATTAATACTCAATTTTATGACTAACAATAGTATTCTAATGAAATTTATTCTAATATTTAGGAATTACAGGACTCGACAAATGATTTGTTTTTTGGACTCTTATATGTTAAGTGTATCATAGAACACAAATCATATTTATAATAATAAATGGTATGATCACAGTCATAATAGGATGGATATTGGTATAATAAGTATATTAAGTAACTATCTCATTAAGATCATACGCTTAACAAATATAATACAGATTAAATATATTCAAAACTTCTCATCGCAATCATTTTTCTATCCTCGTTGACCTGGTAATATTTGATACATGATATTGAAAATGTAGGTCAAGAAACAAATATAGTAATGCTAATGTAAAATAGACTTATCAATTAAATTATTTGAAAAACGTATATTGCAAACATAATATTTTCGTTATCAATAATTATCAAATAATATTTATAATATTTATATGAAGAAAAATGAAAGAACAAAGAAAAACAATTAAAAAATTTGAATGTATGATTTGAAAAAAAAAAATGTGTCGCAACATTAATCATTACTTCATATTTGCTGTTTAAAATGAACTTTGAGATTTTCACATAATCATTGATAAATTAGTGATATAGCAAATATAGAAACAGAAATACAGGATCTCTAATATGCAACTTAACATAATAATAAGTCCGAACAATTATCACAATATCTATTCTATTGATGATGTGAAAGTAATGCAAGAAAAATATATTGCAATATCTATTTTTGGGCATGCTGTGTCCCTGTGCACATGAAGATTACATCACTCAAGCATTGAAAGCTTATCATATTAAATTCTTCATGTTCAATTGAACCATTTTGATCGTTTCTAACTCATATACATTTATTTTTTATCATGTATCTCTTAGTTTTATTATATTTGTATTTTTCTTTTTCTTTTGTTTCTTTTTGTTTTTCTTTTGCAACATCTTACCACAGGTATGTCTGCAGTTTGCACATTGTTGCCAAACGATTAATTTCAATATAATGCCAAAAATTCTTAACTATATAGTTTCATAACTTTTGGATATAATCCCAAACAAATTGGATCTATAGATTTTAGAAATTCACGTGATCCATTCGCGGTACTTTTCCTTGCTCTAGTCGTGATTCTCAAATATAATAAAATATATAAGTGTGATAAAATTTCTAATTTAAGATATCGTTCAGACAATATGTAACTTAGTAAGTTAAAGGAAAAAAGAGAAAAAAAAAGGAAGGAAAAGAAAAAGAAAAAGAATCACACGAAGAAATAATATAGAGCACGAAAATAATTCATACTTTAACGAATCTTTAGAAAGAAGAGTTCAAAGTTGTATTTTTATCTGGTATTAAACTTATTGTAAAATAAAAAGTTATACAGCAATAGATTATAATTTCGACCAATAGATGTTCCAATAATACGATATTTTCGTATTATATTTTAAAATCGGTCAGTGACCTCATCCGCAAGATAAATTTATTTTTATCTTATATTATGCCGTGTATATTTTAATCTATCACGTGTAAAAATGTGTTTCATAATGTGTTGTGTCAAGAAGTAATCTTTGATTTTATTTAGATTAATAAATAATATAATATACAAAAATATTTGATATTATTTTTTAAAAAATTATTCATTGACGTATTTTAATGGATAACTTTGACATGACCTTGAGCAAGTCAGGAGGCATCTACGTGACCTATCATATCGAACGTTCATGTCTTTCGAAGTAACTAATTATCACTCATTATAGATCACTATAGATCATTTCATATGGATAAGTAATCTTGCAATTAGTTGATTCGTTATAAATCTAATTTTGTTTATCGTTATTTTATATCTTGTTTAAGTTGATCCTTGATCAAAAAAAAAGGAGCAAAAGAAAAAACAACTTGTCAATTAAATAAATGATTAACTGCATGTTATTTGTCACATAACAATAATAAATTATTGATCTATAATATAATTTTTTTCTTTTCTTTTTCTGTTACTTTAGAGAGTATACTATCTTTCTCTCGAATATTATATGGGAAGGGCATTGCAAAATACGATGATCAATTTGGGAATTCAGGGTGCGTGCGACGAAGCTATGTATCAGGCGAGTGACGCATTTTGCATGAAAACAAAAAATATTTTATTTATTTAAGATCGATCTAAAATTTCCTATCTTAACATTTTATTATAATATTTCACAGATGGGCTTGGATATAGAAGAATTAGAGGAATTGGAGGAGGATGCTGGACTTGGAAATGGAGGCTTAGGAAGATTGGCTGCTTGTTTCTTAGATAGTATGGCAACTTTGGGCTTGGCTGCTTATGGTTATGGAATAAGATATGAATATGGTATATTTGCACAAAAGATAAAGAACGGAGAACAAAGTGAAGAACCAGACGATTGGTTGAGGTATGGTAATCCTTGGGAAAAAGCAAGGCCAGAATTTATGCTTCCAGTTAATTTCTATGGACATGTTATTGACACTCCTGAAGGCAAAAAATGGGTTAACACGCAGGTTCGCAGGATGCAAATGATTTTACACGATCGTGTAATTAAATTATTATTAATTATATATTAAATTTTAGGTCGTGTTTGCAATGCCTTATGATAATCCAATTCCTGGATATAAAAATAATGTGGTTAATACATTGAGATTATGGTCTGCTAAATCGCCAATCGAATTCAATTTGAAATTCTGTAAGATCTCGATTAATTTCTTTTTATTCTTTTTATTTATTTTTTTATTTGAAAAAGCGTCACGTTATTATTGATTTAAATTATATTACTTTCTTCCTTTTTTTTTTCAGTCAACGACGGTGATTACGTTCAAGCTGTTATTGATCGTAACTTGGCAGAAAATATAAGTAGAGTCTTGTATCCTAATGATAATTTCTTTGAGGGAAAAGAGCTTCGTTTGAAACAAGAATATTTCATGGTTGCCGCTACTCTTCAAGATATAATTCGTCGTTATAAAGCTAGTAAATTTGGATCGAAAGAACATTATAGAACTGAATTCGATGCTTTCCCTGATAAAGTAGCCGTTCAATTGAATGACACTCATCCTTCGTTAGCTATTCCTGAACTTATGAGAATTCTTATTGATGTTGAAGGACTATCGTGGGAGAAGGTAGCCGAGAAAATTTTTATTAGATATTTATTCTTAATTGGATAGGATATTTTGTGTTTTGTATTAAATAAATTATATAATTTATATATATATATATACACATAAATGTTTATGCATCTTTAAGGCATGGGAAATAACAACGCGAACGTGTGCTTATACAAATCACACTGTTCTACCAGAAGCACTTGAAAGATGGCCCACTAGCATGTTAGATAGCATTCTTCCACGACACTTGCAAATTATTTATCACATAAATCATTTACATCTTGAACGAGTCGCTGCCAAATTTCCAGGTGATATGGATCGTCTTCGTCGTATGTCTTTGATCGAAGAAGAAGGTGAAAAACGAGTAAATATGGCTCATTTATCCATTGTTGGTAGTCATGCCATCAATGGAGTTGCACAAATACATTCAGAGATTTTGAAAGATAGTGTGTAAGTGATAAACCTAATGAGTTTATTAATGTATTGATAAAAATTATACAAGAAATAATTTATTTTAATTATTCTTATACAGATTTAGAGATTTCTATGAATTGACACCAGAAAAATTCCAAAACAAAACCAATGGTATTACACCTAGAAGATGGTTACTTCTTTGCAACCCAAATCTATCCGATATTATTGAAGAAGTATATATATGTGATTTTTTTTTTATTATAACAACACTGGATGTAAATGTATAAACGTTTTTGTTTTTTTTTTCTATTTGTAATTTATAGAAAATAGGAAGCAATTGGGTTGTACATTTAGAACAATTGGAACAGATTAAACAATATGCCAAAGATCCAGGCTTTCAACGAGCGATAGTTAAAGTTAAACAAGAAAATAAATTACGTTTATCTCAAATGTTAGAGAAAGATTATGGGGTTAAAATAAATCCTGCCTCGATTTTTGATATTCAGGTAAAAACAATATATATTCAAATTTAATTGATTTACATTAATGTTACCGTTTAATTTACTAATAAATATAATTCAATGTTAGGTGAAACGTATCCATGAATACAAACGACAATTATTAAATTGTCTTCATGTTATTACATTGTACAATCGTATAAAGAAAGATCCGTCCGCACCGTTCGTACCAAGAACTGTTATGATAGGTGGAAAGGCAGCACCAGGCTACCATCTAGCTAAAAAGATTATCAAATTGATTTGTAGTGTTGCAAATGTTATCAACAACGATCCTATTGTAGGAAATAAACTAAAGTTGATCTTTTTAGAGAATTATAGAGTAACTTTGGCCGAAAGGATTATTCCTGCTGCAGATCTGAGTGAACAGATTTCTACCGCTGGTACTGAGGCATCAGGCACCGGAAATATGAAGTTTATGGTAATAATGAATAAATCAATTGAATATATTAAACTTCGATCTACAAAATGAAAAAAAAAAAGAACAAAAAATCAAATATAATTAACGTTTTAGCTGAATGGTGCTCTTACAATTGGTACTTTGGATGGAGCTAACGTAGAAATGGCCGAAGAAATGGGAAATGATAATATTTTCATTTTCGGCATGACCGTAGACGAGGTTGAAGATTTGAAAAGAAAAGGCTACAATGCTTATGATTATTATAATAAATTACCAGAAGCAAAACAATGTATCGATCAAATTCAAGGAGGTTTCTTTAGTCCTAATAATCCAGATGAATTTAAAGATATCGCTGATGTGCTACTTAAATGGGATAGATTTTATCTTTTAGCAGATTTTGAAAGCTATATTCGTATGCAAGAAAAAGTCAGCCAAGTGTATCAGGTAATTGTAATTTGTAATTTTAATTTGTCAAACAAAACTAATACAGTGTTGTTAAAATTTCAATATCTGTTATGGGATATGTATTGAAACGCCATATATTTTAGGATGAAAACAAATGGGTGGAGATGGCGATACATAATATAGCATCTTCTGGAAAATTCTCTTCCGATCGGACAATTGCAGAATATGCCCGTGAAATTTGGGGCGTAGAGCCAAACTGGAACAAATTACCAGATCCACATGAACCACGTGATATCTAATTCGTTTGATATAATCAATCTAATGAATGTTCTATAATTTTTTCTGTACTTCTATAATAATCGATAAAATATTATGATAGACAATAAAACAAATTTCAATACTTGAGGAAAGAAAATAGCACGATTAATTATCTGAGAAAGATAAATAATACAAATAATATTTAACAAATGTCTCATCACGATAATATAAAGATTCTATGCATTATATACAAATGAAAGACTGTTCGATCTATAAAATAGAAAAAAATCTATATTGGAATTTGAGAAATTTATCCAATAAAAAGGTTCAATTGTTTATCACATAATTTAACACAAAAAAAATTATGAACAGAAGTATATCAAACGAATGCAATATATTTTTCTATAACTACATTTATTTTTATTATGCTACTGCCTACTGTCAAATACTCAAATAAAGGTGGCTAAGAAATAATTTCAAAGTAATCTCATAAATAATTATAAAAAAAATATGCGCATGATTTTGCTTCAATTTTGAGAGACATGGTCTCAATGTGAAAGTCTTTGTGTCTTTGTGTACTCTTAAATAATTATATATTGATACTATTTAATCTCTAATGTCATTTTAATCTGATATATTTCATGTTGTGTAATAATATATATTTGTAACTTAATGTTCTTTGTTGTAAATAACAACTTTAAAAATGTTCCTAGTCATAATAAAATACTAAATGAAAAACATTGCAATAATGAAAACATTTTTAAAATTATGAAAGTTCAAAATTTATATAATAATATAAATGATATGAATTATATTATTATGGCAGAAATTATTTTCATTATACGCATGACACAATCATTTTTCAACATCTAACAATATTTTATGGCAGATTATTAATTTACCTTTTTGTAATTGTTATTAATATTTATAGTGAACATATGTAAAAGACATATGTTATGTTTTTATTAACAGCAAAAAAAATATAAATAACATAAGAAATATCTTGATATACTTAAAAAAATAATACATTTTATTATATTATATTGTAACAGCTATGTATATATATTTTATGAAAAAGAATACAATACTGGTGCCAATTAAATAAAAATAAAAACTCCGCTATTATAAATTATATATACATATGTATTAGGTATAATCTTACTTATTATATAAAAAGTAATACTGTTCTATTATAATTGTTATATTAAAATAAAAATATTAACGGTACATGATATAAAAATAAAATGCTCCTGTTTAAAAAGATTTAAAAATTCGCGGTATAAAATGATCGTACAGTATAACCTATCACATCGAAAATGTGAACAAAAAAAACCAATGTGATGATTAAAAGATAAAATATCTTGTGGATAAGCTACATTGATAAAAAAAAAATTTATTTATATCAAATTAAAGAAAGTCGATGAAGTAAATTTTTTTTTTCGAATCGATTGAGAACGAGTCTTTAATAAAACGTAGAGGCATCTGCCTAGAGTGAGAAACTTTTCTTCGAATATAATATCTATTAATAACATTTTCTTGCCATCCAGTGTACATAAGTAAGTATTGGATTCAACACAGTTGTTCCTTGATGTCTCATACTGTACTTACGCAATGCATCAGTCCGATTCGAACGAATCGTGACAAGAAATTAGAAGCAAAAAGAACGCCTCTAGTACGTCACTATCACCAGCGCGGGATTACCTATACCGGCGTTCGAAATTATTAAAATCGATGAGTGAAATTCTCGTGGAAAAAATAAATAATATAAAAATTGTTATCGTTTCTCTCTCTCTCTTTCTCTCTCTTTCTCTTCGTATTTTATTAACAAAATTCGGGAATAAAGATTTTAAAAATCGTCACATCTTCACGTTTTGGAGTTACCACATCGCCTATTGCAATTTTCTTCGAAGTATATAAAAGATCGTGTGACAAAGGTAAAAAAAATGTCAATCGATTGTATTTTCAAACACACCAAGGAAGATGCTTTCAAGGATTTCATCTTTTTCGACGAGAAAACCATACCAATAGTAAGTTTTCTTTATATTTATATGTACATTTATATATATATATATATATTATTATAATCTACGTACAATAAATTTTCGATTACAAGTACAATCTGGTCCATAATTAAACACGAATTAAATTGTTATCTTCGTACGGTATATATATATATATATATACATATATATACATACACATGCACACATTTTCTTTTACCTTAAATATGCGGAAATGTGTTCAGATTTCTTCTCGCTAGATGTCGGTCTTTCATTTTTCTCTATGTTTTATATTACAGTCGGTAAGTGAACGTTCTACTGTGATCGATAGATGAAGAAAAGTTATCGATTAATCGAACATTGATATATCGATGATTTTTCCTCAAAAAATATAAATATAAATATATTCGAGGGTTATGGTAATATAAGTTTTCAAAAGAGTTCATTAGATAAATTGAATTCTTTTTATAATGAAAAAAAGAAAATTCGAACGTCGAAGAAGAATAATAATTTCTTAAATTCTTTTATTGCATTGTGTAATAGAAAAAAAAAATGTGATTGAATTAATTAAATAAAGTCTTTTTTTTTTCTAAAATAAAAATGGAACGTATCAAAGGCAGAGGAAAATGTGTCGAATTTAAAATAATATTAGAAGCAGATGTCTAGAATTGTCATTCAAACTTTGACAGGTTTTTACGTAAGGAAAAAAACAATATATATATATATATATATATATATATATATATATATATATATATATATTAAACAAATAATTAATTTAATGTTAATTATTAATTTATTATTATTTTATATTTTAGGAAGAGGTAAAACCTGTCATATTACAGCCATTGAAGCCAACATCTGCTATCATTATAACAGGATACATTCCAGTCCATGCAATAAGGTATTATGTGTGATTAGTTCTTTTTTTTTTTTTTTATTTTCTAGAATATTCTTTCTATTTGTTTCTTATAAATTATGTATTAAAAAACTAAATCAACAAATATTTCTTTGTGATAGATTTGCAATAAATTTAAATTGCAAAACGAACGGAAACATAGCATTGCATTTTAATCCAAGAATAGATAGAGGCTATGTGGTAAGAAATACTAAGATCAAAGGTACATGGGAAATCGAGGAAACATGTTCTCCAGTCGGTCCATGTAATTATATATTTCGTCGAAATTCTTATATTCATTTGATGATATTTTGCACGGAAGATGCATTTCAGGTAACATCAAGTATTTGTATAAGTTTATGTTATCTCCTTTAGATTAGAATTATCTATATTATTATCGTTTTTCTTTATAGATAGCCGTCAATGGAGAACATTTCTGTGCGTTTACATATAGATTTCCACTTAGCGATATTAATCATCTTCAATGCGAAGGACATATAGAAGATATAAGATTTAATCAATTATATCTTAATGTTTATCCTGATCCAAAGATTTTGAAACCTTCACGTTCTTTAAGTTTGACAGTGGACTGTCCTCTCGTAGAGTTTCTTGTAAGCAATAGATATATTTTTCATTGTAAATAATTAACAAAAAAAAAAAAATATATATATATATATACTTATATATAGTAATTTAGAAAAAGACATATATTTTTTAAATGTAGGAAGTTCCGATCAATGTAAGAATCGACTGTGAATTTAAACTCGGTACCAATTTATTTATTAGAGGAAGATTAAAATTACTTCCCCATTCGTAAGTCTTATTATTAATTTCTTTTTTTTGTGTAAGATTTCTTATTATTATAAAAATCTGTCCTTTTTTTCTCTTACAGATTTTATATAAATTTACAAAAAGGTGACACTATTTATCCTCATCCAATAATTGCCTTGCATATAAATCCACGTTTCCTTTATGGTAGTAGCGAGCCTTACGTTGTCATGAATTGTTGGGTCGATGGTAGTTGGAGAAATGAGGAAAGACACGAAGGACATTTATCTTGGATGCCGGGCCGTGATTTTTTACTAACGTAAAAGATTTTTTTCATGTAATACATAGGATGGGTCAAAAGTTTCAAAGAAATTTTAGAAATTAATTATCTCTTTTTACAGATTTCCTAGAGTTTACGAGTTAAGCTTTATTGTTTTATAATCTGCAAAAAAAAACAAGATTATCCTGAAAAGTCTCGAAAAAGAGTAATTGATTTAAAAAATCACTCACGAACTTTTGGCACGCTCTGTAATTTTATCACAAATTCTTATAATGTATTATTATTATTTTTCGTTTGTTTGTTTGTTAATAGTATACGTTGCGAGCATGACAGCTTTTCAATATGGCTGGGAAACAAAATAATAAGCGAATTTAAGCACAGATTAAAACCATCGGTCATTAATACTCTACGAATATCAGGCGATGTTGTTCTTCATCATTTGGCGATCGATGATGTCAAAAAAAAATGAAATAACGAATGACTATATTATAACGATACTTCTTGGATACCTTAATTATTACTCAAAGAAGAAACATGCGGACGTATTTATTTGTCTCTGTTTCTTTTATGAAACTTTTCGAATGTTGTCATTAATAATGTAAAGGATGATACAATGTTTTCTGATAAACGTATGTACTTATTACGTATCATTCTTAGACAATATATCGTTTTAAGTTGATTTTATTAAATTCGTTGATCAAGTTAGAAAAAGACCTCCCTCTTCACTTTTTCATTTCTCGTAATAATTCTGTATGAGATTGATATATATCTCTCTATCTCTCTCTATTAAATTTGACAAATTATGAATCATTCTTTTAAAGAATTCTGATTATTAATATCAATGATTGTTAAGACTCTACAAAATGAGAAGTTCCTTTTTTTCTTTTTTTTTTTTTTTTATTTGTAATGTGATCACGGGCGTTTAAGAAAATTTTCTTAAAACAACTAAATTCCTTGTAAGGATAATTAACGAGATTACATTTTATATTCATTTATACTAATTAATTATACCTTTTATATGAGATAGATAACAAGAAATTTTTCTATACCTTTTGTAAAACTTTCTTAAAAATTTCGTTAGATTTTAGGAGTGAAATATTTGAAACTTATTCAAATAGCGCACATTTGCTTACTTATATTATATATACGTGACATTTTTTGTAGTCATTTTTAATTATAATTCACAATGTACTTTTATGATTTATACAAGGCAATAAACTAATTGAATATACTGCAATAAAATATTTTCTCTTCGATATTCTTTAAATTACTTTATGTAGATATTATTTTTATTTGTTCAGAAAGAAAAAAAGAAAAAGATTGCAGGTGGTTACAAGAGAGTGTCGATTTATTATTGCACAATAATTCTAAATATTAAGAACTGCATTTCCTTGCCACGCATTCGTATTTAATACTTTCGTTGACAATTGAATTTAGTTCCTTCCTTACATAATATTATAACACCCTATATAATCTATGTACGATATCATGAAAAAAGTTGCGCACACATTTTCTTGAAAATTGAAAAATTCGCGTGAGCACAAACTTGTTTCGATGTTATCTCAGATTTTTATTAATAATATAATACATTACATTATATCACGTTTACCTAAAATATGGAAGACGTATTTCTCGAGTTTACACTTTGACACAAATTGTATTTTAAATTTGTGTGCCGTGTTATTAAATATTAATGTTTATTAAAAAACAAACAAAAATAAATGACTTAATTAATTAATATCTATATATTCCATGTAGGATAAATATTAAACAAATAAATTAGAAGAATTAATAGGAGACGATGTACGCTTATATATAGATAAATATTTTATACGAATATATAAAATTAATATCTTAATTAAATCTCTCCCCCCCCCTCTCTCTCTATCTTTATCTCTTTCTTGTCGTTTTAACGATAGATCTGACGTATCATTTAACTTCATTAACACTACATTTGTACCCGCTTCTTGATCAGTGTCGCATAATAATTGTGCACTGCAGAGAATTGAGAAAATTACTTTGTCCTTATCTTTTTAAATTCCTGTACAATATTAATATATTATTATTATTATTATTATTATTATTATTATTATTATTATTATTATTATTATTAATTATTATCATTATTAGATATCATCATTATTATACGTCATATTTGTCGAAGTAGAATAATAGATAAATTTTTTTTCGTTCGATTAATATCGATTATGAATTTTTCAGCTAAGTAGATATTTAAATACTTAATACTTTTTCCGAAATATATATATATGAGTCGAGTTATTAATCGGATATCATCAAAAATGAATTAAGTTAATTATAGACATAGAAAATAAATAAAAATTTGTTTTCTTTTTTCTTCTCTGTTTTTTTCTATATAAAATTTTCATAAAAACAAATTAAAAATATCAATGGAAGACACGTTCTATCGTCGTTCGTCTTTGATTAGACAATTTAATTAGGCAAGTAATATTCACGTGGTATATATTCTGGTTTTGGGCTGCTAGACTCGATTCCTAATAATTCTCCCATGAATGCTATGTAAGTGATAGCCAAACGAAGTGTCTCGATTCTTGATAAACGTTTCTCGTAAGCGAACGTTGGCACCTGTTTGATAAATTTTATGTGAACGAAATTTTTGATGTAAAACATTTTAAAGGGGGGAGGAGGGCTGAAAAGAACAAAAAAAAAGAAGAAAAAGAAGGAGACAGTTGAAATTACCTTTCTTCGTAATTTGTCGAAAGCTTCGTTCAAGTTGAACATTCTACGTCTTTCACGAATATTAGCGGCTCTTCTTTGAGAAACTGTGGCCACCCTACGTCTTGGTTTTTTTGTAGTAGATGAGGGAAGATTTGGTGATCGGCCATTTTGCGTATAACGACTAAATAATATAATAATATATCAATTATGTTTTGCAACATAAATATCAGATACTAACTTCGTTTATATCGGTTTTCTCGGTGATAGATATGATAGATAATAAAAAGGAAAACTAATAAATTATTTTATTGATTGATTCAGTAAAATAATGACATACCTTTGATGTAATAAAGCACAGGGCTGTCTGTACAAACCGTGTTCGTTGACGTGAGAATGTGTAGCCGGTGGTGGCTGATATAAAACGGAACTGTCCCACATCGGATAGCTTCCAAGTTCGCTACCGACGTATTGTGACATTTCCTGTGTGATTACCTATGGTGTACAGAGAGAGAGAGAGAGAGAGAGAGAGAGAGAGAGAGAGAGAGAGAGAAAGAGAAGAAGATCCTCATGAGACTTTTATCTTTCTTGTTGCTTTTAATTACACTTTGTTAACGAAAAAGAAAAAAAAAAGAAGACCGATCTTTTGCGTCACCATGAACAAATATAAAAAATATTTCGACAATATTAATTAGATGATGACAAAAATAAAATAAACTTGAAAATTATAATAATCAAGTATTTGAATATATTAAAATGTAACGATATTCGGAATATACTATAATGTAAAAAAAAGAAAAAGAAAAGGAGGAAATAAAAGGAAAGAACAAAAAAAAGATGGAATATAAAAACAACACAATTGTTCACTCACTGGTGCTTGATTTCCATTTATCTCCCACAACGGTTCGGTGTAGCTCATATCCCGCTGTCTGTCCAAGGATAAACTTGTGATCGAGATTACGCGTTAGAAAAGAAATGAAAAAAAAAAGGAGTGATCTAAACTTATATCACTTGCAATAGACCAATGCTTCGTAATTGGAAGCCTCCCGTCCGGTGGTCCGTCACCGTGTCACGAGTGTCTTTCACGTTATATCCGAAAAGTGCGAAATAACATCTTTTACACCGTGTGTGGATTTCGTATTCTCCTTGAAACCATACCAGTGGGCGTGGCCAAACCATGAGCGGGATGTACGTTTATTGGTTAAGAACTTACGCTTGCGTAGTAACTCGACGTTTTTATTAGATCACGTTCATCCTTTCAACTCTAATACGACGTTTCCTATTGGCTAGGAGTCGAGTAATAGGCGTGTCGATTATTATTGTTCTTATTTCAATCCTTCGCAATAAAATCGAAGAATTTTCGGTCTGCAAAAGAGGGACGAATATCAGTGGGAATTATCGATCGTCTAATATTGTTAGAAAGATGGACAGTGATTTGTCAAAGATCTTGTTATTTTTTTTTTCCTTTGTTTTACATAATTAATTTCTAAGTATTCCATTTTTGTTTCTAATTCGATCTTAGCAAAATATTCTATAGAAAGTTATAATATATAACGCGTTACAATTAATTTAAGTAACGTGTGAGATTTAACTATATAATGTTATAATAGGATTTATTAAGTGGTTGATTTAGCAGTTTTTCCGAATGAACGAACTGTAAATCTTTTATATCGACATCTGACATGCCACGTGCGTCCCTTTAAAATCTTTTTAATCGAAGAGCAGTTCTAAATTGATATCTTAAATCAGATATAATATTACATATTACATAGAAATATTATTGGTATATAATTAATATATCTATGAAACATATTACAACGCAGATATAAATAGGATATAGAACAATTCAGATATAACGATAGTTAGCTAAATATTTATCAAATAAATAAATAGTACAGGATTAAAGCTAAAATTTTAAGATTGTATTATTATGATACATAATTGATCTAATTTAACAATTAATGTCGACTCGAACGTATATTTAACATGTGTAAAATATCTATTTTATTTTATTTTTATATCTAAATTAATAAATAAAAATCCTTGAAATTGTTTCTTATTCTTTTTTAAATCAAAAGTAAAAGATAAATTCACTTTTGTCAGGTTCGTTTACGCGGATAAAGCGATAACAGGACACGATTTAACAAACGGATGAACTTCTTGAAGGGCACGTCAAGCACGTGCAACCTTCGTCATTTATTCGAGGGGAATCCATGGTTCATGGTAAAGTAAGGGCAATGCAACATATTGTTGTCGAAGAACGATCGAGTCACCGTCGATCTCTTCGAAAACACAAAGGGGAATATCCGTACGAATTAATTAAATAGATATTAGCGGACTCACTTGACATGAGCTCGTCCCTTTCCAATATGTATAAACATAACGACCCATTTTACCGTATCGAATCGCGTTAGCTCGGAAAGTGCTTGCTTTTGTTATGGGGGTGCATATAATTAACAATTCGTGTGGTTCTTTCAAATAACTCACTGTCTATACTATACTATACTATATTAAAGTTTTCGTTACGCTTTTGCATTAATTTTATTAACAATGTGTTTTTCATTGTTTGTGTTCATCGTTTATGTTCATAATTATATTAAAATCATTATTAAAAGATGAAAATTTTTAAATTGATAATATTAAAATTAAGCAAATATTAGTAATAGAAATTTTTTTAACGAAAGATTTTCCATTTGCTTTTTGATCTTAAATTATCAGAAACAAGATATATAAGATATTAATATAATTTTGCGAATGAAGTAATGAATCTCGTTGCACCTGATTATTATTAAGGATTAAATGAAACGATAGATCATACATAACGTGTTTGAGCTGGGTTTCATACGTCTTCAATGTCGGCCCTGGTAATATGCACTATATCCATAACTGCAAGCTGACGCTTTGGATCAATGCTACGAGCGTCGGCGCCGAAAAGCCTCGATCCGAATTCTGATGTGCGTTTCCAGAACAAACGATGGCAAATGAAAACTCAAATATTAACGTATTCGTTTTTTACCAAACTTTTACGCACCTTCTCTATTATTTTATCCTTATCTATAAACATTGTATGATTTACATATAAAGAAATCTATTATACTTTCTATTATAAATGACATGCAAATAATATAATGGCCACAAATAATATTTTAAGACATCTCAAACAAAACAATTTATTATTTGTAAAAAAAAAAAAAGAAAAAGAAAAAAACGATCCATAAGAAAGAATCGAAGAGAAGTTTAAAAATATTTAACTTGGATATTTGTATATCTGGAAATACGTCGAATCAGATAATTCAATATTTAGCATATTGATTAGATATTAGAAGATTATTATAGATATTTAGAGAAGAAAAATGTCAAAATAAAAAGAATCTCTTCAGATATTTCTATTGATATCTATAAATACATCGAATTTGAATGAGACATTTGGAACGCGTAACTGGATATTAGCGGATTATTATTGGGTAACACCCCTACAATTGAAAAAATTCGGATAAATCGGGACAAACATAAGGGACGATGTAAACGAGACGCAAGGACAATCGCATAAGTATACCCCGCAGTGCACGTGTTCCTTTGATCTGATTTTCTTGCTACTCTAACAATAGAAACAGAGAACCCCGCAAAAGGGGTCACGCCTCTGTCCGAAATTATGCGATTTTGTCATGGGGGTTTTACCGTTTCGATGGTTATTACATAGATTCGTTACAGTATCCCGTTAAATAGGACGACATCAATACCAACTTTTCACCTAATTTTAGTTACGATTTAAAGATCCATATTTTAGATCAATCAACGTACCTATATATATATATATATAGGTATATATATATAAATATATATATATATATTCAGGGATATATTTCAAAGAGATGAAAAAATGAAAATACATTTATTTATTTATTTATTTATTTTTTTTTTATTTATTTTCCTCGTAGATATTTTATTTCATTTACATACATATTTTGATATTCCTCTGATATTTTATTATTATATTTTACATCTATACAAATACGCGTTAAAGATGGTTCACTATTTTTTTTTCTTCTTTCATCTAATATTAATTGAAATAATTGTTCACGATTATTATAAATGGCGTTTCTATGGATATTTTATTAATATTATTGTTTATTTTTTCTTTTTTTTTTCTTTTTTTTCCATTTAATTCCGAAGCTTAGAAATAATTTTAAGTCATCTAAAAAATTGAACTAGTAAGTATAGACATGTGTTAAAAAAAAATAAAATTTTAATTAGAAATTACAGTTAATTAAGACTTGTTATTAAAGAAGAGAAATTTGTTTGTTAGCGCCGTTTACATATGGTGAACTATTGATTATATAAGTTGATAAAATAGTAACTGAAATATCCATACAGTAAATTAAATATTTACTGTAAGGAGAAATCAATTCCATGCTATCTAATCACAGATATTACTTGTACGCCTTAAGTACTAGACTGCAATCAATTATCTGCATATTTCCACAGTTTTAAATATATATGGCTATACCTATATATATATATATATATATATATATATATTTTTTTTTTTATGCTATCTAATCCTTGCACTTTACATTACAGTAAGAAGTTTAAAACATTCATAACAAAAATATTTTATTTCACATCTCTCTCTCTCTCTCTCTTTCTCTCTCTTTCTCTCTCTCTCTCTTTCCTTATCGTTTCATATTTATTTCATTTATTATGGAAATCTTGTTTTAAAAGAAGATTAATAACAAGATGTAAGAAAAAATATTACTGCAAGCATTTAAGCGCACAAGGATTTTTACATTCTAAATAAATATTTATAAATACATAAACGCAGTTATACGAAAACAATAACAAACTAATATAAGTTATATTTAATGACTTAAAAATACTTTAGATTCTTTTCTCTTTTCTTTTTTTACTGTTTTTACATTAATTACCATTCTAAACAATAACAATATAATGCAACAGAATGTAACACGACTGATATCTAATATAAATCATATACTTACGGAATTGTTTTAAAATTTAAAGGAAAAATTTTTATCGTAAGAAATTATTACATATATAATATATTTCTTTTTATATACGATAATTTTTCACTTTTACTTTGGTGCAATTAGGTGGGATTAAGTACTCATATGTTTTGCATGTAGTATTTAACATTCATCAATTTAAAATTAAGAGATATTGTTTATATATCAGATAATATTCATAAAAGTATAATATTCGTAAAAGTATAATATCTATTCGTTTAATGATATCTATTAAAAGTCATATAACATAAAACACATATAGAGTATTCAGAAAAATATAGAGTTAAAATTATTACTCCGTTTCCTTTTATCCTATTAAAATTTTCTAGAATTATTGATAAAATATATAGAATACAGATATTAAAGGAACTATTCGTTCTTTTTATCCTGTATGTCAAATCCAATAGTTACACTAGGGCTATCTGTTAAACTACTAGCCATAGTTAGGATCGGTTCTTTTTGAGTTTCTGTACATGAGGTAGAAGGATCTGACTTAGTTGAGCTTAATTTCCATTTCTCCAAATCTTTATCCGTCATTGCTGAGAAGGAGCTTTCTTTAGATTTGACAGATTTAAAACTGAAATTTGTATCAGATTTAGCAACAAAAGTTTTTGGCGTAGACACGCTTTGCGATCGTGAAAAATTCTTCCTTTTATGCCTGGTCTCTTTATTTCTGTGAGTTGGGCCTCTCTCTGCATTAGTAGTTTCCATTTTTTGCAATGTAAGTAATTTATTCTTATCCGTAGATGAACATGCACTGCTAGGCTCTTTAATTCTAACATCGTCGTCTGATATTTCCATACTCTCAACGCGAAATCTAAATAAACAATAAAATATTTATTATTTTTATTTCATTCATGAATTTTCTAGGATAATTTTAGACGCATAATACTAACTTAATTAAATGGAACTTTTTCGAGTGTTACATGATTTTTAACATCACAGCAGGTAAATTAATAGATATGTTTGTGAACAAAAAAAAATATTCTGCATATAAAATTTGTTAGAGAATATTTACCTTCCTATTTTTTTATAACCAACAGTTGATTTTGTCGCATTAGGATTCTCTACTTGTTCGAATAACAATTTAACATCCTGCTTTTTCTGTGCTTCGGTTTGACGCAACGTTAATGTATGTTCTTCGTCGTCATCAACCGTATCAACAGGAAGATCATCCGATGAAACAACTGTCTTTTGAGTAGTACTCGTATAAGATGGACCTTTACGGATTTGACCATCTTCGTTGCTATAATAATCTGTATATGAAACACTACCACGACCTTCGTGATTCTCTTGATCTATATTCATACAAAAATCATTGAAATCAAGATCAAGACCCGGAGTTGTGGGAAATTTTGGGGCTCCACTGTACGATGGTGCTCTATGTATATAACATTAAGGATAATTTATTTATCCTATCCTGATAAAAAATTTATCTACGATATTTTAAATATAAATATTTACACATACTCACCCATCGTTACTGATTAAACTGATAGACATACTGCACTCTCCTGTTGATGTTGGTGCAGGTGATGATGGTTCGGAAGATAGAAATGATTGTGGTTCGCTACTCCATCCTGTACCTAAAGTTAATGTTATAAAAAATAATTATTCTTTTATGATAGACATTATAAAAATATATACTTACTATTTGGACTTGTGGGTGATGGTTGATTTCTGATGTCACAGGTATCTCCATCACCACAAGATTTGTATTGAATTGGAGTTGGTGTGATATACCTGTTACAAAAATATGTAGTGGCACAAATATATATTTAAATAAAATAAAATAGAATTATATATATATTATACATATATAATATATTAATACATAGTTAAAACAATGTAAGCAATAAAATGTGTATATAACTATAGAATATAAGAAATGCATTGTTATGATTAAATACATAATTGATATATAATGTTACATAATTCAATAAAATAATATATATAGATATGAAGTAACTTAAATAAAAATAAAAAAAATTCAATACTCACAAGGGTACATTATTTAATTTCTTACAGTACCTGACGGCTTCCAAGTCAGAAGATTGGTACTCGCGACTAATGCCTCCTACATTAAGATTCGGATTGACTGAGCCCCCAGGTGATGGATATTTTGGAGGTGAAGAAGCAGGAGTTCGAAACAAAGGTGCACTCGTCATCATTTCAAGAAATGAATCCAATTGACGCAAAGACAATGCATTATGGAGTGTTTCCAATGGTCTTATCGGAGGAACGCCGCCAAAACCTTCTATTGCTATTAAAAGTAAAAAAAGAAAATATTTCGTTATATATTTTATATCATATCTTTCATTACATATAGTATCAGTTTTCAAATATTAAGTAATATTGGAAAACATTTAATCAACAAATTGATAAGTACTTATCCTATTGTATTCTGTAGGAAAAACTTAATATACATTCTAGAGCACACAGTAATACTATTAAATAAAATTGTTCTTAAGATTATATATATAGTTAGTATATATATATATATATATATATACATACATACATATATATATATATATATATATATATATATATATATATATATACTTACCAGCAACATGTTGCGGAATCATAGCATGTGATGGAATCATATCTTTAAGATTCGGAGCACTGGAAGATCCACTGATTACTGCAGTACTGAAGAGACTGTTTGCTGAGCCCGTCAATTTCTTGCTAACGTTATATCCCAGCAGCTTGAAATAACTCATCTGTCCGGAGATACTGTGACGGTGGCGCCTTGCTGTGCAGGTAGGGTCAGGTTGAATGATCGAAGGTCGTGTGTCTGGGGATGAGAAGGATCGTTGAGGCTGGAGTTGGGAAAATGGTGCACGTGGACACTTAGGCTCATGGTTATTTGATTTGCAATGAGAGGATTCATGGTAGTGACTATTGTTACTGTGAACATGACCATGCAGAATACCATTGTCTATCAAGTGCTGTGAGACATTTTGTTTTTTTGTATCAGAACAAGAATATCGCCTGCGATTCTGAGGACAATGGGATATGGAAGAACTATTGTTGCCAAGGTAATTATGAGGATCAGAATGAGATACTAGAACTTCTAAATTAAATCTTGTTATTATGTTTGGACATGAGTTTGATCTTCTCAATACATAAGAAATAGATTCCTCTGTTGGTGTTCTTTTCATTTCATTCAACATTGATAAATCCGTACCATGACTATCTCTTCTTAGATAGTGTCTTTGTGAAAAAATGCAATTACACTTGGATGGTGATTCAGTAGGAGATTGCGAATTAGACGTTTGTTTATCTGGTGAAATGGGAATTAAATAATGCTTTTTATATATTTTCTGATTAGAGTGAGATGCAAGATGGACTAAAGAACACGAAGGATTTAGAAACTGACCACGATTTTGTGCGAGACTATCGGTCGAAGAAATTATGTCACAACAAGAAGAACATTGTGATAGATTTGGCGATAAATTTTGCCATATATTAGCCAACGTATAACAGGAACAATTAAAGAATTTATGAGAAAGAGATCGTACAAAATAGGTCCTAAAGTTAGAACGTTCTAAAGGTGGAAGATCTCTGCTCTGTAAAATCAACTCGGAGACATTACAATTATAACAAAGACATCTCGTAGGGCAAGGTGATAAAGATCGTGACCGTTTAAAATCGTTAGTATTTTCAACTGGATTTGTAACATTAACAGTCGAAATTGTTGTTCCTATGGGACATAAATTATTATGAGAAGAGAGTGATAAAGAAGAAGAATTAACCATTGACGGAGATTCTGACATAGGATCAAAATCATTTGACTCACCATCCACTTTAATATTAGGTAGAATTATCTCTGTATGGAAACCTCCATGTGTTTTCTTGTTTTTCAATTGTTCCTGATTCACAGAAGAAAGATGATAGCTATCAAGATCTGACATTAATAGATCTTTCGGTGGAGATGGTGCACTTGTGTTTTTTTTGTAATTATAATTGATAGGTGAAGCTAAAGGAATATCATGTACGGTTATCAAAGGAGGTGAAATTGGGATGGAAGTTTGAACACAAGGAATAGGTAATTCTGGTGAGCTAATTGAGTGTGGTAAAGCTATAGGCTGTCCCAGGTACACAGGCACATTCAAAGTGTTTTTATAGTAATTTGAATGTTCTGTTTTTTCTTTTTTTTTGTTTTTGTTTTATACAGTTTTATTTTAATATAAATTTTTTGCATGATTGAAAATGAAATAATATTAATATGAAGTCATTAAATTTTATTATCAAGATTAGAGATGATGATGTTGCATTAGGACAAGGTACAAAGGAGGGAAAAAAGAAAGAAATAGACAATTAAAAACCCAGCACCAAAGAAGAAAGAGAGATAAGCATTACTGTTGGCAGCAGTCTTTATATATGTATATTTAAATTGATAATTAATAAAAGATATTGAAATTTTATATTTTTTATGTTTAAAAATAATTGAACTATTGATATTTGTCAAACAATTGAACTATTTAATATTTGAAAAATAATTGAACTATTTGATATCTTTTTTATAAGCATAAACAGTCGTAAATATTGTTTTCTTTTTTTTCTTTTTCTTTTTCTTTTTCTTTTATCAGAAGATTCACTGCCAAAATTAAAGTAAAAGAAACAGTAAGTGTAGTATGTGTGCATGTCAATATTATGACACATAAGAAATACGATAACCATGCAACCAGCAAGCCAACCAAACATCAATAGTTATAATCAATATAATATCTACTACCATTTAATTTATTTTATAAACAAATTTTTTTTTTAACTATAATAAATAATGATTCGTATCAAATACAGGATTGATAAATTATATAAATTTTTTTAATTTATGAGAAGATACATAAATTGACCCAATAATAAAAACACAATTGTTGATAAACAAAACGTTAGTGCAATTATGTTTGAGAAGAGATATTAAAAGGAGACACATGATAACAAAAATATAATTAGTAATAACAAAGACAGTAACAAGCAACAATTACGATTATGCATAAGAAAATGATAGCAGTTATTAGAAATTATTAGAAATTAAAAAAAGAAAAGAAAAGAAAAAGAGAAAAAAAAAAAGAAAAAAAAACAGAAGAAAAATATTTTCTTCTTATTATAAGCGTTTTTTTTTTTTTTTTAATTATTTTCATTAAATTATATCATGCCGTGTACTGATGATGTCTATTCATTTTATATAATAGAGCTGTATTTTATGTAAATATAAAGCACCATGAATAAATATTATATGGTATAAAAGTTATAAATTAATTTAGGAATCATTAATGAAATTAGGAAAAAGGAATTAGGAAGACAACTACATGAACCACAACACACTATGCATGCATGGTTCAAGTAGTTGCCTAAATGAGTTAGTTGGCTTCCACGCGCACAACTATCACTGAGCAAAGAGTTATTTCGAACTGCTGCCTACTTATTCTGATAAAATTTATAAGTGAACAGCACCATACCACACATTAAGAGTTATACTATAGTTGTACTCTAATTAATAATGTAGAAGTTCTCATACTGAAAATCAAAATCTTATGTATACACACAATAAATATAGATGTTTCTAAATAAAATATATAACATAAATAAAAAAATAGTTGTTTTAAAACTTAAAAATAATTTATAATTTCTTTTTTATACGTGTACTTATTCCTATATATGGAAAATAAAAAATAATATGTTAAATTTTAATATAAATCTAATGGAAAATGAGAATGTGTGCATGTGTAATATATAGTAAGTATGTAAAAAAAAAAACACATGATATCATAGTAAATGTGAAATCAAAGTATGTAATAAAAAATAAATGAAAGTCCTTCTACAAGACGTTTAATGTAATTTCCTTTTGTTAAGACTACTGCATGAGATATTTTAAAATTAATTCTATTGTTTGCAAAACCTACCTGTATGTGCAAACATACATTTTTTTTTCTTTTTTTTTTTTTTTTTTTTTTTTTTTTTGAACAACTTATGAATGTTCTATTTAAAGTAAATTATTTGTCATAAAATTAATAATGTCTAGCAGAAGATTCTTTTCTATTCTTAAATCTATTGTCTGTATGGCATATGATCTATATAATTATAAACAAAATAATACATAATCCACAAAAAGAATATAATATATTAAGGTAGACCATTAGAAATAAAATATTTTAATATTTAAATTATATTTGAATATGAAAAAAAAAATAACAGTTATATAAATTTCATTCATTTTATTTTCCATACTCAAATGTAAATTAAATATTAAAGTGTTTTATTTCTAATGATCCATCCTTATATACAACATATATTGATGGAAAATGAAATTGTTGTTCATTAAATGTTATAATGACTATACTAGTACTATACACAATGATTTACGAAGATAACGAGAGGAAGGTAAAATGACATACCTTCTTTGTTGACCGCGTCCAAGCTCTGATACTGCAGCTTGTCCGCAGCTACAAAATAAGACATAGGAACACACAAGACATTGTCACATCAATGTCAAAAAATGTTATATAATCCAAAAAAATAATTAAAAATAAACCTATTTTATTTAAATTCGTTTCGAAAAATTCCTGATATTTTTTCTTTTCAAATATTCGTTTTATATCGTTAAGAATAGAAATAAATCATCTCTGCCTAATATATCTAATCTATAATTTACGCGTACGATATACTATCTATTATTATTATTATTATAGAAATTGATTATTGATTATGTAGCATATATAAAATCAATATTGTAAAAAAATTGTTAATTTTATTGATACTTTATATAATGTTTTTTTAATGTCTTGATCATTATAATGAACTATTATAATAAAATCTATTTAATTGTAATAATTATAGAGACAATCGTATGATTTGAATTTTAAAATATCTATATATATAATATTTATAATATATATATATCACATTATTAAAAATACATAATTTACAAGAAATTTTCTCTAATTGATTTTAAATATAGACAACATGAGTACACACAAAATTTGTGATGTGCAAAAACATGAAAAATGTGTAACAATTAATATTCATGCAGTAGTTATATATCACAAATTCGTTAAATTTTTTTACCATTAAAAGAGCATCGCACTATTATTGTGATATGAATGAAAAATTGATTATTCAAATATCGGTAGAAAAAAATTTATAAAAATTGATCGTGAATATCCAATGTTATAAGACAAATTATACTGCAAGCATTATATTAAGAAAGCTTACCCTTTTCGGCCTTTTCTTGATGTTGATGATCATAACTTCGAGCACGTGGTTCCACCATAACACTTGCTTCTCTTTCACGTCTCTGTCTTTGACTAGCTGCTAATTGACTACCAAGTCTTGCGGCTTCATGGCCAGCGACTGTTCTTGAACTTTAAAAGAACAATCGTTATTTCAATTATAAACAATGATGAACATTTTCAAGAATAATCATTTATGTATATATAAATTAAAAAAAAAAACAGAAGAAAACCAACTTGATAATACGCATTACATGCCTAATCGGAATAGGTGCGGAACTTTGTAAAAATCCACTATCATACGGTTCATCCATCATATTAGGATCCAAGTCCATCATATCGATACCTCTACTAGTTGTAGGGCTATCTAACGTTGAATCTACGACATCATTTCCCACAGTAGGAGAAGTTTCCTTTAAATATTTAAAAAAAATTTTATGATTACTTATTCTGTAATGAAACATCTACCTTGAAAAATAAAGCACGAATTGACAGTTTTTATAAATTAATTCTTATAGTAATAGGATCTTATGAACATCCTATACATGAATTAAATAACATACAGTTTGTATTTGTGGATTTATTTCATCCTCTAGAATGCTTAATTCAGTGTCTTCCTCTTCTATGCGTGTACTGCATTGTGATACACTATCCTGTCCAGAGCCACCACTTTCTCCCTTAAATTAAAGCAGAAAAGATACGAAATTATATTGATACTTCTTTGATGATTTAAAAAAAAAAAGATAGATAGAGAGAGAGAGAGAAAGAGAGAGAGAGAGAAGAAAAAAAGCAATGCCATTTACCATGTTATGACTACTCTCATTGCGAGAATGTGGTCTAAACCCTGGTCCAGGTGGTAAATTTTTCTGAACACAACAATTAACACCAGGACTGAAATGTAGTTCAACGTGAAATCGTTCTTCTGAACTAGGATCTTTGGTTGGATCTTCATACAACATAACTACAATTTGTGACATGTAATTTAATTCAGAAACCATACTGACATACTCCATGGCTCTTCTCCATTGTTCATCTTTTACTACCTATTATTATAGGAAATAGAAAACATTTTATTTTTTTTATTAATATTATTTAAAAAATTTTATATGTATATATATATATATATATATATATATATATATATGTAATGGATGTTAATTTAACAGTGAAATATACATATACACAAACTTATTATTTAAGCATGCGTACGTATCACTTACATCAAGCAAGCCACCATAACGCAAGACGGTAAGCAAAGAGTGTACGTGACTTTCGCTTGTAAAATATAGTCTCGTACGTACGTGTCGACCAGGACTTGAAACACCATGGGAATATCTATAAACAATAGAAATTATTATAGAAAACTTAAATCAAAGTTATATAATAATTTTTATCAAAATTTTATATATATATTCTTTCATATACCTTGGATTTAATCTATTAACTGTTTCTTCTCCAGACTCCTCAATATTTCTCTGTAAATCAGCTCTTATTTTTTTTAAAAGAGGCGTACAAATACCTTGACCTATTGTAAGCTTTTCTTGGACAGTTAATCCATATTCCTATTACAAAAAAAAAAAAGAAAAAAAGAAAAAAAATGATTCAATATGTATTTGTAATAGTAATATATAATTAAAATAATATATATATATTTGAATAGTTACCTGAGGTATAACAATATCTGCAAGATATTTCGCATAAATATATAATTCTTCTGCATGATCAAATTGTAAGGTATGATTATTATGCTGTAAGTCATATTTAATGCAATCGTAAATATCTGGAATTTTGGATATATCAAATCTTTTGTTTTTTGTACAAAAGTCTTTTTCTATTTTTCCCCAACGACGTCCCATTAATTCCCACGTTTCTCCATGATAAAGTATTGCATCTGAAATAATAAAAATTATTTATCTTGGAAGCAATATTTATAAAAAAAAATGGAAGTGCATGTACCTTTTGTCTTCGGATCATCCTTTTTTATGCGTACAATATCCATAAGTTTTTGAATCAGTGCATGAACATGTTGACAACATTTAACAGGATTTTTAACAAAATCCATGGCTGCATTAATACTTAATGCATTTCCTGGATTAATTTGTTCTCGATCCTCACGAGTGAATTCTCTGTCTTGTTGTAATAATTCGTGTAAACGAGTTTTAACCCTGCAAAATATATTTTATTTATTAGTATGTGTATATTATATAAATGATAATATTATGAACTTACATATTTTGATATTTGCTACTATCACAATCGTTATCAAGCAGTCCATTTGTGTTTGCACTTTTAACCATTTGCACTAAAATTGGCGTAAGTTCACCCTCTAATGCAAGTAGTCCCTTTGCAAAAGCAGCTGCAGTCATCTGAACTCTTCCTTCATCACTAGCATATATCTTTAAATCATGACGAAATGTAGAATGAAGACGAAGTAAACCTAATCCTTGAGCTCCAGCATATTCACCTATATAAAATATGATTGATTCATTAATGATCATGCTTTCAATAAAATTGTTGTACATATATATATATTTTTTTTTTCTTAATAATCATATTCATAGACAATGATCATATTTTTTATTTAATTACTGAAATATACTATAATTTGATAAAAACATGAGTTATGTAGTTAAATCATACACGAACCATTATGTTAAAAAAAAATTGTATGTAACTAGTTCTAATAACAAATTTTGAAGTATGTCGATTTTTAAATATTATTATAAAATAATTAATTACATAAGAATGGTACACGTAATTTAGATGACCATATGTGAATAAAAACCAAATACTCTGTGTTATGGAAGGAAAGCATTTAGCATAGTTATATACTTCCATTATTAAAACACATAATGCTGAAAACAATGCCACGTAATAATAATATTTATCTTATTGTATAAATATTTTATTATAAAAAAATGAAAAACATATTCTTTATAAGAATATTCTATTGGTGGCATTGATTTTGCGGGAAGCTATTTCTAAGCATAACAATTATATGTAATATCTACATACAACTACAAACAAGCATGGGTACAGAATAAAAAGTTACCGTGATTTGGTAACATCTCTGTGTCTTCCTCTGAAATAATATTCAAAATTATCTATGAATCAATATTTGTATCATAGAAAAATATTATCTCTCATAATTAATAATGAAGGCATTAGAGTTATAGTAATTAATATATAATATTAAATATATATATATATATTATATAATATATATAAATATATTATATATATATATATATATATATATATATATATATATATTTAATAATGTTTTATGAATTGATATTAATGGTGAATATAGAAAAAAAAAAGAAAAAAATCGATGTATAATATAACTACTGTTCATGTAAAAAAGTTAAATAATATAACTATGTACACACAACAAACTTTTTCAACATTTGCTTCAATCCAGTAATTCCATATTTATATGAGCATGTATGGCTAAAGTGCAGGAAAATAATAAAAATTCATAAATAATATTTTCGATATTATATATCCAACTTAATAAATAAGCATATATGATGAGCAAATGAATATACGATACGAACCACTAAGGTGTCTACCTTGACCACCAGGGTACATGCAGCGAAATATTCTTCCTAGTTCTTCGGCTTGAATACGTCCAGCTGGTGTTAATTCACCGCCCCATTTAAGTATTAGAACAAGAGATGGTTCTCCTAGTCGATCTAATATATATATAAAAAAAAAAAATTCGATTTATAAAGTAATATTGATGTTCTATTGATTATATAAGACGATATCAAAGAACTTAAATACGAACTATCTGTACTACAACACATAAAATTATTTCAATGTTTATATATCACTTTCTTAATAATATTTGAGCTAGTGATTATGATATTTTGTTCCTCTTTTTCTCTCTCTCTTTCTCTCTCTTATATATTATTCTTAAAATTGTTTTGATTATCTATACCATTTTCATAATCACGGACTTATGTAGAAGAGCATATAATGATTCTACCTAAGTGACATAATGAATAAAAGAAGCATACTATGATTGTTACCATCGTCGGAAGAACTTCCCCTTGGTCTTCCACGTGGTTGATACTTCATTTGTACTTTACGATTTATGCCAGAAAAATGACCATACCTACATAAACATTATATTATAAATTATAATTTCAAATAATGATTATTTAATCGAAATTCTTTGAATAGAAAAAAAAAGACAAATTTATACTATTGCTTACATTTCTAGTACACTTTTTAATTGTTCTAATTTTCCTTGCTTCTCTTCTAATTCAGGACCTGCTGCACGATGCTGTATTTCTGCTAACAAACTACGTGCAGTATCCAATATTTCTTGTAATTGTTTTGGTCGTTTCAATTTTACATGACCATGTTTGTAACCATCATACTTTGCAAATATCTCGAAAAACCTGTCAAATTTATTTGTTTATTGGTACTATTGATACAATGTTCGTGATAATATTATGATATACTTACTTAGGATGACGAACTTCTACTTTCATTTTTTGCTTTGGTGTTCTATCACCATGCCTTATGACTGCCACAACGCAACGTAATTCCATCCTAAAAAATTCAATATTTATTATACGTCTATATATTTATTGTCCATAAATATAATTAAAAATAGAATGTACATTTTGCCAAATGTAGTTGGTACTATAGGTGGATCATCTAACTGAAATGGCACACTCCATGGAATATGTAAAGTTGGTGCTAATTCTCTTAATATCATATTTCCCAATATCTTTGCACAATCATCATAATATTTATTGGAATTTTTTACAAAACTAAATCCATTAACATCACAAACAAATGACTGTCCATTTGCTCTATAAACATTACAATTATTATTATAAAAAAAAAATATAATGAAAAAATATTTATATGATAAAATATTTATTCGTATAAATACCTTAACAAATCAAAACCACAAACTGTTTGTTTAAAGGCCAAGCAAACTTTTCTACTTATTAATTTCTCAGCATTACTCAATATAACAGGATAACGAATTTCTTTGCCTTCTGAATCTCTTTCAACTTTACCATCTAATGCTGGACTTTTTCTAGCTTCTGCATGTGCATAATCAGGTCCAACAGTATATACTTTTACATCTGTACCATCAGTGGGCATAAAATCTTCATAAATATAAGAGCCTGTTTTCCGAACTCGAGATTCTGGAGAGTACACACTACTACGACTTCCTATCTACATTAAAATATATTAAATATTAATGAATTATTAATAGTATTATTTATAGTATTATAAATTAAATTACATCAAGATTGTTGAATTATATATATATATACGTACTTTTCTAAATAATCTTTGACTACCTCCACCAGCAGATGTTGGATAATAAATATAAATGTTATGATCTTCAGCTGATACAGGCTTCTCCACGAAAGGTTTGTTAAAAATAACCCCATTGACCTCAACATGATCCTCGGATTCAACTAACTCGTGATCTGGAAAGGGTTCTTTGTTTTTTGCATGTCAAAAACTGTATATTTACATATAAATACAATATAAATAATATTAATAATGCATAATAGTATAAAATAGGATAAAACAACAATGGTAACAACTTAAAAAGAAAAAATAAATTTAAACCATGTAAAAGTAAAATATAAGCGCTAGGTAAAATGTTACTCACGTTTCGGATCAGCAGAATCTCTATCTAATACAGCATACCGTGGAATTTCTATACCCTCACTTTCCAGTATAGCATAGACTCTTCTACGATCCTAAAGAATATAAATTCTATTAAAAGATTTTTTAAGAGAAATAGAATACATATGTTTATTATTATTCTTTATCAAATAATTTTATTTTTTATATTAAGTTTATATAATAGAATTTTATTTGAAGATAAGAGATTTTATAAAAATATATATTTACTTACTTGAATGTCATATTGCATTGGAAGATTATTAATTATGAAAGGATTTCGAAGATCAGCATAATTAATAGCTTTATCAAGAGGAAATCCTTTGCTATGAAAACTTATTAAACAATCAACTATGGGCCAATCTTCTACTGATTCCTATGAAATAAGAAACATATGATTTCACTTATATTTATGAAGATATGTCTTGAAAAATATGTAAATTAAAAAATATTACTTTTAAAATAACTTCTTCTGGAAATACAACAATCTTAATATATTCAAACTCTTCAAGTCGTGTTAAAATTTCTTTCATCGGTTTACTCTGAGATTTTTTAGCCATTGCACATATGCCAACCAGAACTTGTTTCCCTTCTCCTTCAAGATCAGTACCTCCCATACACGCATCATCATTACCACACCCTTCTGACAGTTCGGCCTATAACATAAAAATAAATATTTAGGATATTTTAATATACATATAGAAAAAATACTTAAATGTAAACTAAAAAATAAAAAAATACGTAAATATATGTATATGGATATATGTATGTGCATGTGGTGTGAAAAGCAAGCAACATTATTTAATAACATTTCAGCATAGCTTTATAAACAGAGAGTGGTTCTATTATATAAATATATTTAAAAACATAATATCTATACATTAATATAAATATTAATACATTGCTGATTGTACTACAAGCTTGTTTATTATCTGCCAATGCTACTGAAATAAATTTTCTATAAAGATTGTCTTAAACAGTGCTCACCCAGTACGCCTTTAGACAGGTCAAAAAGCTGGGTTCGTCACCAGTATTTTGATCGAGGCTAGTTTCATCATATCGTGGACTATTACTCATTCTATTATTTATTTTGATTATTCTTTTCCACTTAATTACATAAGAAATTTACAGGTTGATCACATGTGTTATTGCCTACATAAAAAGGAAAACATATGTCTGTCACAGAACACTATCTGCTTTCCTTTCAAACTTTCATGTGCATGTGCAATGATTAAAACATGCGATATTACTATGATCTAATGATTTATATTTTAGTATATGTTAAAATATTAATCTGATTAAATCATGTAAGTATTGATAATTTATAAATAAAACATATTTTAAGAACAAAATAGAAATATATTGAACTGAAGGACATAGAAGGTTACTAAACAAAATAAGAATTACTATAAGCTATATCAACTATATTTTATAATGTGTATATATATATATATATATATATATATATATATGTGTGTGTATATATATATATACATATATATATATATACATATATATATATATCCTATTTTTTCATTTAAAAGTAAAAAAGTAAATATAAATAAGAATACCATTAAAATCAAACAATAATATATTATATATTAATAATATAGTAGTTTTGTTTAAAAATGGTCTTATTTATATGAATAATGTACTTCTTAACATTAGTATAATGCATTGATATGTGATTGAAATAAGCAGAATCTCATTATTAAATTGCATATTTGCAACCTACAAAACATTCATCGCAGTAACAGCAAGTATCCAAATCAGTAACATCTTGAATGCCTGATATTGATTCGGCATCTATTCCATGGTTGTAATAACGCCATTTTTTTAAACGCCACCAATCCTTTAGCCACGTCCATTCCATTATTTTTTATTCAGAAAAGCTTTTTCACCAATCCACAGATAATTTTCAAATATAGTATTTTTTTCCAAGAATAAGAATTTTATTTCTTGAAATGTTTGGATACTATTCAACAATTCTTACGTTGTTAAAAAACTTTTTTATATATTTGTAACACACACTTAAAATAAGTTATAATAAATTTGATACACATAGGTAGATTGAAATTGACGTGTATTGGAATGTTTTGTATATTAGCCAGAAATAAAAAAAAACCATATATAATAAGTATTAAATAATGAAACAATATTTATTTATAATAGTTTCAAAAGTAAATAGTTTCCACGTTTTAACAAATATAAAATTGATAATAAAAGATAGTTTACTTGGTTATTTACTCACTCACTATATGTATAGTTAGAACAGATCACTATCATATGACTTCATTCTTCTGAGAATTGAAGAAAGTTTTTGTATTTACTTTATACCTTTATCTATTTATTATTATCTTATTTCTTTTAGTGATTTTATTTTATCAATCTTTAGTGTTATATTTAAATTTCAATTTTATATATGTCATTAAAAACAGTTATTTTTAAACTTAATTTAATCAATAAAAAATTTTCCTTGTTTTATCTATTAATTTAATATAATCTTTATAAGTTAAATATTACTTCATTTTAATGTAACTTTAAAAGTTGTATTAAAAGCATTCCATAAATTTTGTTTAATAGACATGATTGTAAATATAACCATGTTATAATTAAAACATTCGAACACTTCGATATTATTACGATTGTCGAGAAGTAGACGGTAGATCGTACGCGATCAATGTAGTACTAATCCATGATTCAGCTAATAACACTCTTACTATTACTATAGTTCTATTTATCATTAGATGGTAATGGTGTGTAAAATACAACAGAATGAATTATTATGTAAAATGATAGCAGATACAATTTGTAATTATACAGTTGAATACATATGGCAGATGCTTTATGAAAAGTATACTAATAATATTTTTTAATGAGATGAAGATATGTAACTCATTTCTTCTATTGTTTAATAAATGAAAAGAGCACAAGTACCAACGAAAGAAAAAGAAGTCAAATGATAATAGATATCAAGTATACTAGAAACATAAATCTTGGAAAAAATTATATTTATGTATTACTTATGATTATGAATTTATTTGTGTTACATTACACACATATAGATTAAAAGTTCTGGAAATTTCATTATGTGTTATTCACAATTCATGAAATGAACATACCGTTGAAATATTGCAGTCATCAAATCTCTGCATTACTAAACTCATAGATCTGTTTAATTTCATTTTAAAGTTTATAATCATTATAAGCTAATGAAGATTAAATAGTCATTTTATATCTAGTTTACTTATGAATCTTATCTATACTTCTCTTATAAGTAATTAGATAATATTTTTCGGTAAGAGATATCTCTTTATAGAAATGATAACATCGATATAATATTTTTATAGATTGAATGTTTCTAACAGACATTTAATATATTAAATAATTTCTAATCTTTTACAAGTACCGGGATATGTATATAAATGCTTTAAAATAACTGCCTTAGCAGGAAAACTTTAACTACATTGATACATGAATATTCTTCAAATAAGTAAATATGATAAAGGCTTTATCTATCTTTGCTAACTATACAAATATCATAAACCTTGGTTAATAATTCAAAAGTACATAATACACACTGATAACAGAAAAAATAAAATGAGATATGTATTTTAACATGCCACTCTCAAAAACTGTGTATTATAATTAATTTAGTATATAACAGAAAAATAAAGTTACACGAATTATGATTTATATATATGTATGCTTTACTGTATTGAGATAGACAAAGTTAATGTTATGTATACATATATATATATATAAAATTTTGACTTTCTGAAACTAATAACATATAATTCTACAAGCAAATCAAATGAATTAGATAATATGTTACATTCTTTTTATAATACATAACATATATTAGTAGACATCACGCATTTAACAATTACAAGAGCAAATACATGTTATAAATAATGCAAATTTAAATTATAATCGAAATAAAAATCTCTACCATCATTATTAGCCAATATGGTTCTGCTTCATTATCAACAATATATATTTCAGGAAATACTTCAGAAGTTGAAATGATAGACATAGAAGGATTTATAGTTTCCATTGTAAGAATAAAGTTGAATATACAGTTATTCATACATATTATAGATCATACCTCAATTCATATAGATTTACTGTAAAAAAATATGTAATTCCAATTTGTTTATAAATTTAAATCTGTTGTTTTATTACAATGTTTAATATTAAAGTTAGTGCATGCATAGATAATAAGTTAATTAGAGATTTAATATAAAAATACCTAATAGAAACAAAAAAATAGATGATATCACTCAAAAAATATTGATAATATAATTGTAAAATCAATTCATTTAGTTTCTATGTTACTATTATTTGATAAATATATATATGATATTTGTACTGTATAGCAATTTTCCATTAGTAAAATTTGATATCTTGATGATAATAACACTATGGAATACACTATGAAAATTTTTTTCAATGAATACTTTTTTATATAACACTATAATGAAAAAATATAAAGACTTCAACTAAAACCACGCATGAACATGCTATGCATAAAATAACCAAAAATACAAAGTGAGTAGTGGGTATTCTATTTTTGGGTGATTGGACACTCCCTAAGTGAACACTGTTCATTATGTTGTGAATTTTCGCTGTGTAACAAGCAATAAATAATAAAAAGATCTACATACATTAAAAAAAATATATTTTTATATAATGTTTGCTATAAGTGTTACATATAAATATGAAGATTACATTATTAAATTATCTCATGTTTTTACTCTTTGTAAGTATAAATATATTTTTACATAAATTAATTTACAAATTAGTATTATATAAGTTTTATTCTTTTTAATACCTATATACTGAAAAAACTGAATGCATAAAACATATTTTTAATAATTTAATACCAATCTAAGATGGCTGTTTATATATTTTTATCTTATATTTTCATATTGTATACTTATTTTAATCCTCAATAATAACAAATATATTTATTTATTTATTCATTTGATATTAAGATATTTTAATTTATAATCTTTAAACAAATAAATATAATAGTATAAGACTAAAAACACTGTGACATAAAAAAAAAAACATGAAATGCAAATAATAAACAAATTTATCTATTACATGCGCAACAATAAAAAACAAAATTCAACTATAGTAGTGATTAAAATAACCACATTTTTTCACAATAACTACATCATTTTTATTAAGTGAGATTATCTAAGTGAATATTAAAATTTAGTATATCATAATAATTATTGCTTACTCTTTTTGATGATCGATAAATAGAAGATGCAACAGGGCCAATAAGATTAGATTGTACAGAATTGATATCGCCTACATAAAATATAGGTCGGCTTGCACTCCGTAGACCCTATAAAAGAGTTATTGAAAAAAACATTATATTAATATTTTATTTTATGTTAAAAAGATATATATTTCACTGAAAAATTTGTATTGCAAATATATGTTAACATTTACTTGCCTGATAACCATGTTCCAATTCAGTGTAAGACATGTCAGATGAAGTTTCATTGATAAAAAAGACTGCACTACTTATCTTAGATAATTTAATTATCAAATAAGTACGTTAAACATCAACTAACTCGTTTTACTTATTTACCAAAGATTTTACAATATCTATTTCGTTCGTAGTGGGACCACCGGTATAACAATGGAATTGCCAATCAATGTGGATGCGTTCCACAATTAGGTTATGTTATACAAAATGTGTCTTTGTGATCACATAAGAAAAAGAGAATATGAATAATACATATGACAAAAACAAGTACTATTAGTTTGAAATAATTTTAATTGAAAATACATTTATTTAATTGGTGATAACAAATATGAAAATACTATAATATATTAATAAAATACCCTCTTTTTTATTTTTATGATCTGGAATTACAGTAATGTTTATAAACTGTAAGTATTGTAGTCTATAAATATTTAACAAAAGTATTATTCTTTAAAATGGAGAAGTGATAATACATTATTTTTGAATTTTTAATAAATACAAGAAATTAAATTAAGAATCATGGCCATTATATAACGAACATTTAATGGTTACATTTTCAATGGCTAAAGAAAATAATAGAGATCATGCTATTGCGGGAGCTATTAGTGGATTTCTTACACGTTTCACTTGTCAGCCCTTGGATGTTGTAAAGATAAGATTTCAAGTAATATTCATATCGTGCGTATATATATATTTTATTTTATAAAATCATTAAATTATTTACATTTTATATTTTTTTTATAGTTGCAAGTAGAACCTATAGGACAACATCATGCTAGTAAATATCAATCTGTTTTTCAAGCATTTTGGTTGATATTAAAAGAAGAAGGAATATTTGCATTATGGAAGGGACATATACCTGCTCAATTATTATCTGTAGTTTATGGGACAGGACAGGTAAAATATAATGTTAAATATAACTAGAAATTATAATTGAAAGAAAAAATTGATGTCATTACAGTTTTATTCTTACAATGTAATTATGAAATTTTCTGATAAATACTCATATTTAAATGAACGGAAATATTTGACAAATTTTGTGGCTGGTGCAAGTGCTGGAAGTATCGCTACCATTATATCTTTTCCTTTTGATACTATTAGAACAAGATTAATAGCTCAATCTTACAATTGCAAAGTATATAAAGGTATACTACACTCATGTAGGTGAGTTTATTAAAACATATTTAATTACATTTTAATGTAATTAAAACAAATTATATACATAATCTATTTGTTTTAATTTAACATCTGTTTATGTTTTATTCACAGTACAATTCTGCATAAAGAATCACCAAAGGTCTTTTTTTCTGGAATATCACCAACTTTATTACAAATTGCTCCACATACTGGTTTACAATTTTTATTTTATAAATATCTTGTAGACATCTATAAAAAGTATTTTAAAGAAACTGAAACAAACTTTTACAATTCTATGATATCTGGTAGTATAGCTGGTTTAATGGCAAAAACCGTTGTATATCCAATGGATTTAGCACGAAAAAGATTGCAAATACAAGGTTTTGAATATGGTAGAAAAGAATTTGGTAGGTTTTTTAAATGCAAAGGTTTGATAGATTGTTTAAGAGTAACGATAAAGGATGAGGGTGTAAAAAGTTTGTTTAAAGGTTTACTACCAAGTCAATTAAAAGCTGCATTGACGACAGCTTTTCATTTTACTTTTTATGAACAAGCCTTATTAATTTTAAAGAATATATGACAATATTGATTTGAAAAAATAGAGAACTAATGTTGTGTAATAAAATATGAATGAAACATTACTACTATTACATCGTAATAATGCACTGATCAGCAACGATGCTCTCAAGATTTGATCTTTATTTTATTTATTATTTTAATGATATAAATATATAAGTAAATTAATAAAAAAAAAAAAATTTACGATCAACTATTATAATTTTTTTTTACCGATCAATTACTGTACTATTTTTTATATTATAAAACAATTAAGGTAATCTTCAATACTTCACACATGCATGTATACATATATGTATTACGTCCCATAAGTTAGTCACGTGTATATAAAATATATAGACCAATCAGAAAGATGAGACTATGATAGATTGTTTTGATTGGTAGCAAATACGTATAATCATTGTATCATAAAGCATTTATTATATAAACTATACATAAATTAGTAATTTTTAATTGACATTTAATATACGTTTTTTTTTATACGTAATGTAGCTTTATTGTAATCATGGATTTATAAAATGTACTAGTTGTGAATTTTTGTAATATATAAGACGTAGAAAGAGATCAATATATGGAAAGTATGCGCTAACGATGCATTTTGAAGTTCTGCGCAGTTCTTGTTACCCCCTCTACTATCTTTAGGAAGTAGAATCCTAGGTGACTCATATCCGGCATCTGCCTGGGTCGTTCTTTCTGTCCCTGGTAGCGGTACGGGTAAGTTTGCATTCTGATTATTGCAATTTTTTTTTTTCATTTATTTTATTTTTACTCTTTTATATCCTTTACCCTATTATAATCATATATCTTATAAGTATTAACAAATCATTACATTTTCATTATTTATTTATAGAAATCTTTGCCGCTTTTCAACGAAAGAAAAATCTTCATAAGAATCACTAATATTTTCGGGGATTGAAGCATCATATCAATCTATTAAACATGTAAGTAAAAAAATCTCATTTAATTACTTCAGTCTTCTTGGTGTTGGAATTCTTTCTTTATTAAAAACTGTAGTTTAGTGGATTATACAGTGATTCATAGAAGCCTTTTAATACGTTGTGTAATTTTCTGGAATTTTCCATTATGCGCATTGCCTATATTTGCAATGCGCGAATTTATCGAACCGTCCATAATGGAAGTATCCATCTTGCCCTCGTCAATGCGATGAAAAGAATTTTTTGGAAGATATTGTAGCACTTACAAAATGGTTGTCGATTTATTTACTTCTATATTTGGATTTATTTTTTTATATATATTCAAAATATCTTCGTTTAAGGATACGAACAAGGAGCACTATTCTTGGATTAATAAAACTTGGGTTAGTATTCTACTAATCCTTATTTTATATAAATATTATACTTAACAAATTAAATTGATAGTTAAAAATGTCCTAATAGAAAAATTCTAATTATATGAAATATAATTTCTTTTTTTTTTTTTCTTTTTTTATATTTATATGTAACGATTTCAGAATTCTGATTTCTTACGTGCATATAATTCTCAAGTATAAGCTTTATTTTTAATATAGAAATATATAATATAAAAACGAAATAATTTTACAACCCTCTTATTTTGGCATGCCTCCATTTTGTATTTCAATGGAGCATGAATGCTTGTAAGAGGAAGATTAAAATGTGAATGAATGCCTTCGGAGTCCACACATTAAAGTCTGGAACCGTTTTCTCTATGTTCACTACAATTGTATAATTTACTAATAAATTTGAGTTTTCTTTTTATAATATCTTTTATTTCTCAGGAATAATTTATTTAGATAAAGAGTTAATTCATTTTTTAGGACTTATGGATCCATGTCTGGTGGTTACCGTAGTAATAGTGTGAGCCATCGTGGAGGAGTAGGCCAACGAAATGGATATGGAGGTGGAGGATCAAATAGTCGTTTTGGAAGTCGTAATGGAAATACAGGTGGAAATAGTGGAGGTGGTATTGCCGGACGTGGACCACGTAATGCCAATGTAGCTGGAACCAACCTGAGAAAACCAAATTGGGATTATGAGAACTTGAAACCTTTCAAAAAAGATTTCTATATACCACATCCAAATGTACAATCACGTCATCCTCGTGAAGTCGATTTGTTTAGGGAAGAAAACAAAATCACTCTCAAAGGGGAAAAAATACCTAATCCTATTCAATTCTTTGAAGAAGGAAATTTTCCTGACTATGTAATGCAGGCTATTAGAAAGCAAGGATTTACAGAACCGACTGCTATACAAGCTCAAGGTTGGCCAATTGCTATGTCTGGGCTAAATATGGTTGGTATAGCACAAACTGGATCTGGAAAGACATTAGGCTATATATTACCTGCTATTGTACACATCAACAGTCAACAACCTTTAAATAGAGGAGATGGGCCAATCGCTCTTGTTTTAGCACCAACTCGTGAACTTGCTCAACAAATACAAAGCGTTGTTAATGATTTTGGATCATTATCTTATGTAAGAAATACTTGCATTTTTGGTGGTGCCCCAAAAGGGAGTCAAGCACGTGATCTTGAACGAGGAGTAGAAATTTGTATCGCGACACCTGGACGTCTTATAGATTTCTTAGAACGTGGTACAACAAATTTACGAAGATGTACATATTTGGTATTGGATGAAGCTGATCGTATGTTGGATATGGGATTTGAACCTCAAATTAGAAAAATCATAGAACAGATCAGACCAGATCGACAAGTTCTCATGTGGTCAGCTACTTGGCCAAAAGAAGTAAGAAATCTTGCAGAAGAATATCTTACGGATTACACTCAATTAAATATTGGATCCTTGACTTTGGCTGCAAACCACAATATTCTTCAAATAGTTGATGTATGTCAAGAACACGAAAAAGAAACAAAGTAAGTAATTCATAATTTCCTGAAGTTTCTGTCTTTTCTCAATGGAAAAAGAAACCTGTGATATGATGATATTAGTGATGAATATGAAATTTTTTGATTGCATTCATATCATTTTACCTCTAAGAAGAGCTGACCCCCACAGATTTTATTTTTACCAACAATATATGTTTATATAAATAGGTAAACAAATAAAAAAGATTAACTTTATTAAAATATTTGAACAAATTTTAGATTGGGAACTCTACTTCAAGAAATTGGTAATGTAAATGATGATGGTGGAAAGACTATCATTTTTGTAGAGACAAAAAAGAAAGTTGAAAATATCACAAGAAATATTAGGAGATATGGCTGGCCTGCAGTATGCATGCATGGTGATAAGTCGCAACAAGAAAGAGATTATGTTCTTAGAGGTATGCTTTTTTTTGAATATATCACTTTAATTTTTTGTATAACAATGTATACAACATAATGTATAATTTTATAGAATTCAGAAACAAGAAAGGTTCTATTCTTGTAGCAACGGATGTTGCTGCACGTGGATTGGGTAAGTGATATCTTTCTTCTAGTTTTTCATTTTCTCTGAAAAACATTTTTTGCTATTTAAAAAAAAGAGAAAAAAAAAAAAACAAAAAAGTTTTTATAACTATTCAATCATTCCGTGAATAGTAGAGGATAAACAGAGGGAGGTGGCGATGTAGCACAGACTGGTTATATGAAGTGATGCCTCACTGTTCAATGGATAAAGTGAAATAATTATTAATATAAACATGTTATATATTTGTAGGTGCGCGCATATATTTATAGTACTTTAATTACAAGACAATGTAATCATATGTTTGACATAATCTGAGAATGCTGCTTATCAACAGTAGGATCATATTTTTAATAATAATAATAATAATAATAATAAAAAAAAAAATCAATAGCGTTATAGGAAAGTTATAAACGATAGAGTATTTGATAAAAGTTTAGTGTTAGATAATAGCAAAATATTTTTTTTTTTTTTTATATATACTTATAAGGTAGTAAATATAGATCCTGCTATTAACTGTAGTATTTTCAGAAGATACACATTGTGTAAAGTACAAGTATATGATATATTCTCAAACTTTACATAAGCTTTTAAAAACCAAAAAATAGAAGGCATTAGTTAGCTGGTATTTTTTAACAATATTTTTAGCTTATATCTCTCTTTACTTTTTATAAGTAGATGCAATATAATAAATGCTTTTAAGTAATAAAAATAGAACATTTCAAGTGTAATCAACTGGTTTCTTCATTCTAGTGATGCTTTGCTTTTTTTCAATGTTTTAATAGCAAATATGTCTTTCTCAAAATTGTTTTTTCTTTTTTTCCTTGGGAAATATTAAGGTCCTTCTATTTTAATAATCTGACCTTAATATTTCCTAAGAAAATGATTATGAGAGAGGTGGTGAAATCGCTATGGTCGATAATTTTGAAGAAATTGATTTTTTACACATTAAATGATCTATCTTGTGTACATGGTGAGTTTTAAATCGTTCATGTAATATAATTTGTCTATATTTATATACTAGTAAAAATAAGTATATAAGTTGACAATATTCTTTACATCTTATATATGAAACTCACCATGTATTAATATATTCCCAATCGACACACGTACATACAGCTTTACTGTTCTTCATTTCAATATTTGTACATTGAAATTTATAATTTAATTTTATATGTACAAATTATAATATTTTTTCATCGATTTTGTAAGTGCAATTATACCAATTATGTCTAGATTCTATTCATAAAAATTTATGGGATTAGTAGATTGCAATTTCACTATTAGAATATAAACTAATCCTTTGTGAGATTTCAATGAAAAGAACGTGAAATTAGTGTATAATTAAAACAGTTCTTTGGAAAATAATGTACGTGTAAAGCATCTTACAAAAGAATATTTTTCTCTTTTTTTTTCCTTTTTTTTAATTTTTTTTTTTTATATATATAATTTAATTTATTACTCTCTTGCAATATTATAATTTACTTATAAGTTATCTCAGTTATTGTTTATCGTAATGCTAGTTGATGATTGACATTTGAAAATTTTAAATATTAATTACTTTTATTTCCAATTTGCACATAAAGTAAAAGTGTGTTTCCACCAGCATAGCTGTCGAATATATTTGCTAATGCAATCTATTCCCATTGTGTTAGTTCTGAGAGCTAAGACGAGGATATGATGGGCTTGTGTCGAAGACTTGAGAACAGTTTTAATGCGACAAAAAAAAAAAAAAAAAAAAAAAAAAAGAAAAAAAAAAGAAAAGAAAAGAAAAAAGAAATAATAATAAAGAAAAGAAAAAAAGAAACAAAAAAAATGGTTTTAGTGATAAGTGTGGGCATCTTTTAATTTATGTTAATCAGTCTGGTTGTCTTTTGTTTCAGAGGCACATGGTGCACAGAATACGTTGAGTGTGCGATGAAAACGATCTCGTTCCATAAAGAAAAAACATGGCTCACTCATAGTACGTGCGCAATTTTGCATATAAAATACTTGTACTTAATGTGCCTCTGTGTACAGCCTGTGTACCACAGAAGTATAGTGGTGCGCGGGCGTTATCGCGCTGGTTGGTTGTGAGATAAAACGCTGGTTTCCATTTTGGTACAACCATCACACTTCATAGCCAATGCTCAGCCGGTGTCAGAGACAACAATCTATTGATTTTGCTACTATCGCTACTCGAAGGTGATGCTTAGGACACAACACTCTGTGATCTGAACTTGCATTCAAGACTACACACCCCCTGGGGCATTTTGTATGCAGTCATACGGAATGCAATGTTCAGCAGTAACTGGGTTTGTATTTATTATAATGCAGCAGACTTAAGCGTTATAAAGTACGCATTCATGCGTAATTTATAAACTAAGCTAATTTGTATCCTTTCATTTTATGACAATAATTCCGAAGACAACAATATAATTTTTATTATACATTTTTTCTCTCATTGTTATATTTTCTTTCTATCGATTTTTACACTTCAACTTTTTGTATATAAATACTTCGTGATGACATATTATTTTCAACTATCATTGAAATTGTCTTTACTATGTTGCGTGGAATTATTGATTTAGAAAGCATATTAAATATTTCATATTTGTATAGATCAAAGTAACTTTATTTTGGTCATTGTTACACAGAAAAATTCTATTCCATTTTCATTTATTATATTTTAATGAATGATTATAGGTGTTTATTTAGCTGCATATGTATACAAAAATATGTGTATATATATATGTGTGTATATGCATGTATATATATATATATATATGTAAGGAACAAATAATATAAGCTGTAATGCAAGATAGAAAGAAATATCAGAGACATAAATCTACAATTTTTTTTGTGTAGCTTTCACATTTGTATTTCTACATATTACTATTTTATACAATTTTGATATATGAAAATTCAGGGATATAAAAAGAAAAACTTGTTAGAATTGTAAAAAAAAAAAAAGAGTGATGCGCATCAATTGTTTTTACCTTCTTTATAATGATTATTTTTCTTTAGATGTTGACGATGTAAAATATGTGATCAACTTCGATTATCCGTCGTCGTCTGAAGACTACATACACAGAATTGGAAGAACAGGCCGTTCGCAAAGTACAGGAACGAGTTACGCATTCTTCACTCCACAAAATAGCAGACAAGCTAAAGATCTAATTAATGTACTTCAAGAGGCTAATCAAGTCATCAATCCAAAATTGGCAGAATTAGCAACGAGAACTGGTGGTGGCGGTTACAATCGTAGTGAGTGTCTTAACAGAAGACTGTTGATATTATCAATAAAATATTTTTAAAAACAAATAATAAATTACGGAATTAATTATTTTAGATCGTTGGGGATATGCAGCCCGTGGAAGGGAAAACACATTCTCTGGAACACATAAACGTTTCGACAACTCAAGGAATAGTTATAATAGTTGATTGGACAAATCTATTTTCTTACATGGTATTGAACGATCGACTATCGAAACATTTAGTTTTACGTACAATTAAACCTTAATTTTTGTCATTAGAAAAAGTTCATTCTATGTTAATACCAGAGAGTGTACGGAACATTTATTATTATTTATCTGGCCAAACATACATCTTTCTTTGTTTTGTAGTTCTAGCGATGAACATTTCGTTACTTTTAATTTTTACGTACAGAGAGTATCTCTGTACATATCTGTGATTGATAGGAAGAAAGAGAAAAAAAACAAAGTAAATTTTATTTTTTACGATAATAATGTATCGTTGCTCATCGTATTTTTTTTGTTTCTCTTTTTCTCATGAAAGTTGAGACGTGTATAAGATATATACTTAAGAAATTCATGTTAAAAAAAAAAAAAGAATAGTTGCGTATAGTATTAAAAATGATAATATCAGGTATAGAAGAATAAGTCAAAAGAAAAATGTTATAATATTTTATTAATAAACATTTTATTTTACTTATTTGTTTGGGAATAAAATTACGTGAAATCTTTCTGGCAAGATATTTGATAAATGAAAGAATAAACATACCTGATATTATCCTTTTTATAAAGGTTGTAAACACTCAAATCTCTCAATATTTTACAATAGTTTCAGAATTTTTTTTATTTAGTTCCTTTGAAAATTGTTATAACACGTCTCAATTGTAGGATTGCATGGTATATAGGGGTATAATTTAGTAAACTTGTCAGTATTCATTCCAATTCTTTGAAATGATCAGACACAACCCTGATCATAAGCAAAGTTCTTTTTTCAATCGTATGTTGTGTGAAAGAACTCCAGAGAAGAAGTCATGATAAAAATCATTGTAATTGTCCCGTTTGATTAGAAAAGTTTTATACAAATAATGTTATCGAAGACAAATTATTCAAAAAATGAAAAAGTAAAAAAAAAAAAAATGAAAGAAAAAAATAAGAAAACTTGAAAAAAAATCCTTCTACTGAATCAAATGGTATATTCTCCCATGACATTAAAATTGATGTTTTCATAAATGTGTTTATTTAATTTTCTTCTCAACTAAATAAAGCACTATATAAGATTATTGCACATTGATGTATCTCCCTATGTTGACAACAATAAAATTTAAACAAGTTGAAGGAAATATTTCAATATTTTTTATTCATTTTCATTGTTAAATCTTAATAGGTCTTTGTTCTAGAATGTATTATAATTTTATGTAAAGTAAATACGTTAATATACTAAAGTAGGAAAATAAGTAGCATTTTGTGTATGTTACATGAACAATATTATAATCTGTTCATAGTTTTAATATTTTATCTTATATATTTAAATATTTATCCATTATCTATGATTAAATTGATTTCGAAACGGTGGTAGATCCATTATTCTAGCAGTCCCCAATAAAACCAGTCCTGAAAATAAAACAAATAAGTTAGTAATAAGATAACCTCAAATTTTCGATAATTAAAATATGCGCAAAAATTGATTGATAATATAAAACTTGCGAAAAAGAAAATATTAATTTAATAATTAATGAAATACACATACCACTTGCGATAGTATACATTACTGTTTTTCCTTTAGGTTTTTGTAATTTCTTTGAATGATAATAAACGTAAATGCCTGATCCAATTAGACCACCACCACTAATAATTCTGCAAGCCAAACAATCTCGATCTCTATTAGTTATTACACTGTTAATTGTGCTTGACATTTTTTATAAAACATTAGTTTAAAACAAATATTATTTTTTTACCAAATGCTTATGATTTTAATACTTTAAATAAATCTAAATTGTTATAAATGAGTAATGTCAGAAGTGTGTTACAATAGGTTATGTTATGTTTGACAACTTTCGATATATCGAAAAATCGTTTTCATGAATCTAATTTTCACGATGTAAGTGTGAATCATATCTATGATTGGTCATATTCTTTCAAATTAACTTCAAAATATATTAATTATAAATTATCGATACAATAAATATTAAATGATATTAAATTAATTCTAATTAATATATAAGATTTATATTGTTTTAATTTATAAAAATGCTAGTAAGAAAATGTTGAGAATCATCTGTTATCACTTAACTTTATAGTATGTATAAGAAAACTTTTTCATAAAGATTTATGAGTAAATAATAATAAAAAAGATAAGATGTTCAAATTTGGATTCTCTGAAAAAAATGATGCTAAAGGTATTCATTAATTTTATTTTATAATATTTATAAAAAAATATATAACTTTGATATGTTTGAGGTTATAATACTATTTCAATTATCGCCGCTATTTTCATTGGCGCTATAATTTAAATTTTTATAACATATATTTTGTAGAAAATAATACTGATAAAGAAAAATCTGTTCTTAATTGGATAAATGCATCTAGAATAGAAGTAGCACCATTTGATTATAATCGAAATTATGAACCCGATGAATATTTAGAAACTAAAATCTTTGATGAAATTATATTCAAATTAATCCGTTCTGACAAAGTACTATGCAACTTAATAGGAAATAATTCTGTAAATATAATCGAAGCAGAATCACAGCATTCCGATCTTATACCTGCGAAATATGAAGGTATATATAATTAAGTTATAATTTAAAAGAATTATATAATACTTATTGCAAATAATTATTGCAAACTGTCAAGGTGGTTTGAAAATATGGGAATGTACTTACGATTTAGTTGAATATATAATTCAAGAAAATATAAAATTCGAAACTAAGCTGGTGCTAGATTTAGGTTGCGGTGTTGGAATTATTGGATTAATAGCACTCTTGAAAGGTGCCCTCGTCCATTTTCAAGATTATGTTTGTATATTTTTATTATTTTTCTTCTTTTGTTATGATATAAAATATTTAAAATGATGTATATAATATTAAAAGATTTTTGCAGAATGCAGAAGTAATTAGATCGGTTACTATACCAAATGTTTTTTTAAATTTCAAAGACAAACAAAAAACATTGGAGAAGTGTGAATTTTATTGTGGAGATTGGGCATCATTTACGATGCTTCTTAAAAATGATATTAAAAATGGGGATCAAAAATATGACTTCATTTTTACCAGTGAAACCATATATAATCCTGAAAATCATAGAAAATTATATGAAGTGTTTAAGAAGAAATTGAAACCAAATGGCATTGGGTAAGAATAATAACTGACAATTTTTATAAATTTTAAATGATTGATATCAACTAAATAATTCTTTTAGACTCATAGCTGCAAAGACATATTACTTTGGTGTAGGAGGAGGAATGCGCCAATTTGAAACTATTGTAAAGGAGGATGAACTGTTCAACACTGAAGTGGTTTGGAGAAATTCAAAAGGTTTTCATTAATTGTTTAAAAATATATATTTTACTAATAATTATAATAATCTTTTCTCCTCTTATAAATAATATAGTAATATAATATAATTGTATATTTTAGGTCTACAAAGGGAAATATTAAAGCTATCTTGGAAATGAAAGGAATGTAAATTCAATCTAATAAAATTAATAATATTGGAAGAAAAATTTCAATGCCATATTATAATTATTAAGGTGATAATCTTTCATAAACCCATCCATTCTCACCTGTATGAACAAAAATATTATCAATCTTTTCTCCGGAAATTGGTCGTCTGAAACGAATTCTATCGTGCAAACGATCGCTTTGTCCTTGCCAAAACTCAACAGATTTTGGTTTAACTAAGTAACCACCCCTAGAAAAAATCGATTAATTGATTGTATATAACTATACAGGAAGATTAATAGAGAAAATTTGTAAATGCATTACCACCAATCTGGTCTTTTAATATCATCTTCCGTATATTGAGCAAGTAATTCCCTTTCTTTCACAATAAGAGTATGTCTGGTAGCAATGACAGTACTTTGTTTACTGGACATAGATCCTATCTTACTTGGAAATGGTCGACTATTAAAATATTCATCGGAATCATTAGCTGAAGTTTTTTCAATAGTTCCCTCTATACGTACCTACAATATGTATAAATCAATAATCTTAAATTAATATTTTTATTTAGAAATGTATAAATTGTATATCATACAGCTCGGTGTAATGGTTCCCAATAGAAGGTCATTGCAACATTGGGGTTTTGTTCCTATGAATCAAGTAAACACGATTTTAATTATCTATATTATAATAATAGAAAATAATAGAAGCATGTAAACTTACTATTTCTTTACCCTTTCTGCTGTTATAATTTGTATAAAATTTGAAACCTTCCATATCAAAATGTTTTAATAATACTGTTCTTACAGACGGAATGCCATCTCTGAAATAATGATTAATTTATTATATACTGCATTATTAATGTTTCATATATCTAAGAGTTAAATTACTTAGTTGCTGTTCCAAGAAATACCGCATTTGGTTCAAGTATATGTGGTGATTCGCATGCTTCATCAAACCATGCTTTGAATTGTCCTATTGGTTCTTTACTTACCAAATTTTCTTCTATAAAGGTTTCACTTCTATTTTTGTATTTCATTCTCATATCTAAAACACATTCATTATAATAATGAAATAATGGTTGTAATGAAGTAATCGATGATAAAAGTATATGATTTAATAGGAAGTATCGTAATTAGAGATTATAATAATTCTAAACAATTAATAAATATACCTCCTATATCAACATTATGTAATATACCCGACATGGTCTGTATTGCTTTTCTTAACACTTCAATGATAATGCTTTTATGCATATACTGACAAATATTCTCGTTATTTAATGTTCCAATCGATAAGCTGACCGAGATTGATAAATTCTACAAAAATAAACCGTTCTAGTGGAATGAATTTGTTATACTATATTACAAGTATCTTATTATAACTTCCATCACGTTATTATTCTTGATATCTTTTCATCGTAACAATTTAAATAATTCGTATGTAGTCAAGGTTAATATTTGTCTTCTACTTGTTATCTAAGTAAATACAGGACCGTATTACGTGCGAAATGGTACCAGGGTAAAGAAGAATACTTTCAAATATTTCCTAAAAAGTAATGTGTATTTTTGTATTACTCATCAATTTTATTAATATTAAAATGTAATTTCAAAAAATTATAGTATATTTTATTTTTTTTTTATTAGCGAGTACATAATTTCAATATTATATTTTATATATATATATGTATATATATATATATAGATATATATATATACATATACATATATAACATAGTATGTACATATAGAGATCATTTTTATTACTATTTCATATACTCAAAGCATAGGGCTACATTTTTAGAATACAAATATTAATATTTATTAATTTATTAGTTTAGTGTACAAAAATTAATATTTATGAATTTAGATTTTTCATCATTCTAATATAATTTTTACAAATCTTTATAATTTTCAAAGTCACTTGATTTTTCATGATAGGTTAGAAAGTATTAGAAAGTAAATGGCTCAAAATTGTTATTCAGTTATAAATGTTTTATTACCTTTTTATTTAAACCTTTTGAATAACACTAGCTTGTTTTATCAGTAGTGTTATCATTGTTTTTAAAAAAGAAAACTATAAATATTTTTATTTGTTATTTCTATAATGGATTATTGTAATAAAGTTATGGATGAGTTAATTAAATGTAGGATCAGTTTCTATAAATAAAAAAATATTTGATATGTATAACAAGTTAATAAAAAAAAAGCAGTTACAAACAAATAATTTATATATTAAAAAAAAAGATGTATACATAGAATATTCACATAACATTTTGTAACCATGCATCCAATGCTTCCATTTGAGCAGGGGTTTCAGGATCTTTGATAAAGGCACTTGATTCTGCAAATTCTACTTTTGAATTGAGATGACTGAATTCAAAATCTTTGTTAGATTTTCCAAGAAAGACATTTGAGGATGTCGCATCCGTAGCTTCCAGTTGATTAGTTTTAGTTAATCTTAAAAGATTTAATTCTTTTTCCAATAATGATTTTATCACAATACAACCTTTAGCCATTGTTTGATCTTGTTTATTGCATAATATTAATATTGGCAATTTTTTGTGTCCATCTATGTCTGACAATAAGTTGTATAAATACCTAAATAAAAACATAATTTATAGATTGTTCTATGAAATATTTATGTTAATTCATCTTTGAAATATTCAGATTTACATATTATACTCTTGAAACTTACTCTGCCACATCCCTAATATTTTTTTGAAACGTAACAGAATCAATGACAAAAATAATTCCTTTCGCAGATATTTTATATTTATCAAAAAATTTGTAACGTAAACGTTCATCTCCAGGTATATCCACGATCTTTAAAGTATTCTAAAACAAAAATTAGTAAAAGTTATTAATCTTTATGTTTGAAACTGCTTTTCAATTTATATATCTTATTGCCAAATATGTGAAAAATATATGAATACTTACATTATTGATATTTATATCTCCTATATTTTCCTTAACAGATGTATGAGTTAGAATGAATTTGGAACAAAGCAAACGTGCATATATCAACGTTTTTCCAGCATCACTAAGTCCAGTCAATATAATATTCTGACCAACAGATCTTCTTTTACGCCATATAGCATATAGTACTATTGATAAAGATAAAATTATATTATTTCTGATAAAATTTAAAAATATATGAACTTGATCATTAGACAAAATTAAATGAAAAATAAATGAAATTACTATATTAAAAATTAAATGAGAATGAAATCAAATTAAAAAGGAAAAATATAATCACATTTAGTTATTTAATAAAATTATATTCAAAATATATTTATTATATTATTATGAACTCAAGAATAATACCTTGAATATCATTACAATAATATATTTTCAATAATATATTGATTTATTTTAAATAATTTAAATTATCAAAAGTTAATATTAATGATATAAATAATTTTGTATAATAATCGACATGTTTTAAAAGAATCATGTCAATTGTTTAATTGACAAAATGAATTAAAATATCAAATTGAACGAGTGTTCATATCTATATGAACAATAAAGTTAAATATAACAATATCATTTTCTGTGACATTTTTATATAAAAGAGATGAGAATATATAAAAATAAATTAAATTTTGTTTATGGCATATGGTTAGGCTAATTTATAAATTTTACTTTTAATTACCTAAAGTTATTACGATAGCCAAAACTGCCGTTAGTATGCCTATTAATACTGAATTTGTATTATCTTGCTGTAGAGGCTTCATATGTTTTTCCATTGTTAAAATTATTCAATTTTTATTTTAATAATTTTTAAACACATGTGTTGATATAACCTACCAGCTATCTTTTCTGTTATGAGCAGCCATTGTTTTGTTACCGACGCTTGTGTCGATATTACAGATTTCAAACGATAAAAACGTAATTCTATATTATCGATAATGATAACGTAGTATCCATCGATAAAGTCGATAAATACTACAAACTACGCGATTCGTATATATTGTGTACATTCGTATACATGTGATATTACGATAGGTATAGGAAAAATATGAATTACAAGTGTAATAATGAAAAATTGTCCCCATTATGAGCTTGTTACTTTGGTATATAAATAATGTAATTTAAAAAATTGTATTGCGCAATCTAATCGAATTAATGTATGACAGAAATTTTTGAATATAATATGACTATTTCTTTTTTTTTTTGAAAATAAATAAGAACAAATAGTAATAATAAAGAAATAAGAATGTTTTAGTGCATTTTTCGAAGAAATTATTTTATAATTCCATCATATTTAATGGTTTTATTTATCGATATATAACTTAAAGTAAACTTTAAGTATATTAATGTTTAATTGAAATTAGAAAGAAAAGATTTTGAAAATGCAATGAAATATGCAGCCATTCGCCCGATAGTATTTGCATTATATAATCTGGATTTAGATTTCGATTATCGCAAATATTATCGGCCCAGGTCTCACCACGTGGAGGTTGCTGCATTTGGAGACCCTATTCTAAATCCTGTACATCAGAGATTATAAAAATAATTGTAAAATTATCGAAAGTATTAATTTATAAGTTTCCACGTTTAGTCGTTAAAGAATTTCAAATATTCACTTGTCGAAATATAAAAGAGAACTAATTCGATAATTGTCAGAGTTAATAAAAAAATCCGTGTATTTTGAGATTCAACAGTAGACTGATTGTTTGTCATCTATAAAAAGTCGGTCAAACTTTTGTTATTGTTTACAGAACTGACCGCTATAAACTACTGTCCGATAACTACTGAATGATAAAGAGTATAAGAATAGAAATTTGTATATTAATGAAAAGATTAAATTAATTAAGCTTATCTTTTTTATCTTACGTAGTTTCACGTTTGTTCGCATCTCTTTTTAAATATCATCATTTGTTATATATCATGCGCGGACACAGAGAAAAGTAATAAGAAAAAAGTCAAGAATTTTATGCGAACGAGTTTCACGGCTATTGGGTCGTCGTGGCAAATTTATTGCTTTATCTTCTCTCTCTCTCTCTCTTTCTTTCTCTTTCTCTTTCTCTCTTCAGATTAAGATTCGAATCTCTTGGGAAGAATTTCTTGCGGACATAACTACTTGTCAGTCAGTAAACGTAGCTGTTATGGTCAAGACACTTCAGCAACTTCTCGTTGCTTATTCGACGTCCCTCGAGAGTTTGAGTCAAAGTAGAAGAATGTTTTTACGGTAGTAAGTAAATACGTACATTGGTTAGATCATTCAAAGTTCGATCCTCTTTCGAATCGAATGATTTATTCGATATATCCTATCCATATCCTCGATCCTCATATTTTATTTGATTATTCATTAAATAACACGAAGAACATCGAACAACATACGAATACATTCGTATACATATAGAAGACAATAAATATCAAGATCGTGAAGCAAAGTATAATCGGTTTGGAAATATCTTTTCTTTTTCGATATTCGAGTTTTCGAAAGTCCTGGACGAAATGGTCTCTCTCTCTCTTTATGATCAGAGGATCCTCGACAATGGACCATTAACGTAAGGCAGTTTCCAAGGGCCTGTCCATATATTTTTTCGAGCTTTGTCCTGCTACCAACGAACGAACGAACGAGAGAAAGAGAGAGAGAGAGAGAGAGAGAGAGAGAGAGAGAGAGAGATGGTGGTAGAAAGGGGTACATAAAAAATCAGGACACTCGAGATCTGAGGCTGCTCTTGTTACTACTACCGTAAAAGAGATCGAGCTCTTGGCAAAAGAGGTAGAGTAGTAGTCCCGCACGCTCGATCGGTAAAAAAGGAAGGGGGTGTGATAAACTGCGGTAAGAAAAAGAGTCTCAAGGTAGAAAGAGACAAAGTTAAATATTCTCTCCTTTTCGAGTCGAGTTTCTTCTTACAAAGGACGAAGAAGGGAGAACGAAAGCGTAGGATCGCAAAAAAAGACCGCCCTACCTGTACCTCTGTGAACGCTCGACGCGAAGAATCTGCAATTATATCGCGAAAAAGGAAGCGAATGTCCTCCGACAAACTGTTTCCTGGACCGTAAACAATCCTGCCAAATAAGTCGCCGCACTTATAAATCCTCTATCTTCGAGATACTTCCACTACTACCACACCCGCGCTTACTTTTACATTCGTTCTTCTTTATATATATTTTTTTCTTTCTTTCTTTCTTTCTTTCTTTTCTTCTTTTTCTTTTCTTTTCTTTTCTTTCTCTCCTTCGTTATATTTTTATGCGCTCGATATCATAATCTAATTATTCTACGAGCCCTTTTAATTCTTTCGTAAGGAGATCTATGTCATGGCTCGAATTTATATGAATGAAATTTATGTCGAAGGGTATGTTTGAAATATTCGAGGGATATTCGAAGGAAAGAAAATGATAGAATGTATCTTTTAATACGAGCATATTGCTTAATAAACGTCAAACATTTTCTGAAATTCATATTCTCTCTTTATATATTTATATATGTATATATGTATAGTTTTTTTTTATATATTATTTTTCACTTTTCT